GAGCTCCTCCAGACATGTATTACGACATAATAAAAACAGTCTGTGTCTCTGATATGTTTTTTCTACTCTTTCAACGTCCTTAAAAATTCCATAATCTATAAATATGCTAATTCTATTCATTTCTAAAGTTTTTCCTGCTGGACACAAGATGTCTCCTTCTTTACTGTAAATCCATTCAAGTTTCTACATCACATTTGTATTTTCAGTGAGCACAGAGAAACTTTCCACTTTCAGCAAACAAATGTGAAAACATCCTTCTAGTGTCAAACTCTGCACATACATTATTCTGTACAGTGAAGCTCAAACATCCAACTGTAGGAGCAAGAAGATCAACATATCTTTGAGACAAGTTTTCAGTAATGTATCAGGTGGACCAACCCATTATTTTGAAAAATCAACGTGAGGTGATTGATTCGGGGCTGTGGGATTCTTTTCAGGTGCTCATTAAACTTGAATTGATCTTTCCCCCTCCTTGTGGTTAAATATTTACACAGGTTGGGGTGGAGCTCACATATTTCACAATAGCGAGAGCCGCTTTCTGTCACATTCAGGTGAGGGCAGCAGCACCACATTGTGTCTCTGTGACAATGACTCCGGTTGGGGTGGTCAGACAGGCTCCTCGGCCAGCACAGGTTAGGTTTCAGAGTGTCGTGCATCAGAAACGCTCCGTCATTGTTATTTCTGCCTTATTAAGGGATTATTGAGCTGTGTGTGAGTCCTTAGTAACACATGGAGATATGAATTACCACTGAATACACACAGAAACAAAGACATCTGACTAACTCAGCTGTCAGGTTGATTGCTGTACGGTAGCTTTACCTGTCTTTTATAAAGGAAGGGAAGAGCCTGCGGGGGAACCACACAGCATACCCCACCGCCAGCACCCACAGGATCGACAGCTCATCCAACATCTGGCCAACGAAACTGAGCGTCATGTGGAAGTATGCCGAGAAGAGCCCTGCGAGGAGAGAGAACCGTCTGTTTTAATGTGAAACAAATCATGATTTCATTATATTAGAGAAGAAAACACAAAAGAAATGGGGGATTGAGGAGGAGAGGGAGACATATAAGGGGAAACTTTAAGCCCATCTCAGACTAAACTCATCTCGACTCAAGATGGTTGATGGCGTCGCGTACAACTAAGCTTGTCACCTGTTTCAACAGCCAATCAGCTCGTTGCGAAGTCAGCTGCTTCAGTCAGTTACAAACTGTCAGCTGGCCGAAATGTCAAGAGAGGCTCCTCTCATCCACAGGCCTTAAAAATGTACCCATGCCCGGCTCCAAATTCTCAACCCTCTCATTTCATTGAGAGTTTTTATCGTTTGATCAGTTAAATGCAACTGTTATTATATATATTAAATAATATCCAGCTACAGGAAAAACCTGAAAAGTCGCTAAAAGTACAGAGGTGTTCAGAATGCCGCATCGCGAGCTAGTTTCAACTTGCTATTCTCGTTCTGAACATTTGGTCTGAACTGGCCTTTAGGGCTCAAATTCCTCCGGCTGGTCACGCAGCTGGTCAACAAGATCCAGCCTCTGATACTGTGCAGTCTGCAGGGATTGCAAGAGGAGAGAGGAAACACAAATCTGTGCTCTCATTATTTACGTTCTCGTTTATTCACTTAAAGCAAGGGTGATTATTCTTTGCTCAGACTGGTTACAGTTGGATGATGTGCTGGTGATGATGAGTTGATCTATTGATTGTTGTTAATGGTTTGGTCTGTGAAATTGTGAAAATGGAGAGTAAGAAACCCTGAAAATATTCACTTCTGTGAAACTGTAACCACTGAATTCTTTTCATTTGTGTTCGAAAAATGATTTCTGTTCCCGCAGCCCTTGTTGGAAGTAGACCGCTTTGTTAAAGAGTCTGTTTAGTTTGTCTTGTGACCCATTTCTGTAGCTGAAGTCCAACATCTTGGGGTTTTTCTTAAGTCTGTCCTTTATGCCACAATGCTGGTATGAAATACTTGTACTCTGCAGGCGTGTAATGTTTAATCTGTGTATGCATTATGTACACTGAGTGAAAACACAGTGATTTATGCATCATGTCAAATCATAACTGAACCAACAAGTCACAAAAACAACAATTCATGATTCATGGCTTAGTGAATCACTCGTGTTAATGTAAACAGACCTTTCCTGAGATTCAAACTGCAGAAAGTACAAAGACAGACAGATAAATATAAACCTGAAATGTATGAATAAAGAAAAAAAAGAGTGACCGACCTACGAAAATCATCATGAACCAGACCAAGTGAATTGCCAGGTTCCTCTCTTTGGCGTAAGGGTGCAGAAGGTAGAGCATGATGGGAGATATAATGAAGAAGAAGAAGCTGCTTATCTGCAGGAAAAAAACAATGAATCAATCAACCGGCCAACCTGCGCTTTTGTCTGCGAGCTCAGACGTTAATTTCTTATTCAAGAAAAGACAAACAAGATTAAAAGTAGCTGATTATATTGTGTTTCCTGGAGGGAAGCGCTGACATAAACACTGCAGCATAGAGAAGAAGTACGTACAGTGTTGAAGTACTCCACTACATGTTCAGAGTGTCTGTAGTTGTCTTCACACCAGTCGATTTCTGAACTCTCGTACGAGAAAGCTCCAGCCATCTTTTCACTGGAGTAGACGCCTGTCAGACAGAGAGAGGGGGGAAACAATAGGTCACATCAAGAGCACACCTGCAGCGTGTCAGTTGTTGCCACAGCAGATAAAATAGGTGTTTATCCCCGGACGCCTGGCAGAGTATTTGTATAGGTGGTTTATGGAAATCAGATTCAACTCCCCTCTTAGTTGTATTTAGATTTGTATTCAAATGTGGCTTTGCACATTTTTCAGAACCTTCACAACAGTCATTTAATGTATTAAAATGAGTGTGAGAAAGGGAATAAATAAACAATAAATTGTGTTAAATGAGTATATGATTGAAGAACATCCTAATGATCCTTTGCTGAAAGAGGAGTTCCAGTGAGGGCAGATTAAAGACTAATTGGTCTAAAATAGAAGCAGAGATATTCTGACCTTTTAACGTACCAGTCTGTAGGATTCAGAGGGATCTAGTGGTGCAGATTGCGACTAAATGAACACTGTTTTTGTCTGTAATTGACAACCTGGGAATGAGAACAGGCTGTACGCAAATGGGCCTACGGCGAGTGGTTTGGTTTCTGCATTCTGAGCTACTGTAGAAACATTGTGGACTCACAGCCGGCGTCTATAAATGAAAACGTCTGATTTTAAGGTAACAAAAACACGAGGATTCCTACACTCAGGTGATGATTCACTAATTAACACATACTTATGATTATTATATTCTATTTGTGCTAATAAATCCTCCTCAGCGTTGCACTCCTGACCTTTAATAGTTCACATTAAACTCCAAAAAACACTGCAACCTGCACTTCCCATAATGCAAACTGGATTAACCCTCAGTGATGATATTTCCTATTAAAACTCTAACGAGGCACAGAAGACATTACACAATTGAGAGGAAATCTCTTTGTGAAGAGTCAACTGCTGCACGCAGTCACCAGTCAGGAAATACTACATAAGCGGGTATAATGTTACAGAGTTGGAGTAAACATAACAAACATTTTTTATACATTTGTTATAAATAAAATAAGACAAAAACACTGTAGTTAATTAAAATTCCTGTAATTCCTATAATAAACTTATACTACAAATACTTAACATATATAGCATAGTTTCTAATATTCTGCCCTTCTTATGAATACATATTAAAAGTAAAGCAGTAAAGGTAATAAACATGTTTCAACATAATGTAGTCCAGAACAACATCACATTTAAACTCAATGAAACATCTAATTTAATTTACACATTTTATGTCAATGTCACCAGAAACTGAACATTATAAACTCTTGTAAATGTAGAAGTTGTGGCAGGACTGTTGTATTACAATAGATTATACAGGTGTACTTTGAATATTAACAGTAGATTATAAGAGAATGAATACAGTAGAGTGAATACTGACTATTGGATTGTCATTATGCCACAGTAATCCCATTAATACAGCAATAATTTGACTTATGACTCATGTAAACTCTATTGATGCACTCTCAGTCAGTGTCTGGAACAACAACAGGAATATTCTAGTGATTTCATACTGAAGGTGTGACAGTTTCACACCTTTTTCTAGTCGTAAAAAAGAGCCTAAAAGTCAAATTAATTCTTAATAATGAAGAATAATAAAGCTCTAATAAGTTAACTTATGGTCTCAGTACGAGTGGGTCTTACCTCCCATGGTGCTGCTGTCACAGCCTCCAGCCCGTCAGTGTTGCTCTGCTCTGCTCCAGGTGGTACTACAGCCCTACAGGTGATAGTGGGGGGGTGGGCGGAGCTTTTGACGTGCTCCCGAGCCTGTTGCACGAGGCTGTTACGTCACTAATGAGCACGCTGAACTTTTTCACGCTCAATGATAAGTCAGCAAGGAGAAAATCAATCATCAAATGTCCGCCTTTATAGGAGTAAACACTTATTTTGAGAAATATTATGAGAAATAAACTATAAAGTGAGGTTTAAAAAAAAAGTTTAAACTCTAATAATGGCATAAACTCCACAATAAGAGTGGGTTTATGAGAATTTTAGCACCAATTTGTTCAATATCATAAACAGACATGAAGGATGAGGAACAGACTGATGACAGCAACAGGTGTTACAGGTACCTGATGAACTAATCTCTGTAATCTCAGGTCTTCTCTCGACGGGGGAGGCTCAACCGGTCCATCTGCCTCCTCCTGCGCCGGGCCAACACCAGCGAATTTCAAAATAAAAGCATACATTCTTTGAGTGGGCGGAGGAGCAGGTATCGGCGTGGCGTGGCGGTGTGTGTGTGTGTGTGTGTGTGTGTGTGTGTGTGTGCGCTTTAGATACAAACTACAACTTTTAACTAAAACAAAGTGTAACCTTTTCTTTAAATATTTGACTTTGTTTACAATGTAAACACATAACACAATAAGTTAAAATAACAGAAGAAAAATCAGTCGTGTGAGTGTTAAAACTCTTTATTTTTCTCTTCTTATTCATATACAAATACAGATTTTGATTGAATGTGGGGAATTACATTATCTTACAAAATCAACCACAATTTTTTTTAAAAAAAAGAAGCAAAATTGGCAGAAAAATAAACACTGTCAAAAATTTCAGTCACCTTTTTTTGTTTTGTTATTCGGAAATCTCTTATAACTTACTGTGTAAAAGTCCTTGAGGTAAAAATATGAAAATATACATTTTTATTTCAATTAACAATAAAAATATGTGAGAAACTACCAACAATGATGTAAGTAATAATGCATGAATAAAAAAAATGAGTATTGTCTCTGTCAATGGCTTTGATTCATCAAGTCAAGTTCAATTGTCAATATATTTCCTATTATTACTTGATTCTATGCTGTTTCAGACAAATATAAACGCTGTAAACCTCAGAAAGCAATGCGATATCTTCAAGACACTCTTCTATTAAAGCTGTGTAACTTTAGCTCCGAGTCATTTTCACTGGACTAACACAAGGAAGGTTTTGTTGGTGTGAAGTAGTTGTTGCTACGTGGCCTCGGACAACAACAGAGATGAAAGCTGAGCAGCTCTTTGCAGTGGATCTGTGTTTTAACGACGACGTCTCCTGCGCTCCCTTAGTACAGCATCACGTCAAACGAGTTACAGTACATGTGGTTCAAACGTCTAGCCGGGTCCACGTTTAAACAGCCCCTGTTTCCATTACGGATGAAGATCTACCACGAACACTTAACAGGCAGTTTCTTTAGCGAACATTATGTGCTGCTTTCAACAAAATACACACATATTTCTCAACAGACACAGAGTCCAAGACACCAGGTCCGCCACAGCGGGTCAAGTCCTGTTCAAATCTTTTCCACATAGTTACCAGGGAAGAGACCTTCCTTTCCGTAAATCCTTCCTGTCCACCAGCCTGATGGATCTGTGGAGACAATGAGCAGAGAGAAATATCGTTGACCACTGTAGGACGTTCCAAATCTAACAGATCAATCGTTTTTTATTTATTTACTCTCCATCTCGCCTTCCTTTCATCCACACACCTTCTTTGACGAGGTCGAACACGTCATTGACCTCAAAGCTGATCTCGTCCGTGTCCTGGCCGACGTACTGATATATCGCCCGGCAGCGGGGCCCCTGGGGTCGAGGCTGTGGTTTAGGAGCAGGAGGAGGTCGATGACTGATGCTCCTTTTCCTCTGCTTCCTGTGGCAAAGAGAGACAAAGGAGCTGCTTATGAGAGAGACTCCAAAGAGCACTTTTGCTTCTTATTTTGGAACAAAACCTCCCATTAAACTACATATATATATTTCTATTTTGTTTATGTGACAGTGTGGAGCTACTTAGCTGCACCAGAGTTAGCAATGAGCTAATTAAACTGTAGTCTATGGATGGACTTACAAGCGTCGCTCAACAGAGACTGAGGACTTTCTCTCAGCTTTTGTTGCTAAAACTTGGTGGAAACATTGCGAGAGTTTAAAAAAAAACCTGCATGCGGAAGTTGTGTGCTTGTACATACTGTCCTACCATGTAATGATGCTTGTGAGATCCATTTTAAATGTTTTTAAAGGCTCTCTCTGTGTTACAAAGTGATTCGCTGTATCTCCAGTTTGTTTCACTACAGAGGAGAATGGGTGGAGAGCATTCTTTCAGGTAAGGCATGTCCTTGAAGTAAGGGCCGTATGTCTGTTAGCGGCCCTTCTCGCTGCTGTTCAAACTACTACTTTGCTTATGGACGATTGTTAGGTTGCTTGTCCGAATCTCCACCCACACATTTCTGACATCCAAATTGAGGCGGTCTGACAATGTCTGTCGCTTACAGAAACCAACAATCCAACATGTTTGCCCACTTCAGGCAGTGGCTGGCTTGTTAGTTTTGTTATTAGTGCAACACCACGAATGACTTCCAGGAGATACTCTCTGAAAGATCGGCTCCATATTTAAGGGATTTTCATAGACAGGCTCTTTGACCTGCCTCGGAGAGTGGCCGTTCTGAACAGTTACTAACACGTTCGTGCCTTCGGACGTGTCTGGACGACAATTCCTACAAACCAGTTTATTTCAAGGCCTCTGCAGAAACTAGTGGATCAGCAGCTAGCCCGGAGGTGGCATCAGGACTTCAATTATCTACAAACAGGTTTGTCCCTCTCGCTATGGAATTCCTTCATTCAAGTGTTGAGCCTCACCTTGACATGCCTTAAAACTCAATAAGCTAGTTTGGACTGATTTTAGTGACGAATCAGCGCCACCCACACATGCTGTCCCTTCCTTCCCCTTTTATTCATATCTCACACGGGGGATCTTTCTTACCCTGACATGCCTTGGTCAGGCACATTAAGAAAGTCCAGGTTCCCCTGGTTGGGCTGGTTGTGGGCTGGGACCCTGGGGCCTCTCTGGGAGCCCAGTTTCGGCAGGGCCGTGCTGGGTGGCCGGCCATGTTTTTGCGGGGAGGAATATGTCATATCCGATTGTTGGTTGTGAGGGGCTCGGGAAAACTTGGCTGCTCCATTCTGGTGCGCTGAGGAGAGAGCGAGTGGGATACAAGTAAAGATAAAACTCCAGACTTCAAAACAAAAAAGCTACTCAGAAATATCCAGTTTTTAAATTATACAGTAAGTTTAGATAGTTTATGTAGTAGTATTGAGATATTTTAGTTAAGTAGAATTACATCAAGAAAGAAATACTACAAATAAACTAAAAGTCCAGCACTCAAAAGTTTACTAGTACAGTACTGGTGTGAGCTCAAAAATGTAGAATGAAAAGTATAAAATAAAGAATAAAAGTACTCGTAATGGAGGCACAATGGCTCCAGACAGCATCATATTTGACCAGTTTCTTATATAAAACCTTCAAAGTAACTAGTAACTATAACTGTAGTAAATGTAAATGTAGTAGTGTGAAGATTACAATATTTGAATATTAAAGTAGAGCTGTAATGTACAGGGGCATAAAATGCAAATAGTCAAATAAAACTAAAACCGTACATAACTACAGCCATGTCTACGGTCATGTAAATGATGTATTTAAGTAAGATATACAGATACTATACTGAACATAACAATATAAAATGAAAGAGTTACAGAAAGGTAGAGCTGTGACTTTACCTCTGCTGGCAACATTACTTCTTTGTCCGCCACGAGACTGTGGAACACCCTTCCTGGTTGGCTCTGAGGAAACAGATGCTTAGTTACAAAAACATTCATATAAACAACAATCAATGTATAGTAACATTTTCTAGGTTAGCCTTACTTATATCAAGGCTGTGTCATTAATTCTTCTAACTTACTAGAGGACTTGGGTAGACCGTCCCCAACTGTGATGGTGAGGGTTTTCCCTCCTGGTTTGAGCTGGGCTAGGTCCCCTTGCCCCCTCTGAAACACCACCACCCTGGTGCCTCCTCCACCCCAGCCCTCCTTCTTCACTCTGAACTCTAGCCTGAGTGGGAAGAAAAGTGTGTTAGTGATTTTATGTACGTGAGTCTCCATGCAACTGTAGTCTGTCTCAGTGTAAAGGTTCAGTACCGGTCAGTGAAGGAGATTGTCAGTTTTCTCTTGGTCACGTCCTCGTAGCGTTTTGAGAGCAGGCTGAGGAACTCTGTCTTAAAGTTGGACTCCAGCAGACTGTCGTACTGGGACTCGTGTAGGATGAAGAAATCATCCTGTCTCGTACTGAAGAAAACAAAACATTACATTAGGGCAAGATGAAAATTAAACTGGAAAAGCTTAAATTTCCTGAAGTATATCTGAAATATATGCCAGTGCAAAAACACTGAAACACAGTTACTGACTACACATATTGTGCTTTGGGAATGTCTTTCTATGGCAGTCTCAAGTTATATCTGAGGTTAAAGATATTAAAGGTGTGTGAACATGTACCTGAAGTTAAAATGGCAACACTGAAAAGACTTAGGTTTCAGTTTAAGGGTAAATTAAGTGTCAGTTTGAGTGAAATTCCTAAAAATGGAAGATGTGTACATGTAAAAGTAAAAAAAGTATAAATATATTATATATATTTGTTCAGGCTTTTATGCCTTTATTTGGACAGTGAGAGGTGAAAATAGACAGGAAAGGGTTCGAGAGAGGGGAAGACATGCAGCAAAGTTAGTCTTTCTAGTTCAACCGAGGTGTCAGGCCTCTACAAAGAGTCACAGATATTAAATCTGACTGGTTGTGAGAAGAAAACTCTGACACACAAATCTTTTTATACTTTCTGAAATATTAGATTTCTTTGTGCTATATTAGCTAACTTGACCTCTTGGGCCTCCAATGGTTATTTCAATAGAATAGAAGTATCTTTGGTTCAACCAAAAATAACTCATAGACATCTGAAACAGGAGGAGTAGCCTTAACCAGACAAGGCAAAAAGGTTGTGTTGTATTTTAGAAGCTTTTTGTGGAAAATTTTAATCTGGAAAGTTAATTTTACAGTAAATACACCTGTCAGATAAATGTAGTGGAGTAAAAGGTAAACATTATTCTCTAAAATGTAGTGGAGTAGACGTGTAAAGCACATATAAAAACCCAAATAAAGTAAAAGTACATCAAAACTGTACTTAGTAGGTGTTATAGAGTTTGCACTGCTGATCAATCAATCAATCAAACTATTTGTGTAGCTTATGACATACAAGTTACTGTCCAGTACAGGTACCATTCAAAGTGTTTATAGCAGTAATAGCTGTTGCATCCATAGCAGTAGGAGTCACCTATTATACTTTCAGAAAAAGTCTCTCATGGAAATCCAGCCTGACGTTTGTGTAGTATTTGTGTTTGTGAAACTCACCCCGAGATGTCAAGTGAAGCAATAAAAAGAAGACCAAATTCTCTGAATTCTCAGTTCAGCTTGTTTCAGCAGCATTCACTGCTATATTTACTGTTAATGCAACAGTGTGAGTTCTCATGCAGTGGTTAGTGACTGACAAGGCAGTGTGTGAGTTCTTGTATTTTAGCCCACAGTATCAACCACAAATGTTTCTACTCTACTGGCAGATGTAGTAGTGTAAACTAGAGACCTACCTCAGAGAGACTCCATTAATGCTTGCAAACTCCAGTTTTCGTTTCAGCACCTCCTTTATTTGTCCTTTCTCGGGTCCTTTCTTCACCTTCTCACGACCAATCAGATAGATGCCCTTGGGGGTCAAGATCATATCCCTTTTGATAGACTGAGAGACAGAAAAAAAAGAAAAAAAAAAAAGAAGTGAGAACTGTGAGCAATGCCAGAAAAGGAGAAGAGTGGGTAGCTTTGAGGAAGAGGTAAGACTTGTGATGCATTTGTGACACATAAAATTAAACATAACGATTCTTCGTAAAGCTTCACCTTGAACCTGCGATCAAACTTGTTGACAGAATCAGCGAAGTCCACGCGCTCCCTCTTGGCCAGGAACTGTCGCAGCTCGGGCCTCTGCTCCAGACCGAGGTAGTCTCCCACAAAGTTCCTGTTGATGCTGTTCTTCCTCCGCTCCTTCGAGTTGTACAGGATGTCTGAGGCTGTGTCGCAAGGATGGACACACATTGAGAATCACAGCTCCAAAGCATGCACTTTCGAAAAGAGGAAAGATATTTTTGTTCTTTGTAACTTACCCTCCTCTCTCATCTGTTCGTACTTCTTCCTGGCAATGAATCTTCTCCAGGATTTCTGAATGATCCTGGCAAACGTGTCAAACTTCCTCTCCCTCATCTCCTCAAGCAGGAAAAGCTATGGAGCATACAGCATGAGGAAGGGGTTTAAATTTATCATTTATTTCTGAATACATGTCATTTTTTTATAGTATTGCAGCAATGTGCTGTCTGTTAATTAGAAAATGTCTTTGTTAAATGAACCTCTGCTCACAGAAATGCATCAGTGTGTCATTTGAAGTGAACTGTAACATTACAATACATGCAGATCAATATCAGGAGGAGGAAGTTTTCAGATAAATGGCCACTTGGGGGTAGCAGAAACAAGTTGTGACACATCATCAAGCTTTAAGTTGTTTAAGTTCAAAGAGTTTACACATCCAGCAGTTACAGAGGAATATTATCATTCATTTAGAGTCATGTTTGTTGCCACCTGATGAATATTAACTCTCTTTTAGCTCCTGAGGGAAATATATTTAGCAGCTAAATGCTCCTCTGTGTTCATCAGGTCCTGTACAGTGAGGTTTTAAACCACTGTATTCAGACTAAACCACCGCTACAGCCTAAACGCACTTTGTGGAGTATCTGTTCACTACAAATGTCAAATGTATTGGAGTAAAAAGTATTTACCTCTGAGCTGTATGGAAATACTTAACTCTAATTTTCAGTAAATGACAGAACTTTAGTAAATACAGACTGAAAACATATGAAAGGTTTGTTACCGATTCAGGGTTCTTGACAAAAACCTTGGTGCGTCCCATCTGGTACTGGTCGTTATCCATGTTGACAGACCGGAGAAGGTGAAGAACCCCCTGCTGCTCCGGACCCCTCCAAGATGGCCATGTCTCAGCTGTCAGAATGGCATACCTGGATACAACAAGTACACACACAGCAACCAAAAGTCACTTTGAGAGTGAGTTACAGCTGTATTATTCTTTCAGGACAAACACACACAGAAGTGTCCTTCCAAGAAACGTGCATTAAACTCACCTCATCAGAAACTTATTGAAGGCTCTGCGGTATGCAAATCCAGCTCTTCTTACACGTATGTTTTCCCGCAGTCCCAGGTATTCAACTTGATGCCTTGCCCTAAAAAAAAAACAGTTGGAATATCACCATTCATTAATAAGGGTTTACTACATGTTTGAGTGTATGTGTAAATGTTTGTCACAGTGAGGGTGCTGACCTGCTCTCCTCCCAGTCTTTTGGCCTCTTTGTCTCATTAGGTTTGATACAGCGGATATAGTGCGGCGTGCATTTCATCAGCGTGTTCACCAGATCATTAGCTTGTCTCTATTTAGAAACAGCAGTGAGCGATCAGTGTCATTGAACTCTCTTCTGTTTTATGCATTCAAACTGAGTTTAAACCCTCACCTTGATCTTCGAGCTGGCTGTGGTTGGCCTGCTTTTCTTATCTGTGTTCAGGTTTTCAGGGAACAAGCTGCAGATGAAGTTACTGTAAAGACAAATTCAATATTAACTGCATTTATCTTCTAAACACACCACGAGTGAAAACATCAGATGGGTGATGTGACTCACTATTCGCTGCTTTGCATGAGCTCAATGAGGTCTGGGAAAAGGACATCCCGGTTTCTCTCGCAGAAGCCGTTGATATCATATGACACCTGAGACGACAGCAGACAATATTACTGCTGTGTAAATATCATTAACCACGCAGAGGACAGGTGATTCTGTCGGGTTATTTGCTGTACAATTTTGCATTCGAATGTGCTTACGGTTTAATGTGTTCCTGCAACGACAAACATACTTTGACTAAACCTTCAATAACAACACACAAATCTCCCAACAAGCATTATAAACAACAACAACTACTATACATAAAATACATATTCGTCTGATTTCATGTTCCTACCTTGCCGGCGTAGTGATGTACGACAAAGCCGGAGTTCCAGCTGTTGAAATGTTCATGCGTTCCCACAGCGGCCTGCAGTTTCTGCAGCAGAGTGCCATCTGCACCATCTCCTTTGGCATGCATGGTGGCGCACACATCATCCAGCACGCTCATTATACCAGGAGGGTTCTGCGAGGAGAAGATGCAAATGATTTTACACATTTGAAAGCCAATTCCCCATGCAAACATAAAGAATGCTAAGTAGATAATAAAAATAACAGGATAGTGACAATGTCCTAATTCAATTACTGATAGAACCATTAAATCCAAGCAAGAACACTTTAATTTCCCCAAAAAGGCAGAAAAAGAAGTCACACAGTTTTTGCATGCAGCCTTTTTTTCCCCTCTTATGAACCACTTCATATGTATCTGTGTAAAGCCTGTATTAATACTGTACGTTGGTGATGTGATTACGAGCTTACCAATTTATTTTCAATGAGGTCGCACACTATCTTGTTGTTGAAGTACTCGATGGGAGTCCACTTGATGCCCTCCTGAACGTACTCTTCCTGAGAGAAAATTAGAAGACAAAATAAAGGAAAAAGAGCTCAAAGGAAAACTGATATTCAGACTGAATTACACACAGTCGCTCTACCAAACATAAACCCATTTACTCGAGGAGAGACAAAGGAAGACAAAGACATGTGGCAGAATTTACAAAGAGCTATAAATTTCACTGTAGCTACCTGCTCAGCCTTTAGAGTCAGTTCAATAAAGATCTGTTGAAGTTTCTCGTTGACAAAGTTGATACAGAACTGCTCGAAGCCGTTTTTCTGCCGGGGGTGGAGAACACAATCCAGTCAATATCAGATTATCACCACAGTAAATCAAATCTGTGCTGTAACGGCTGTAAAACTAACATCTGTTGTTTTAGCGGCAGCCTATAAATGTTATGGGACTATAAGTTGCAAGAGGACTAACCTGGAATATCTCAAATCCATAAATGTCAAGTACTCCGATACTGAATTCTTCATGTGGTTTTTGGATGGCTTTATTTATGGACTGGAGGAGACAAGACAGGGTAAGGCCAGGAGGAAAATATAAAACACATTATATGTCAACTTGTGTAGGTAAGTTTAATTACCTCCACCAGGAAGTCAAACACTCGTGCATAGAGGGCTTTGGCCAGGGCGTCTCGTGTGTAAGTGGCCTGCTCCTGGTTCAGGGTCACATTAATGGATTCAGACTTTCCTCCCCACTTTGAATCCATCTTCCGGCTGGTCAGCTTGTCCTGCAGGCGGTTGGGGTCGATGCCCAGCAGGTAGGCGGGGAAGGCAAGTACTGGAAAAGCCAAAAATTGTATTTCAAATATACATAAATATATTTAAATGATGTCAAAATGTATGGAAGCAAATAGGAGACACTATTGTATTTGAATGTTCAAGAAATTTCCTATTTAAATTGGTGAATTCAGAACAAATTAATTCATATACATGGTTTTCAAAGTCAAATATTTCTCCTATTTGCTTGTGTAAAAGTTAAGCTTGCAATAAAGGCTCAAGACTGCCTAGAGAATTTATTTGCTATAAATGTGGATATAAAGTCTGCAGCAGCTTAAATTGTACAAATCTAAACAGCGACTGTGGGATGGTAAAATTGCCACCCTGGATGCAAACACCAATTATCTGTTGAGCAAGGAATCCCTAGGCAGCAAACAAAGGAGAAGATAAACAAGGTACTACTGATGTGCACAGAAAGATCAATTAGCAGGGTGTTTGCCATGGGACTGCTTTGTAATGGTGAGCTCTAATTTACTCATATCCCTTGGGGAATTTCACACGATACGCCAGGTGGGAGTGTGTTTGTGTGTGTGTGTGTGTGTGTGTGTGTCACATGCATGGATGAGTGAATACATGTGCGTCTGGTGTATGTGCATGTGTCTCACTCACAGTCCGTGCTCTCCACCTGCCCGTAGTTGCCTGCCTCTATGAAGCTGATGTTTCCCAGGTGGAGGATGCCCGCCACGATCTGCAGCACCTGAGTCTGGATGTCACCTGGGATCCCAATCACATGCATTGCTTCCTGAAGACCACGATACAAAAGCAGACAGTGCCCTCAGCAGTATGTAGCAGTCATTGAAAATATTTGGGTTTTTTTCGAGACCAAATTTGAGTATTTGCTATTTTAACTATACATATTTTATTTCCTGTTCCTTCTGGTTGGAGGATAATAAACAATAACATACTACAAATGCCTCGGTCAGTTCTTTATTTTTATTATTATTATATCAGTAAACATTAGAGTGAATATAGCAACTACAATAAGTTTAATACAGCACCCTTGCAATAATTCCTACCTTTATGAGTGTTAAATGTTGAGGTGTTATTGAAACTTTTTTAAGAAAGGCAAAAAACTGAAAATACAATCACCTTACGTTAATGATGGCCGATTAACAAACGTGAGCTATTTCTTCGAACTAGTTCCCATTAAAACTATTCATAGCGAGGTCCGTGGATTATATAGAGTAACAGAGGCACCGTTTCTGGGAAGACATGATTCTGTTAAAAATTTTACAACAACATAATTTGTCAATTTGTTGAATTCTAATCACCTCTATTTTATTTTAAGTGGCGGAAGAAAACTTTGGAGACTGATATCTCGGAAGCTAACGATAGCTATCTTTACGCCATAGTACAGGTAAGTAAGAAAACATGTTATGTGAGTAAATGTGTTTAAAAAAAAATGTTGATGTGTATGTACAGTTGCCAGTCAGTGATACGTATTTCCATAATATAAGTGATATTAACATTGTGTTCCTGTGTTCCTTCAGGGCTGGATTACCAACTGGGGCAAAGCAGGCAACTTCCCCTGGGCCCAGGACCCCCATCAGGACCAGGACCAGGACCAGGACCCCCCAAAATCCCCAATCACTGTGTGCCAACTGATTTATGGTAATATGATCAATAACTTTGTTTGGGAATTTGCTCTATATAAAATCACAGTATGAACAGACATGATAAGGGCCTTAAGGTGAGTTATCAGTTGACCCAAATCAAGGCATTCAGGTTATTATTATTATTTAATCTGACTCCTAAACTAGGATGAGTTATAGGAATAGCATAAATGGCCTAAATTTGTGTAGCATCACCCCCATGGCTCGTACAATTTTTACCTGTGGCCCCTATATACCCACCATAGTCTCTTGGAAGTCTTTGCTGTCATTGGTCCCATCCACCTTGTAGGTCCCAGACTGGTTGAGGTAGTAGTAGTAGTCTGGGGTCATGATGCCCAGACCCTCTTTCTGCTGAGCGTTGGCGCCCTCTATCAACTTGAAGACAACAGCGCAGGTTAGAGGAGCATTTACACATCAATCTCTGAGGCACCAAACACATGAGGGACATTTAAATTCCATAAAAACTTACTAATTAATTAACAGTATTAAGAGCTAGTTTTTAAAGCGGCTGCAGGCAGTTCGTGTTTCTTATAAGCCTCTGACCTGATAGTAAATGTGGAAGTTCCTCTCGCTCTCATTCTGGCTCACCACCCTCGACTTCTCCAGGAGGAAGTTTGAGATTTTGCCACCGTCTGGCTCTCCACCCCTGCTGAACTGAATCTCAAAGTATTTCCCCTGGTAGATGCAAAATAAGAATCAACAATCGGAGGTGACAAACGTGCAATCTGCAGATAAAATCTGCTCGAACAGGTGCAGGGCGAGCAGAATAATTTCCCCTTCCTTGTGCACTCATCCTGAAAGCCTTATTAACCAATAAATACAAGTGGATGTAGATAACATAACATTAAACCTGACTAAAATTAAAAATAAAAACTGTGACTTTTTCAGTGTTGCTACATGTGTATGTCTGCATACATTTAACCTCACTGACAAGCACATGTGCCTTGTCAAGGGTGACGGAAAACATTTTTAAGTCTTGCACTAAAGCTGCACACAATGCGGTTGTTGTGGTTTGTAGGTGTTAAATAAGAGCATCAGGACCCCGCTGATGAGAAATGAAGGGATGAAATGAAATTACTATTTTGTGAGCATCAGTTAAACACCGTCGGCAGGAGCAATGCCTCTGCAGTGCATGCAATTCTGATTACCCCAGTTTTAGCTTCTCAGTTGTGAGTATTTGCTTATTCCTGTCTTATGATGGTAAATTCAATATCTTGAGATTTTGCACGTCACTTTTTTGGGACATTTTTCATTCATTTCTGATGTTTTATTGACCAACAATAATTAATAACTGAGAAAATTTGCAGACTAATCATGATAATATAACTTATTAGTTCCCAGACTGCAGTGTCAGCTAGAACAAGTCTGTCTTCGTTATAAAATGAGTGATGCACCCTTCTTATTATGATTCAAATTTAATTCAACTGCTGTTTTAGGTTAAGAATGAACTTGTAAGTAGTTCAAAAGGCTTTGCAACATAAATAAGCAGGCGAGTGTTATAATATTGGTGTTATCTGTTGACTTTGTAATGTGTCGGTGGGTTCAGTTCTTTCTTACGTCAGGGCTCTACGTGTTGTTTGAAACATAAGTGATCTTTAGATATAGTTAATAGCATCGTGAATATTTATTTGTTAGACACTTGTTGGATTTCCACATTCTTGGTAGTGGTCTGTTGTACTTTTGTCTTTGTATTATTATTCTCAAATACAATACTTTAAAAAGTCTGCAGCCGTGTTAGAAGTTCTGCGACTTCATGGTGGCCCTAAAGGAAAAGTCACCACATTAGGATTCATCCTCTGGGGTCTATGAACATCTGTACATAATTTAATGGCAATCCATCCGAAATTGTGACTCCAAAAATATAAAAACATAGATTTAAACATGTGCAATCCTAATAGGATTGAAAGCCACACAGCAGCTACTGAATGGATCTATAAATGTACATTTCTTAATACATTTAAAGGTCCTGTGTGTAGGATTTAGTGACTTCAGCTCATTCTAATGTAACAAAAAACATAACAGTTCCTATATGCATGTACACTAATAGCTATGAATATTATATAATATTATATAATATTATATTCAATCAAGATCCTGCTAAATGTTACTCACTGAACCTTTAAAGTAAAGATGGTACTCACAAAACGACTAGAGTTGTTGTTGCGGACGGTCTTGGCGTTACCAAACGCTTCCAGCAGAGGATTTGACTGTAGGATGATGTCTTTAACATGCTGCAACACACACACACACCAACACACACATACACACAGTGACACAATGTGAGACACAACTACCTACACACCACACTGTAGGAAGTATAAAGGTTTCTTGAGCCACTGTCTTTCTACCTGAACTTTCGACCCTCCTCCGGATACTTTGGAAATGTAACCCATGATGTACTTGGCAGCCACTGTCTTTCCAGCACCACTTTCACCACTTCACCGCAACGCCATGTAAAACAGGACACAACACACCACAAAACAACACAATATTACCCAAAACACACAAGCACATGGCAAGACTATCACAAAATAACACAACCACACGCAGTCAAATATAAACGCTTAGATTAAACCTATCACCTAATGATGACACACTGATTCTCTCCATCAATCATCATGTTTCTGTACATGTTATCAGTCAAGGCGTAGATGTGGGGTGGATTCTCATACTGGGCCTGGAGGAGCAGATAGAGAGACAGATTTGTGGTCAGTTCAGGCTCAATCACACACACACACACACACACACACACACACACACACACACACACACACACACACACACACACACACACACACCACAAATTCATAGAGACTGTTGATAAAATGCTGAAGATTATTTTTACTCACGGCTCCTTGGTAAAGTTCGATCTCTCTGTCAGTGAAATAGGGCATCTGTTTGAACGGGTTTACTGATATCAATACGGGGCCGATGTATGTCTGAAGCAGGGAAGTCAAGGAGCGTGATGGAAACATAAGCTTGTAAATCACCTGTAGAAACTGTACATTTTTAATAGAGCCTGACCTAATGCCCTTTGATATCAATATTTGAAGTGTAATTTCTAATATATTCCCCTTTAATATGTTTATTAAAGGTCCAGTGAGTAACATTGAGGAGGATCTATTGGCATAAATGAAATATAACATTCATATGTTTGTTTTCATTTTTGTTTAACTGCCTGAAAATAGGAATCGTGTTTTAAAGTAAGCTGCTTCGATCTTTTATCGCCTTCCATGGAGTCCCCTATGTTGAACTGCCATCTCACAGTAGACCAGACAAACCAAACACTGTCTTTTTTTGTGAGTTTCACGCCCACTGTGGTTTCTCCTACACATTCCCAGGTCGTCAAATACAGACGCAAACAGTGTTCAGTTATCTGCAGTCTGCAGTTTCATTGCTAGATGCCACTCAGGAGTTATGACTCATATATGCACTAGACATTTTACAAGTCAACTCATATTTATTCATAGAGAACCTTCAGAAACACCCAAAGTGACCCGGAGTGCTTTACAGAGAAATTTAAATACAATTAAATGGCTTGAAAATGACCAGCTAATGATTAGTAATAAGTAATCGTCCTCAACCGTCTTCAGGAAGCTGTAGACATCAACTTCATCGACTTTGAGAAAGTGTTTGGACAGCTTAGACAGGACAATACTATAGTGCCTAATGGACCGCTATTGATTACCCACCAAGAGTTTTCATGTCAAGACGGGGGCGTCAAGCACGGATGTCTACTACTTTCTTTTCCTGTTCGGAAACAACAGAGGGGAAAAGAAATGCAATTCTGTGGACAATGTGGTATCGGCTGGATGACATAGTTCTCCTTTCACACATATAGATACAAATGCAGGAAAAAGACAGACAGACAGACAGACAAACAGACAGACAGACAGACAGACAGACAGACAGACAGGCAGACAGACAGACAGACAGGCTTTCACAAGGTCTTACACCCAATGCAGCAAAGACACAGCTGAGGAAGATCCACTCCAAAACCTGCAACCCTATCCTCATGCACGACACTTCCCTAGAGAAGGTAGAATTTAGATTTTGAACAGTTCCCACCACGAGCAAGAACTTGGCGACAGTGGCAGGAAATAAAACTTCCTTTGAAGATGCTGAAACCTCAAGGTACCCTGCTATTGGCCCCCCTATGTATAAAGGTTGAGTCCTTGCTGCAGCGGCCATGGGTTCAAATCCAACATTTGGCCCTTTGCTGGGTATCATCCTCTCTCTCTCTACCCCCTTTCCTGATTATCTTCAGCTGTCTATCTAATTAAGGGGAAAAGCCCCTGAAAAGAAATTGAAACCTCGGGGAGACCCCTCTAGGTTTGCCAAATCTGAAGTTAGCAAATAAGTAATCATATTATCCACTAATAGTCATTCTAACTTATTGCTGCAGTGTAGTTTAACTTGAGGTGACGTCAGCTGCGTGCGGATTTTATGAAAATGTATTTTCCTGACTCTAAATTTGGGTTTGAAGTTCAGCTGTGCTCTGAGAAGACGGAAGTGAGCTGTTGAGTCACACAGTGAATGCAGAAGAGGAAGAAGTGAATTCATTGTACTTATGCCCTTATATGTTATGTTTTATATTTGCTTGATTTCTTTCCACTGGATTCTTTTTGTTCTTCTTTGGTTGGCAATATTTGTGTGTGTTTTAATTTGGGGATGTATGTAGGAGTGTGACCGTATTGGACTTGAGTAACAGAGAATAATATAAATAGTATATGGCACTCAACACTAATGTCCACAACGTCACCAACTGAGATTTCTTAAATCGCCCAATTTTCTTGTACTTTTGAGTGATAAAAGGTAGAAGTAGAGGCTGACAGAGAGCAACATTATTGACACATAATGGCTAAACTTCCTGTCCCACAGTCATCATTTCCTCCCCTCAATGATCTAAATGAGACCAAACATTTGGTTGTTTGGCCTCGTTTTAACTCTTCTTTTTACCTTTCTTACGTCAAAGCAACAAAATAACACAATAACAAAGAAAAACGGAAACAAACATTTGTAGGATACAAAGATGTAGTCGTCCATGTATCTTTTCTTGAGGTTGTCTACAATGGCGTCCTCAGTGATCTTGGACAGCAGGACCATGTCGTCCACCCCGCTCTGCTTCACATTCTGACTCTGCCAGTGGTACTTCGCCTGAATCACACCGGAGAGACAAGACAGACATTGGATATGTGCTTATGATGCAGCTTTCTTTGATTTCTTTATGTATTGGATAATACATGGAAATAGTGCCAATGAGTTAAATAGTTTAAAGAGGCATTACACTGAGATTGAGTGTTTTTCACACTTTTGTGTTGAGAAAGTATGAAAAACGCTGTGCTTTGACAGACAGGGGAATTTATTGGGCAGGGAGAGTCAAAATTAAAATTGTATTAATTAATTCAGTGTGGTTATTTGGACTTGACCTTGACGTCAGACTCATTTCTCAGGCTCTGCTAATTGGATTTTGATTATTTTATCTAAATTGTTGTAATGTGCCTTTAAGTTTAAGTACGCACAGCCAGAAACAAGCAACAAGAAAACTGAAAAAGAAACAGAACAGGACAGAAAGGAACTAATAAAGAAACTAACAAACAACAATAAATAAAGTTAAATAAAGAAACTAACAAACAACAATAGACAGTTAAGTTAAATAAAGAAACAAAGAAATGACAAATGAAGCACAAAAACAAGAGCAAGCAAACAGAAATAAAAGAGTAAATAAAGAGCGCTGTAGACTGTAGACACGTCTAATAAAGAGGTTAATGACAACGACAAGTTCGGCATCAGTCTAGAGGTGTTTTAAGAACGTAACCCAGTGTGGTTGCCATTACAGGAAGCTGGGGTTGGTTGCCAGGCATTAGTCACAGACGAGGTGAGTTCATTTTCTAACTTGGTCATTTTAGAGAAGCGCCACCAAAACTTTGTGATGTGCCTGAACATATACAGTACCTGATTATAACATGTTGATGAAACAACAGCGACGGCTTTAAACTTAATGATTGTTGTGAAACGACGTCTGAGTTTGCTGTAATTAAGAAGGGCGTCAGACATACAGTAGTTGTTGTTGAAACCTTCTTACAGGAACCTGAGGTGCAATGTGTGTCTTGGTTTTCCCTAAAAGATGCTGGTTTATTTGATGTGTGAAGTCTTACAGGTATTGTCATTGGCATGGTGGTTGGGTTGTGGTCTAAGGATTTGACCTACGTTTTCTTTCTCACAGGGAGATGCTTACAGGCGCTATTCACACTACTGTGCCTCAGTCACTATACAGGACAGAGCTGCAGATCATAACAAAACCTCTTAAGAGCTGCTTCATTTTAGCTGTTGCCAGAATCATAGATGATTATTAGAATAGAACATGGGGCTTTATTTTAAACTCTAGTGGAGATCCTCAAGTTTCCAAAGATGCCAAATATGTCAGAGTAGGTTTTAAGGAAATGTGAACAGAAGATGCGTCTTATATTTCAATAAAAGACACTTTCTGCACTGTAGCTTCAAACATATTTGACTAAGCTGACACATAACAAACAGTGTAACATGTGGTGTCAATCATTTTATATTTATCTGTTTAAATTTAAGCACCCTCGAGGGGAACTTCAGACGGAAGTTGCAATTAATCTATTTAAAACACATGAAACCAAAAGCATCAAAGCTGTCAGTCTATTATAAATGTTATTTTTTTATCTTCGTTTTTGCTAAGTTACAACTTATATCTTATAGACTTAAAGGATAAATCTGCATTTATTCTGTATTTTTCTTAGAAAGAACAAATGAGTTCTTCTCTCAATACTTTCCGACTTCCCTTCACTGTCTGTGGCCCAAAGCCCACAGGTATATATATAGTTATATAGTTATATATATATGTATGTATTCTGGGGTCTATTTTCAGCAGCAGATGAGTATGTCGGGCAGCATGGAGTTGTACGTGGGATGGACTTGAGATAAACTACAGCGCCTGCATTATAATGAAGACACATGTCCCCCAGTGGAACCATTTGAATCGTTGATTATTTAAAATAGTTTTTTGGACAATAACAAAGCTCTATGGTATTATTTGTTAGTAGGATCAATTCATGGTTCAGATATAAGTAAGTAATAATGCCTGATGAGGTGTCCATTATCAGGAATTAATAGATGGAGGTAGGGATGGGGCCGATCCGATCCAGTATCGGTATCGGGACCGATACCAGCGTAATTCACGTATCGGAATTTCCCGATCCAACCTGCGCAGATTTCCGATATCCATGAGCCATGTCTGCGCTTTAACGTTAGAGTTATGAGAAACGCCTCCGCTCAGGAAATCCATTCAGCAGTTTGCAGCCAGCTAGCAGGATAGCATTGAGCAGCATTGTGGCTAGCCAACATGTTCGCTGTGTGGAAATACTTTACACTGGAAACACCGCAGAGCAAGACAGCAAAATGCAATGTTTGCAAAGCCGTAATTCAGAGACGTGGAAGCTCCCTCGCGTCGTACACTACGAACGCAATCGAACATTTAAAAAAGCACCACACGAAACAGCACGAGGATTTTTTAGGCGAGCTGTCAGGAATCACTTCTGGAGTCATTCCAAAAACAAAGTAAACTCCAGGCAGACAACAGGAAAGCTAAAGGGATTACCGAGTGTGTGTGTGTGTGCGTGCAAGCGAGCGTGTGTTAGATGTTTACACTTATTGCACTTTTCTTATATTTCAAGACTCAAACATTTTACATTTTGGGAATTTAATAAATATTGACATGACAATCAATTTGAAACCCTTACAGTTGCATATTTGTTTTCAGAATGGGATTTTTCCTGTTGACAGGATTTCCAGTTTTTCTGACTTCCTTTTCTGACCTTATACTTACCTCAAGTTGCCTTTTGGGACATACATGCATACATAAGTACATATCATACCTCATATAAAATCAACAATAATGATAATCATAATATTAAAGCAAACACAGCTCTGGTATCAGAATAGTATCGGTATCGGCCGATATCCAAATTCAGGTATCGAGATCGGATCGGAAGTGAAAAAATGTGGATCGGTGCATCCCTAGATGGAGGCCAGAACTGTCCAACACGCAGTCGTTCATTATATCCTGATAATGGACACCTTGTCGTACATTATTCCTGAACTCACTACATCCTCCATTTTATGAGATTTGTGACCAAACAAATATTAACAGATACCTTTAGGATTATCTGGAGGAACCCCATCTATAGTAGCTATTGTGCGTCTCTTGTTTTATTTGAGATAATAAAATAGTAATCAGTACAAGCCAGTCAATTATTTGTAAGCTGTCTGAGGCAAATGTGTGGCTTATAAAACATTCTAGGTAACAATTTAAGTAAGGAATAATGCCTGATGAGGTGTCCATTATCAGCAATTAAAGGATGACTGACTGCGTGTTGGATGGTTGCCTCCATTGAGTCCATTAATTCCTGATTCTGAACACCTTGAAGGGCTTTATCCTGCTTATAGTGTGTACTTGTGTTCAGTTTAGCTCTGTTAATGAAGCAGATTGATAAAGCCTCTGGATACAACCTCATTTTACACTCACAGGTTCAAGTGGTGCGGACACACGTTTAGTCTTTTCATCACAGAACCTCTTTGCTAAACACACAGTTGGATCTGGTTCTTGTACCACTCACCAAAGATCAGCTCTTTGGGAATAATCTGTTTTTAAGTCTGCAAGTCTACATTCAAAACTATCATGGCCCCTAAACTGTGGAACAGCCTCCTTGTTGAAATTCATCTTCTACCTTTTATACACTTAGATTTGTGCATTCAGCTTCCTATGCCCTGTCTCTCTTAACTCTTTTGATTAATTCATCTTTATGTATTAAAGCTCTTCTTTGTATGTTCCCAGTCATGTCTGATTAGGTTCTGCCTGGTGTTTTCAGTGTATTTTAGTTTTTTAAGAAGGTGTTCAGGATCAAATTATTACAAACACAACACAAAGATTACTGCAGTAGTGGTTAAAAATGTTGGTGGTCTGCGACGTATCTGTAAAAAGTCCCTTATGCCGGTAGTCGTTATGTTCATGGTTCTCAGAAGCATCAGATGTCTGATATTCAGGAAGATCCACTGACGTCACTGTGACCAGTTTTCATTGCAAAACACTTTAAACTCTCTAGACTCTGGACGGTTGCAGGAGAAACGTTGCTGCTGTTTAAAAAACGCAAGAACCACAAAATGATGCCAGTCACCTCTTTCGTGTTGTGGTTTTGACAAAAGAAACCTCAGTGAAACCGGAACACTCTGCACAGTTGTTGAAAAAAAACAACCCTAAACTCTGAGCTGACCCTTCAACACCGGTCACGCTCCTCCTTTCTGTCTGAGATGCTGCATCTGTTACTTGACTGTTTGCATGTCTCTCATATTTAAATAGACAACTGTGCAGACTTTTTTTTACTGAGAGGCCTCGTCAAAATCTATGACCACACTTTAGCCTGCGCCTCACTTATGACTCTTATTTTGAAAGGATAATAGCTATACGATTATGATTAAATATGCTGTTAGATACACTGAAGAGATTTTAGGCTTCAACAAGGAGACTGTGTGAATTTGGATGCATGTGGACCATTCTTAGTGAGAGGAGGAAGTGTTGTGACAGAAACTATAGGCCTCTCCTGTAGTCCACTTCCCCCTCTCACACCTCATCTCTGCCTCTTGTGAAACCCTATAAACTTTGTACATGCTACCGGTTCTCTTCCTGCAACTGCCTGCAAAAACTCTGGTGGGCTGCCAATGCTATTTTTTAACACCCTGTGAGATAAATCCCATAAACTGAGATTACAGCACAGTTCAAGACAATCACTGTACATTGTCTTTATGTATCTTTCTGCTTGTTTTAACACAGGCACCACATTTTATGTCAGTTTTCTTGTCCTCTATAGGCGTGCACTTTACATTTGTATTTCATCCAACGCAAGGGAGTCCAAATCCACACTTTTTTAAATCTAAAATGTGATAAGAAATCAACGCACATAACAGTGTATCCAATGTATTTTACTGCCTTAAAGCAGTCTCAATGAAAGGACCCTGTCCTGAAAAAGAGGAAACTCACTCTGCTGTGGCTGTAAAGGAGCTGAATTTCCCTTTTAAAAGACGTTATCACATCCCACCTCATGTCTAAGCCAAGACTTTAAAGCACCAACCTTTTAAGGCTTGTCAAATTGAAACTACTGAAATGAATTGCAGTTAATCGTGAGCTTGCAAACAGATAACTGTCTTGAAAAATGCTGCTTTTGGAAAAATCAAGAGCCGAACTGAGATCACCTTATATCTATATGAGAGAGAAAAACACAAAAATACGAATAGAAATAAGTTCTAGTTTCAGCAGAGTAAACATGTTACAGCTGTCTGAAGGTGTGAGAGACAGAGAGAGAGAGAGAGAGAGAGAGAGAGATGGTACTGTACCATTCTTCCACTGGGCCTCTCCTCCTCAGGTGTCCACTGTCCAGAAAGAGCGTCTATGTGTGTGCGTGTGTGTGTGTGTGCGTGTGTCGTTAGAATCCAGAGGTTGACCCCCCCGTCAGACTGCAGCCATCACACACACAGCAGGACGATCAGAGCCAACAGCAATCTACAACACCTCCACTGCAACAATTTAAACCCTACTTCCTCATACTCCCACAGATACAGTGTGTGAAACCAGAACTGCTGCATACACACACACACGCACACGCACACGCACAAGCACACACACACGCACACACACACGCACACACTACGCAAAGTTCAACAGTTACTTCTGTATTTCTGTCATATTAAAAAGTCACCAGAGCGAGGATAAAATAATGATCTAACGGGCTGTTGACAGCGTCCGCAGATCCAAAGGTTAACAGCACAATTAGTGAGTCCAGTTCATCGTGCCAGCAGCAGACGAGCGTTGATGACAACGAGAGCTGCAGAAGTGATAATTATCTTCAGTCTGTTGCCAAATGATGGTGTTTCAGTTGTAAGCTGCCGGCTCCACCCAGGCTGTGGTTGTATCACGGTGTGTTTGTGTCCTCAGAGGCTGCAGCTCCCAACGCCCATAATAACTGATGCGGGTTCACGCAGAGGTGGAGTGCAGTGTGTGTAGTGCGTGGAGGTGTCAAAATGTGTTATTGTTTTTGCTGCTTTTTGTCATTTTGACACGTTATTCGCACAGTAAACATAGACATTGAGGGGCGGGGTTAGAAACTTTCCAATGGGGCAGGTGGGGTGAGGGGGGTGGCTGGTTCTTGATAATAGTAAACTGAACATAGTAAGTCATTCAGTGTGAAAAATGAATGAAATCATAGAAATCAAAAGCTTTAAACAGCCTGGGTGCAGACATGTGAAATATCTAATTCTAATACAGGACTAATTCTGTGGTTGCTTTGCATCTATTTGTGGTCGATTTGTGTCTCCTTGTGGTCACTTTGCATCTTATAGTGGTTGTATTGTATCTTTTTCAGAGGTTGATTTACATCTCTTTGTTGTCATTTTGTGTCTGTTGTCATTTTTTGTCATTTTGTCTATCTTCATGGTCATTTTGTGTCTCTTTGGGGTCATTTTGTGTCATTTTGTGTATCTTCATGGTCATTTTGTGTCTCTTTGTGGTCATTTTGTGTATCTTCATGGTCATTTTGTTGTCATTTTGTGTCTCTTTGTTGTCATTTTGTGTATTTTCATGGTCATTTTGTGTATCCTCGTGGTCATTTTGTGACTCTTTGTTGTCATTTTGTGTATTTTCATGGTCATTTTGTGTATTTTCATGGTCATTTTGTGTCTCTTCATGGTCATTTTGTTTCTCTGTTGTCATTTTGTGTATTTTCATGGTCATTTTGTGTCTCTTCATGGTCATTTTGTTTCTCTGTTGTCATTTTGTGTATTTTCATGGTCATTTTGTGTATCTTCGTGGTCATTTTGTGTCTCTTTGTTGTCATTTTGTGTATTTTCATGGTCATTTTGTGTCTCTTTGGGATCATTTTGTTGTCATTTTGTGTCTATTTGTAGTCTCTTGGCATCTTTTAGTGGTTGTATTGTATCTTTTTTAGAGGTTGATTTGCTTCTCTTTGTGGTCATTTTGTGCATTTCTTGTCCTTGGTTGATTCCTTGGTTATTTTTTCCATTAATTCAAAAAAAGGAACTAGTGTCAGTAGCGAGAGATATTTAAAAAACATACATGTAGGTGCATCGTGTTAGCCTCATGGTTACATGTAGGAGGGTAGAGGAGAGCATAAATCAAAAATATTTAAAAGGTTCACACTCATATGTACACACATATAGTATGTATACCCACACACAATCAGCTGACCCTTTCTTGTCCTGTAATAAGGGCTCAGACAGCAAGAAGTTCTTGCTTAATCTTTTCCATGAAGGCTGTCAGATCCAGAAATAGATCCAGAAACAGATGACCATCACCGATGATCTCAGCCCGTCTGGATGACACTAACACAACCAATGTCTGTATTACTGATACAAATCTAAGTATAACACATATTGAAAGGAATGACCAAATCACATTTCTTAGAATCAACAATGCACCATGTTTAATCAATTTAATATTTCCTTTTAAAAAGATGTACATGGGGGAAATGGATCCATCTTCTATAGTATTGAACAATATACAGTACATGTCATGTTATAATTAGCATGTGAAAAACAAAAACAACAATTACCGGTACTGTCCCTCTTATTTACTCAGATAAAACAGGCTCACTACTCAGTGCGAACCTTTATTATAGGCACAGGTAGATACACAGGAAAAAAAAAAATGCCTTTCAGATGCTGAAACAGGAAAAATCTCTGGCAATTATTCTTTGAAATATCTTCTGAAACAATATGTGCAATTGAAAATGTTACAACTGGTATTTTCCACCTATTCAGTCCTGACAAACTGCAGGGATGCATTAGCTGTAAAGTCAAAATTCAACATTTTTTTAAGGTGTTCCCAAAACCCAAATGTTTGTTTAAAGCTGCAATAAGTAAACTTTATTAAAAAAAAAAAAAACTTTTGCTGAAACTTTCACTTTATCCTGACAGTAGAATATGAGACAGGATATAAAATAATCTGGCTCCTCTGGCTCCTCTTAGCGCTCCTAATGGCGTTTGCAAGAATCCACCGGGCCTGAATGAAAACAACCAATCAGAGCCAAGACAGAGAAAGACGCTTTAGGTCCGAGGCTTTAAGACAGTTGATTGTTGAGTCTCATTTCCAGGACCTAAAGCATCGGGATTAGACGACCTTTGAATGAGACTCAACAATCAACGATCTTTCTTGTCTCAGGAGGAGCCACAGGAGGTTAATTATTTCACATATTATCTGTCTTGTGTAGTTTTTTTAAAATAAAAGTTACATACTGCAGCTTTAATGCCAGAAAAATAGCTTATTTTTGTTTGTAAGAGCGTTTATAAATGCCAGTATTCTGTATAGTGCCCCTTCAGAAATTGATACAGTATTTGACAAAATCTTTGCATTTTGAGATTTTAGGGGCACGACTGACTTTAACCAGACAGTGAAAATTAAAAACTTGATGAACAAAGGAACCCAAAGAAGCAGCTGCAGTCTCACACCTCAGGCCCGCTCTGCAGATTGATATTATTACACAAGGCTCAAATTGATTTCTAAATTATTAAAAAGGACAACTGTTAAAATGAAACAATGACAACAACAGTGAACTAATAGCACCAATCCAAACCAAAGCACCACAAGAAAACAACAACAACAACAACAACAACATTGCAGCTAATCCCCATGAAGACACACTGTAGCTTCCTCTTTACAATGAAAGTATGTGACATTTAGTGTGACATGGAGCTGCTTTCAGCGGTGATCAGTGTGAATGTTTGAGAAGAGTCCGACCACAGCGGAGTTCAGAGCACAGTGGACGTCGCAGTGATGGCGATGACCTCTGAGGCAGCGTTTCTATAAGAAGTTCTCTAAAAGGATGAAGAAACAGCTGAAACTGCTTTTCCAGAAACTGTGTCAGTAGAAATCGTCAATGAAATCATCACCGCAACAAATTTTGGTCAGGTGACACGATTCCTTGAGTCACATAGTCACATCTTTAAAAAAAGGATTCACACAGGGAACATCTGCCCCCAAAAACATCTGTGCATTAATAAATCATTCTGCTGCTGATCGTTTTTAGGTTCCAGCTATACACTGAGAGATTCAATTCAATCATTTATAATAATGACGATGTGGAAAGCTTCGCTCGTGGAAATGAATTAACACCTGGATACGCAGCTTCTCTCTGCTTTAGGAAGTTCAAGCTCATTGTTTAATGGTCTGGCTCTGACTTTAATGTTTGGGTTCACTCTCTCTGCTCTCATAGAGTTGTCGTTTTTTGCTGTTTTCAGGAAAATAAGCTCTAAATATTCACCGTACGCAGACGCAACTATAGCTGGTGAACATAGTGGAGACTTTAGCAGCTAAAGATTCAGATATTTAGAGACCAAAAACAGAGCTAAAGAGAGTGAATATTGGACTTTAATTCATCAGCTGGATCAGTGTAAATAACTGTTCACTTTATCAACCTAGAAGCTGATATGTCAGTGTTGTGTTTGTTTGCTTGTTTCAGCTGCCACCAAGCGGCCAAATGGTTTAATTTTATCACACTGGAAGTTTAAATTAGCTCTAATTTCTAAAAGTCTGTTGCAGAAATCTTTTTCACAGCAGCCTGAATGGTGGTTTCAGACAGCCCTGAATACACCAGGTCTGTGCCACGGAGATCAGATGTTTTTTATGGGGGTGTAAATCCATCCTCAGATTAGCACTCCTACTATAAAACGCTCTTTGAAAGCAGAGCGGTCAGAGGTCTTCACTCCTCCTCACTGGGCCTGTTCCCGCTGGCAGAGCTGACTCTCGCTGTGTCTCACTGTGCTCTGAATTTCCACTCACAGTAAAAGTTACAAGCACTGTCGCATAAGTGGTAACATGTGGCAAAAATAAACAACAACAAGGCCCCTTGCAGAGGGGTTTTCAGATAGGTTGAGCTGTTAAAGTTCCTTTTTGAAGACTCTTTGCACAAGCTGCCACGGTCTGCAGCCGACAACATCCTATAATGTGAACATGTGAGTCAGCACTGGCCTTACTCACATTACTAAGGCAGTGTCTCTATGTGTCCTGTGCAGCATGAAGTACTGTATTGTAGAGGTGATAACAGTTAAACAAACTAACCCCAAATGGCAAGACTAAGGCGGGTTCACTGCAGTGAGACATTTATAGCTTCCAGAGACATCAAGTCAAATCACATGAAAACGAACATATAACACACACACGTCCTCGGACTGCTTGTGCAAATCAAACTCTGCTCATACTTAATGACAGCGAGGACTTGATGGATAGGTTGATGCGGAAACAAAGCAATGGCATAAAAAACAACGTGGTCAAGTAACAACTATTAGAAACAGATCTTTCATTTTGTAGCATAAGATATTTCCTTTTCATGGGCAAAGATATCTGGAAAATCATTTTCTTTACAGAAGTGGATTTTAAATTCATAACTACACAAATATCACCTGTTAACATACAGGCTTTAAGAGAGTACTGCGACCAGCCCTGCGGCCAAAGTGAAATATAGTAGCACCAAAATATTACAACAGAGGGATTGTTTAGAAAGACAGAGAGAGAGGGTTCATCCTAAAAGACGATGGAGGGATGTTACTCTCTCCCCGACTCCGTCTCTCCAGGTTTGAGCAGCCCTCCCTCCAGTGGAATGTATAACTCAGTTCGGCCCGGAGAGGCGTCTGGTCTGGCCTGGATCCTGGCTGGAAAAAGGTCCCCTTTTAACAGTTACAGGACCAGGTGTCAGTCCGACAGTGTCCCAGTTTAGACGTCACACTCCTCTGACGGAGGCAGTGTGTGAGGGCTGCTGTTACAAGGCTCAGTGGGAGGGTTTTCAGGCTTACTGTGAGTGTGTACAAGACCCAAAGATTGATGCTGTGAGTTTTCCTGGAGTCCAGGTCAGTGTCCCTGGCAGGTCTTGCAGCACATTTGCCTGAAATATGGCCGGCTGCAGAACTTGAACCTGAGCACCAGGGGGCAGTAGGCCACAGTGTTCACATCTTTACACTCTGCAGGGAAGACAGACATGAAACAGCTTAGTTACTGCATTAGAATGATATCTATCTTTCAGAAAGAGTCCAGGATGTCAGTGAAAATACCAAGAATATTATCTCTTTTCACTACTTTTGTTGTTCAAAGACTTATACTATTTAAATGAAATGACATAAATCCCTAAAAACAAATTAATTAATAAACTTCTTAATGCTTGAGTGAGTAAAACATTTTCAAACTAATTTGAACATAAACATTAAATGTGTTAATTACACTTGTTATATTCATTATATTTTGAGTCTAGACTTTCTCTGAATGTCTCACTGCCTCAGAAAATTAACATGTTCATCCAAATAGGGGATTTAAAAATCGAATCTCTTAATTTGAGTCAAACAGGTCAAATAAAAACCTTAAAGTGGGAAATCTTGCTCTTTCTATGAAACAAGAAGGAGCAATGAGCGAACTTTGACCTCTGACCTTCGGGGTTGTCTGTACTGATGGGCAGACTGAGGTCACATTTGCTCTTGCACTGCTGCATGGCTGCTGGCCGAAGATGTTCCAGACACTCGTTGGACGGATGGCCTGTGTGGGTCAGACACTTCACCGAACGCATCTCCTGACCCAAACCGCACTTGGCAGAACACTAAAACACATAAACACACATGATATACAAATATTTGAACTGCGTGTTGTGTGTAAAGATCCCCTCCAGACATATATTAAGACATGTTTACAAAAGGTCGGCTTGGAACAATAATGTGTGTCTGATTTCTACCAACAATTTCTACCTTAAAATCCTTACAAAGGCGTCGACTCCCTCGATATCATTAAAAATTACAGGATCTATAAATATTCATTCATTCAGTTCATTTCTAATGTTTTCCTACTTCACTGTAAAGTCCACTCTCAATGTGTGTGCACTGGTGGCTCCGAGTTTCTTCATCATACTTGTATAAGTTGCAAATTAGACCCGGATTTACTTCCAAGCTACTTGTGATCAGGCACAAATCATTCTTGTTGCCCCCTTAAAATCTGATTTTCAGTGAGCAGAGAGAAACTTTCTTCTCTCAGCAGGAGAAAGTGAAAACATCCTTCTGGTGTCAAACTCTGCACATACGTCATTTTTAATAGGAACAAGAAGAAAAACTTATTTGTGAGCAGACAAAACAGTCACAGAGTTGTACAAAAATACAAACATAAACCAAAAGCTTGTCTTACCTCTCCCCAGGGGCCCGTCACCCACTGAGGGGGAGGGCAGCGCTGCAGGTTACAGCGCACCCTGGAGGTGGGTCGGCCATGTTTGGGGCACTTGGACTCTGGCAGCGTGTCACCGCTCTCCCCGCTCTTACACAAGACCACACGGTGCCTGTAGCCAGGACCACAGCTGGGCGTGCACTGTGGACAGAGTGGGAGAGGAAAAATAAAAAGAGGGGGAGAAAAAAGGGAAAACATGAGGCGGGGAGGGCAGGGAGATGGAGGCGATGGGAGGGTTGCAGCAGGGGGTCACTGCGGTCATAAGCATGCAAAAAGAAATCTCCTTAATCCACTCGGCAGAGGGCAGCAGCTGTTTGAGAAACAAAGTCAAGATCCTGCTTTGTTCCTGTAAATCAGCTGGACATAATTCCTCTTCAGCGTGCGCCATCGCTACATTACACAAGACAGCAGAGAAAAGTTGAACGCTGCAGCACTTCTGACACCATTTAATTTGGTTGAACTGTGAGAATAGAGTTTAGCTCCAGGAACACTGTGGGATATGAGAAGATGGACTTTCCAGGCCCGTTGTAGTTAAGAAATATCAGAAAAAGTCAACAAGACATGTTTTAAAAGTGTAGTTTACATGTCCGCACAGCCACAAAGACATAAGACACCCTTAAACTCCTGTAGACTCCTTTGAATTCCTCCGGGATTCCCCCATGACAAGTGTAACAATACTGCAACAGCATGTTCAGTGTGATATATTTGTCTGCGCTGTGCCTCTGTTGTGTATTTCATGGTGCTCTTACTTTCTCCTGGCAGATGTTTGGGTTTCTTAGGTTCAAATGGAAAATAAACTATTGCTTCATCTGAGAAGAATTCTGCAGAAAACTGAAGTATTGGTTGAAATTCAGCCGCGAGTCGACTTAAAAAACACTGCAGGAGTGCGTTCAGACCACATGCATGACGGGAGATGTCTGCCTACCTCTGACCAGTCCAGGGCCAGCCATTCAGGGGGGCAGCTGTGGTTGCTGCAGGGTTCGGTGAGAGATGGGCGTGTGGGGGTGCAGGCCGAGTCGTCCAGGACCTTCTCCTCGGTCCCAGAGATCCTCCTTTTACATAACACCTCCCGTGTCCGCAGGCCGCCGTTACAGCTGCGGCTGCACTCCGACCACTCTCCTGTCCACCAGCTAGAGGAAGAGAAGAGAAGAGCTCTTTAGTTTGTTTTTATTTAACCTCATTTGCATTGAATGATATAGGACATTATAGTATACAAACAGGAGTCCCAAGTAGGAAAAAAATGCATGTTAATAGAGAATCTGACATCAAATGCCTCCAAACCTACCTGAAATAATATTTAATAAATGTCTTTATAGTTATTACGATATCAAAGTCTGATTGTAGAATAAACAATCACTATACTGATGTACCTAAACTAACCTAAGCTAACCCTGCTCTAAAACTGGAAACTAACACTATCGTAACTACAAATATTAAAATACTAAAATGTGTCTGACGTGGAGATAGAAAAGTATAAACAGATGATGGTATAAATGAGACAAAATGCTAAATGAGGAAAGAAGAAAAAAACACAAAAAATGGTACAAAATCACCAAGAAATACATTTGTATTCCACGTGAAGAAAATCTACAAGAGTCATTACCTTGGGGAGCACGGCTCAGTATTGCAGGGTCTTCTCTTCTCTTTGGGTTTGTTCTTCTTGTCACAGAAGTGGTTGTAGACGGCTGAATGATCTGTTTGCTTCTTGCACACCACCTGCTGGATCTGCACACCTGACCACAGGTGAGACAGAATGAGACAGATGTACGAAAAGGGGGCTTCATAAGAGGGCAGCAATACATCAGCATTCATTCACCACGTGGAACCGGCTGCATTGCTAATTATGCATAAATTATGTGGGTAAGCAGTGTTTTTAATAAACTCCTCTAGGACACCGTCCACATGTGTGTCTGTTCCCACATAAGACCAATTCTACTGTGGTGACAGTTTATATCTTATACAGCAAGAATAAACACGTACCCCACAAATTAACTGCTAATGTAACAAGCATATCATCAAAGGAGAGATACAATGTCTGATAAATAGTTTATTTTATTAGTTTAATTAACGGACAAAACAGAAAGAAGTACTATAAATGAGCCAGTGTTTGTGTTTTTATCTGTTGTCTCAAGTGACATTTTATTAAATTCACGTACGCAAAATAACAATAAATACGCAGAAATCAGTTGGCTGATGTTTCCCTTGTGACTCTGAATGGCCGTCTAACTTCAAGCACAGGGTTGTTTTGGTGGTGATGTAAAACGTGCTGATTCAGTGAGACACGAACAAAAAATCTCACCATGTCCTGAGCTGAAAAACTGCTGCATACAAAAAAAAAACGCCGGTTCTAATGAGGATCCTAATGAACAAACAGACAAACTTAATGACTCCATGTCAAAGTGCCTGAAATTATTTACATATTTCACATCCTCCACTTCAACCAAAGGTGGAAAATTAGCTCTTATCAAGTAAAGCAACACGGATCATTAACTCACAAAGGCCAGAGAGGAAAAAGGGAGATTGGCTGTGTGTGATAACCACAAACACTCTCATGGCCTCCCTGGCTCAGTGATCTACACTGTGTGTTCATATGGGCCAATGTATGTGTGCGTTTGTACATCCACGTGAGAGACAAGGAGTGAGAGAGAGAGAGAGAGAGAGAGAGAGAAAGGGGAGATAAAAAAAGAGTAGTAATGTCTGTCTCTGTCATGTTTAATTTAATTACATAATTAAACAAATGTGCCTACATAAGCCTGTTCCCATTTTATACTTTTAGGAGTTTTTACAGAAATTAAAGAGCTTTCTTTAGTGACATGTACAAACAAACAACAAGTCATTATTCTAACCTTAAAGGAAGAGTTCAGCTTTTTGGGGGAAATGAGCTTATATATGTTAAATGAATGAATGAATACTACTCTCATGTCTTTTTAAAAAATGTAAAGCAGCTGGTTAGCTTAGCTTAGTTTAACATAAAGACTGGAAACAGTGAAAACAAACGGGGGGTTATATTCCAGACTATTTCTTGGCTGGGTGCAGTGACTTCAAGGAGTTTTTATGAATAAGTAAACTTCCCAAAATGTTGAACTATTCCTTTAACCACATTTAAATGACCCAAATCTAATCCAAATAATTTCCTATAATCTGTATAACTGTCCCAGATAGATGCTTCAGCAATTTAACCCATAACCTTTATGTGACCTTTATCTGTCCCATGTGAGTAGGTTGAATTATATTACATTAATCAGCTCACACAATCACATCATTAAGAATAATCACACATTTTGGGATCTTTGTCCCTACAAAGTAAACCATTACATTTTAGGACTGGTAGGAATGTAGTGGTGCTAAGTCTCCAGGAAATTAATGCAAGTCAATATAAGGGCCTCCTAAGTCTGTGTGTGTGTGTGTGTGTGTGTGTGTGTGTGTGTGTGTGTGTGTGTGTGTGTGTGTGTGTGTCTACCTCCAGCGCAGAGAGCTGAGCAGCGTGACCAGGAGGTGTAGTGCCAAGCAAAGCCAGTCAGAGGATCCTTGTTCAGTGGTGGGTTAAAACGATAGTGGATCCCTGGGTTCTCCTCCCTCACCAGCACCTAAAAACATACACAACCCCACATTTAACACAAAGATGAAACTTTTCTTTTTGTTTTGGGGTTTCTTTCCATTTCTTACCATGACAATCAGGGTTATGTTTGTTGGCCCCAGAGCTTCTAGAGTTTCTGGCCCGTCAGTGGGCCGCCTGTAATGGAAGGTGGTACCAGCAACGTCGAACCTGCGCGGTGTGTCAATGGTCAGTTTCCCATTGATAAAGTACTGGTCCCCTTTACTCTTCAGCACTGGGACACAGATGAGAGGGAGATAAATGCACTAATCATAAGAAGTATCCTGGGAACAGACACACAGAGTGAATTAATGCTGCATTTGTTGTAGCTGCTATTTCTTCTTTCACTTTCAACTCTTTATTATTTGTTGTATTAGCGAGAGTTAAGATGAATATAAGCTTTGTCCCAGAGATAGTTTTTTTAGTATACTGTCGCTGGCACAAATACCGGACGCAGGGGGAAACAGTTATCGTACATCTTAAGTAAGAAAAACCAAGTGTCCAACAGCTCTAAAACTGTATTAAATGTTGCATCTTGTTTGCTGTTTGTTGTCAATACATCAATTGTCAAGTTTGTTTAGCATTATGAAACTAAAGACGGTGACTTTACTGTAAGGACCAAAGGTAGCCATTCTTTACTCAAGTAGAAGTACAGATACTTGTTTAAAAAAGTAAAAAGTTTCCCTAAGAACATTTATTTCATTTATTTTTGTTTCTGTGCAAAGTTAACTGAAAGTTGTAATAATGTCGAGTTTTTCTCTCGTCTGTTAAATCTTTTACGTTGTTTTTGTTATCTCAATGTGTCTGTCAGGTAATATGCACTGGTCTCAATGTTGGGAGTGCATGCAATGATGTAAGGAGTAAAAAATAGAGATATTTGTGTAAAACTCGGGGGTAGAAGTAAAAGGTTGTTAGAAAAACTTAAACTAAAGCAGCTAGATGGCATTCAGCTAGCATTATGTTATTAGTAACACGTGTGCTTATCGTCAAAACGTCTGGTGTGAAAAAGGCCTGTTGAATGCAGAGATATTACATCTTAGATCTTGGTAAGACAGAAAAGGTTGAGGCATTTAAACAGGCACATCTTACTGGTATAAAACTAATAAAAAGAACTTTCTTCATCCATTTACTTTGTCAGGCAATTATACTAAACATTAGCTTGAATGTCATCTTACCAAGGTAGTTGAGGGAGATGTTGAGTTCTTGTATGTGGATGAACACCGACCCTTTGGGAATTCTGACCACCTCTTCATAACCTGAGATACACACAAAGTCAGAAAATGAAAGGTGAAGGAGGTTTATTTACTGGGGGTCGTGGGGCAACGATGCATTGGTATTGTTTAGCTCTGTGGGACTCTATGGACTAAGCAAAGGCCTCAGATTCCTGCTACATTCCTGGGCAGCCGGCCTCAGCTGCCCTGCTCGGCTCTTTGCTAGAGAGCGAGAGCTGAGCCAACAGCTCTACTCTCTTCTGCTCCTCTCTATTCCCCCTCTTTTGGTCTCTTGTCCCTTTTCTTTTTATGCTCATCTCACCTTCGCCCTGCCTGTCTCAGCTCTGCTCTGCTGTGCAGCCACTAGCAGCCCTGCAAATAATTTCGGCCTCACAAGAGGAAGAAGGAATAAAAAAAAGGGAAGGAATGAAATAATTCCTTCCAGCAATTTGACCACAAGAGGACAGGAGAGGCTTGGCTGGTGACCTCTCCGTGAAGCTCTGAGAGGTGGGACCGACCCTGCTCTGGGTTTCTATATGGAGGCGTGGAAGATTAGAGGGACAGAGTTTGAGGTTTTGGCCTCAGAGACAGACAGAGAGAGAGAGAGCAAAAGTGCGAGAAAAGCCTGTCTTCTGTTAACAATTGGGGACCTGTGTGGTAAACATACAGCAAAGGAGCTGTAAACCCCCAGCCCTTGACATTTCAGTAACCCCTTACCGCCTACCAGAGCCACAGGACAGATGGAAAGAGACTTTAAGGGACAATATTGCTTCTGAGCTTAGTGTGCAGAGAAATAATTAAGTAACTTTTCTGAGATGTAAGGGACTCCATTAGTCACTGATGTCTTTTTACTGTTTTACATCATTGGTTCAATGGTTTGGCTAAATCCCAGACCCTATTTAAATCACTTGAGCATAGAGGAAAAGTGCTGGCTATGACTGAGTAATTCTGACAGTCATAAATCTTTCCCTGCCCAGAATAGGCCTCCAATCCCGGCCCTGCAGTCTGAGTATGGTCAGACCAAGCTATGCTGCAGTTGTGACGAGGTTGCAAGTCGAGTTTAGACTTTTAGCAGGTTGTGTATGGAGAGTAAACTCAAATGAACCCAGTTTAAGTTTTCATTGGCAAAAAAAGCCCTTGAGAAATTCACATTATATGGCCAAAAGTATGTTGACACTGTAGTACCTAGAGCTGTGACTTCAACTCCATCTAACACCTTTGGGATGAAGTGGAACATCGACTAAGAGCCAAGACTTTAACACCCAAAATCAGTGCCCGGCCTCTTGTGGCTGAATGGGAGCAAATCCCTGCAGTCAGGCTCCAAAACGTTGAGGAAAGCTTTCCAAGGAAGCTGTTACAGCAGCATATTAATACCAGTGGTTTCGGAACGAGGTGTTCAACAATCACATATTGGTGTCCACACACTTATGACCATACAGTGCACATTTTGGCAACGAAACCAAACTGATGTAAAATGCCTTCTGTGGCTCTGGAGGAAGATTTCTAAAATTGGACCAAATAACCCTGATAATGGTGTCTCAACATTTTTAATACAAAGCCTGCATTAGTAAAATACGATGTGAGCCTTTACCAATCACTATCTAAGAGACTGCATTTTTGGAGTTTGATCCATACGAGGGAATAAAGTCAGGGAATGCTACAACGTATTTATGGAAGTGCAATATTAACTAAATAACAATTATAAAGCACTTGTTTAATAATAGCACCGACCATGGATACCATTTCCCCAGATCATAAAACACACGACTTAACAACCTACACGTTGACTCCAGCCTTACTAAGGGAACTTTTTTAGACCAACAATAATGTCAGATATTTTGAGGGTAGTTGAGACCTCAGCTGGAGTTGACAGACTGTCCTGGTCACTGTGGTCCAGAGCACGGCTGCCTGGTCAGGGTGTTCCCCTCTGAGGAATCCTGGAAGGGGGTTGAGTGGTGTTGACAGTTGGGTGAGAAACCTCTGAAGTTGGTGTTGTGGGGAGAAATGTAACCCAGAATAGATCCAAAAGCAGCCGCACCTCAAGCCACACTGGTTGGACCTCAACTAAATCTGTCTGCCACGTGTCCCTGGGTGGCTGGTGGATAAATATATGTATGTATATACAGTGTATGGTAAGCATATGTGTATATTTATTTGTGCTTTCTTATGTGCTGAGAGTTTTTCAAGGAGTTCGTCTTCTTGGATTGACTTAAGTCACTGTATTTGTTATTTATATATTGTATAAAGTACAATTGTAGTCTCATCTAAGGATGTGTGGACCTTTGTCTATAGGTCCAAACGTGTGTCGAATGACCTCCACTTAGCCCATGCTGGCCTTTACTTAAAACCCTTTTCTTAACCCTGCTTGAACTTACAGCTGAATTTGACACGATTGATTATAACATCTTAGTAAATGGACTCAATAATCACGTTGAATGGTTGAAGTCCCCTCTCGTCTACAACGCTTCCCCACGGTGTACCTCAAAGGTCAGTTTTGGGTCCTATTCTTTTCTCTATGAGCATGCCTCCCAATGGTAACATCATTAGTTGACATAATATGTTGTGTAATTTGCAGATGATACACAGTTATATCTTCCTGTCAACCCTATACAAAGTCTATGTTGATGAACTGAATAACCTGAATGATAAAGCCTTCCAATAAGACTTTAAAGGACTACGCAGGAATTCATTGACAAAATATAATATGATAACAAAAAAACGTCCCGAGGTCATGAAAAAACTGCTTGATTTAGACACAATGATGGAATAGTCTAGTGACTGTTTAAATCTGTAATGCCAACTTTAAATCTGGGCTGCATCAACTTTCAACTAGAGTATATACACATCATTTATCTCTAAGCACTCATCATAAATACCTCAAGTACAGCAGGTGCTGAAATAAATGATTGTCCAGCAGCGATGTGGAGTTATGTTGGCTTTATCAAATAAATAGCTGTAACGGTATGCTGCTGTGAACAGAGATTGCATGTGAACAGACAATTATACAATACATTTTGAATGTCTGGGGTATCCTAACTCACACTGTGAGGCAGCTTTCCAAGATGCATTCACAATCCAGAGTATCAGAATCCAAGCATTGCATGTGCACATTTTTGGGACAACAGAACAATTGTGTTGCTTCTCATGGTAAATTCCTCATGTTAATCTAATCTGATTCTAAGGAGAGAAGAGACTCTTCCAAATTCACTTTAAACCACTCTATGCAACAGACAAAATCTTTATCTATGTGTGCAGAAACCTCTGTGGCAGCAGCTTCCAAAAGAAAACTGATGAGATGACTTAGTGCTGTAGGTTTTTGGTTGCATACCTCCTTCGGGCAGCGAGTCGTTAAAGAGTCCCTCCACAGACACACAGCTGCTCCCGTCACCCCCACAGATCCGGCAGCGGTCGTCGCGAACGTCTGAGCCGAGGATACGATCACAGCCTACGTGCTGCGAGAGGGGAGAAACGAGTGAGCTGCAGGGTCACTCAGGGTCATGGGTGAAGGGGCACAGTCAGTAAGTCGAGAGGTGTCAGAGGCCGGCTGAGGGATTACCTCTAATGTCTTCCAGACCACTTTTCCAAAACACAGAAATATCAGATGGTAAGTCCAGATGTGTTTTCTGATCCTGAGCAGACATAATGCTCTTAGGTTGCTAAACTCATAGCTGTCGACATAAATAAGTTTCATGATGAGCGAAGCAGGTGGTTTTACTCAAACTCTTTAACAGTGAACCAAACCTAAACAAAAGTGTAGAGAATGAATGGCAAGTGCTCTCATTCTCATATATCCATATGACAGTTGCTTATTGTAGGGAGGGATAATGAGGCTTAAGTTTATTATTACTTTTACACTGATTAGATTTAGTTCAAAACTAAGTCCAGAGTTGAAACTGTGATTCACCCCATGGTTATCTGGTGGCTGTATAATGTGGGGAGTGGCGAGTTATTGAAGTTTAAAAGGATATAGGTCCAAACTAGAATGAGGCCTCATGTGTCTACATGCAGAAAGTTTACCAGAGGTCACTGGGACCAATAGCACTATACAGAGTGCATATAAAACTGTTTGTAGCACCGAAATATCAGGAGAAGTGATAGATGCCACATTAGAGATTAAATATTTAAATAACTTAAAGGGCACACCAGTTGATGTCAAAAGGGATAACTCTATTTTTGTATTTGGTATTGGAATTGGTTTAAAGGTTTCTCCAATAGGGGGCAGGGATGTGGACTATAATTGCTCCAAGGGCAGTGGAGAAGAAACTCGAGACCCTCTGATATTAAATGAAACAAAGGAAAATGTGTCAGCTAAAACTACGAAGAATAAACTTGCACCCCAGGATACTGAGCCAGAGACAAAATATATAATTTGAAAAATAAATTTAAAATATTAGACGTGCGCTTGACTTATTGAAACTTCAGTCATTTTTAAAATTACACCACAGCTGCCAGAAAACCTGAACTAATTAAGTCACAACTGTTTGTTCTGACCTATTAATTTCATGACAGAACAGATGTTTTGTACACTGTGGGCCAGAGTCTGCAAGGTACACCTCTCTCCTCACTGCATATGCATTTACAGGAGGACCAAATAATGGGAGGAGATATGTTAAAACAGGTTGATTAACTACTATTCGTGTCCGTTTTACAGGAGAAAATTCTTCACCTCTGAAAAGGAGGTGTAAACATAGCACACATGGGATTTATAAGAGCTACACAGAAGACTGTAGTGATAAAAGAAACATTAAAAGGACCAGTGTGCAGGATTTAGTGGCATCTAGCGGTGATGTTGCAGATAGCAGCTAACTGAACACTGCTCACGTCTGTATTTAATGACCTGGGAATGACAACAGGCTGTGAAGCGTGTTCATAAACACGGATTATTAGAAACAAAAAATAAGCAATTAAACAAAAATAATTGATTACTGTAACACAATTGAATAGTAGATGGATATTGGATGGTAAAATCACTAAAAGCTGCACTAAACTTTTTTGTTTTGTTAAGATATTTTTTAGTGTGCATTATTCTGCATTTACTTCAGCATTAACATCCATATAAAACACCATCTCCACCTCCATCCCAGCTCTGAACTTATGAGCTCTCCTTCACTGAGTGAGTTTAGAGTTTAGGGGTCAGTAGCAGGCGCAGTCCAGGAGCTGAATGCATGATGAGCTGCTGCCTCAGTAAATAAGGCGCTGAATACACACTGATTATGGCTCACAATCATTTTCAAACTCAACGAAAACCGCAGCAGACATTTGTGCAATGCCATTTTCTTAGTAAATCTTCTATATTTTGTCCAACAAATCCGGGAAAAAGGGAAGAATCTGGCAGATGTGGCTTTCGTCTGCAGCGGCAACTGGACCATCTGTTCCCTGGTTCTTTTTCTACCTCCCACACTTCTCCTTCTCTCCTCCTGTTTCTTCTTGTTTTCCCCGCCAGCATGAGGCTGCAAACAAGAGATTTCTCCACACTATGTATGAAGTTTTATGTGTACATAAAATATATGAGAGGTAAGATGATAGAGCAGAAGGAGAGGGAGGAAGGAGCCTGGATTGGATTGCAGACAGAAAAGTCACAAGAAAAAGGAAGGGGGAAGAGAAAAAAGGAGGGACATGGAGAGAAAAAATGTGAGGAATGGATGCAGAGTCAGAAAGGGAAAGAGAAAAGGAGAGAGAGATAATAAGACCGCAGTGAATGAAATCCTGCCTGCAGTGCAGACAGACTAACAGCTGAGCTGGAGGGTCACTGAGTTCCTCAAGAGCAGAACAGAGCAGAGTACAGGGGAACAGAGAGGAGAGGTAGAAGAGAAGAGAACAGAGAGAGAGGATGTTGATAAACAAAATCCTCTTTTTGGGTGCAGACTCCAGCCTCCCTAAGCTCCTCAGTCTACCTAACCTCTGAGACACTTTAAATAAAGAGAGATCATGGGGGGTAAGAGGCACAAGCGGGGGAGCTGAAAAATAAAATATTTTGGCTCTGCAGGAAACCACAAAACAACAAGCTGGATATCTGGAAGTTTTTTCTCTCTGTACTAACATATTTTTCTCTCCGTCCAAAGGGTGCTGACTTTTTGGAGAAGAGCTGCATCTAAAATAAACAAGAAGTGGAACTAACAACAGATTGTGAATCAACAACAACCACAGACGCTGTGCGCTGTTACAATTAGGTTTTTTTGTCTACATCCTTTCACAAATGGCCCATGTGGGTGTCAAAATGGGTTCCAGGGACCTGTTGGAAGTCCAGGTGGTCTCCGCTTCAACAAAATGAGCAGCAGTTACATGTTTTGTTTTCATTAACAGACGGGATTAAGAGAGAGCATCTGTAATGGGAATCTAAGGTCGCTGCCAAAGTTGAGACAGTTTTTCAGTTGAGCAGCTGACCGTGATGATCGTCAGCAGCTAGTGTGTAAACTAGACAGTGGCGGGTGTCCAGAGTCTAGAGAGAATAAACAATATTATCTCAGTTTATTATCTCGGTTGAAGTCAGTCTTGTGTTTAAACTTCTATTCTGCTGCTTCCGCTTAAACTGTCTGCTCACATGCAGACATCTAATGGCTCGTATGGATGCACACACACACACACACACACACACTCACCTTACACTCTCCATTTACACACACATCCAGAGAGTCGTCTCGGCAAGGCGTGCCATCCACCACAGCTGGAGCGCGCTCTGTGTAGAAGTTGTATCCTTCCGCCAGGCAGTTGAGAGAGCAGGGCTTCACCCCACCTAGATACGCAAACACAAATAAATACACACACATACACAGAGGGAGCAGGGCATTAAGTATCAGTATACCAGATCTATTGATAGCACACAAACACTACAGTACACATGCACATGTACTTCATGTCTGCGCACTATACACTATGTACACGCACACACACAGTCACAGAAGACGAATGTTCAGTAGACACAAAACAAAAAGCTCAAAGATGATCTTGCTTTCGAGATATCTATCCAAGAACTGAAATGTTATTAGCCTGCTAGCTTGTGGCCAGTATTCTGCAGTCTGAGCTAATGCAAACATCCCCAAACTGTGCAGAATCTGAATGTGGGTTAATCAAATAGTCACTGAGGCAGCAGCCAAACCTCCTGCAGGGCGGACTGCCCAAAAGCGGAATTCCTGCACCAAGCCACAGGTTCACTAGCAGCTCTGAAAGTCATGTTGATTGTTAGTTTTTTACACCTTTCTTACACCTGATTGGAGAATCATAAACCACTGACACCTGACATGAAGCCTGCCTTAAATACTACTGTGAAAATAAAGACAATGATGAAGTCAAATCTGTTTAGGAATGTTGTTTTTCAGTAAAGATCTGTGACACTATTCAATGAGGCATGTGGTAAATAGGGCTATGTGTCATATTGACATGTGTGACTGGTTACAAGTCTTTCACACATGTTCTCCTGAATGCATCACATCCTTATGAAGGGTGCAGAGAGAAAAGGCAGGATGAGAAAGAGAGAGAGAAAGAGAAATGTCTGCAGGGGAGTAGGAAATGTTATTCAGTGCTGACAACCAGAGAACAAGCAGCTGAATGTGATTAGGTCCTCGCTTCCCTCGAATACACACACACACACACACACACACACACACACACACACACACAGACAAAACTACTGAATACAACCTCAGTGAATGCATATAAATGAGCACATCCCCACACAGAGCACTGAGAATGGGTATATAAAGACACATTTACCACCAGTGGTTTGATTTCCACACCTTTACCCCACTTCTATAAAATATGTGCTACATATGCACATGGTACAGACTTTAAACTGACAAACAAATTTACTTTACACTAAAATAATTAGTAAAATTGACAAAAATCTACAGAGACGTTTATTAACATACATACTCGTATTGTAAATATGCTTTTTATTATTTCATAAATCATTTCTGAGGTGACAAACCGCAATTAATTAGAAGTTATTCACTTACATTAATATTACTCTGCAGTCAGTTGAATTTAGGGCTGCAACTAGCTTCACTTAATCTGCTAATAATTTACTCAATTAATGGATTTGTCTAAAATGTTAGAGAATAGTGAAAAATAATGTCTATCATTGAAAATGCAAAGGTATTTACTAATTTACTAACGCACAAGACCAACAAAAGCAGGAGATCCTAATATTTGAGAACCTGGAACCAGACAAATTACTCAATGGTGAACTTTTCCATGATATGTGTTCAGTATTTAGTGGCTCAATGCAAAAATAAATCATAAGTATACACACACACCTACTAGGGATGCAACACAGATGTTTGAAATAACAATTTGGCTGATGGCCGATGCCAATACAGATGTTATTTTGTTGTTATTTATTTGCTCTTTTGTGCCCATGAAACAAAGAAATCTATAAAGATAAGTATCTCTGCCCTGTTGCAGCTCGGTTTATTTCTATTGTCATCCAAGTACCAAGATGTGAGACTGTCCGTACAATATGTGCCAGCACTGGAAAATGGAGCTGACTATATTTTTTAATCTAATATCTGGGTTGTAAATAAGTAACAGAAGTTAAACTCTGTTGTATCCTCCACTGTACCATAGAGTCCAAACTAAAGAGCGACAGGTGTCTTTCTGAGTCGTCCTATATGTGATGCAATAACAAATAGTGTGATTCCTCTTATGTTTTAGTGCCATTTTAAGAGTTTTAAGTATATTTTGATGATAATTGTGAATTTATTTTGGCCAGAATAATTTTGACATTAAATTTTCATATCATCCTACAACACACACACACAAACACAAACACACACACACACACACACACACACACACACACACACACACACTCACACAGTGAAGTATGATATGAACACTTCATCCTTTCACTCTATTTTCTCTGTGTTCCTTTCACTGCCCTGAAACACACACATACACACACACGTGCACACACACGCACGCATGCACACGCTGTGTGTCTAGAGGTCTTCTCCAGCCAAGTGGTATATATCCTTCATTTCTATGCAGCTTGCCAACAGCTCCACTATTTGAGTGGCTGTTGACATCAGTCTGGGGCTGTGTTTGTTTGTGCTGGCAGTGCTGGAGCAGGTACAGTATGTACTGGGAAGGAGGGAAAGAGAGAGACAGACAGACAGACAAAGAGTGAGAGAGAGAGAGAGAGAGAGAGAGAGAGAGAGAGAGAGAGAGAGAGAGAGTATGTACTGGCACGGCCTGCAGACGATAAAGTGGTCAGACCGCGGAAAACTACAATTCCCATGGTGCCTAGCTTTGGCAGGGCAATCATGGCTTGCAGCAGGGTGTGTGTGCGTGTCTATCATAACTCGCAGGCTGTCTTGTATGGAGTGTGAAGGTTGAATGTGAAGGCTGTTGGACCGAGAACAGCAATGTGGATCAGCATGTTTGAAAAAAAGGAAAAGAAATAGAAAAAAAAAAAGGCAGCTTATACGACAGACCTTTTTTTAATGAACTGTCCTTGGCTGCTGAGTAGAGAGAGAAAAGGCTGCCTCTGTTCTCAGTGTCGGGAGAGAGTGAGAAAGAGAGAGAGAGAGAGATTGCATAATGGTGAACTAAATAAAGTGAGAGAAGGAGGGACATTTATAGAGACCGGGAGCAGGGAAGACAAAGAAAAGGGAGCGAGAAGAAGAAAAGGAAGCCGTCTGCCCAGAGTTAGAGGGTGAAAGTGAAAGAAGGGAAACTGAAATGAGAATTTTTAGGCGAGTGAGAGGGCTGCAGAGGACAGGGAAGGGGCTGGGCGGTGTGATCTGGCCTTAACACGGGGCAGAGTCTGTGGCACTGTTCCTATTTTAACAGCTGCAAGGGATTTCCATTGTAAAATCAGCTGACTTGATGAAAGGAGCACTTGTTGCCTGAAGTTGGAATTGGCTCCAGCCATCTCTGTAAGCCATTATGTTTTTTGGAGGGCTAGATTAAAGGCAGTTATGTCGTTGAAGCTATTTATCTTTCAAGTCCAGTGTAGTGCTCATCAGGAGCGAGGAATTCTCGCAAGGCATTGTGGGATGCGTGTGCTCTCTGCAGCCAGCATCTGTGGGCCAGACAGGAGGGGAGTCTGCAGCTTCGATTCACTTTCTCTCTCTCTCTCTCTCTCTCTCTCTCTCCACACGCACACACACACACCAATACTACTCTCCGTCTCCTCACTTCTGTTCACCTCCTGTCATCAACTCTTAGCTCACATCTTTTCTGTCCATCTTCATCTGTTCACCTTTATGATTCGCTTCTTCCTTTCCTAATTTCACTAATCAATCAATCAGCTTCCAGCCTGCTAACGGAAATGTGAGCAAACAAGTGGAACAAGCGATGACTTATCACCGTGTGTGTGGTTTATCGGTCTGTGAAGCTGCAGGTGCGCTGATGGTCGAGGACTTAGTAAGTCGAGGTAGTAGAGCGGGTCATGGTGGGCGAGGGGTGTTAAGATGCTGACTGTGTGATCACAGTGTGGGCTGTTAAGTCTAAATCTATTAAATACTTTACTTTCAGATACGTACAGGGGAGTAAAGAGGTAGTCGTATTGCAATTTAGCATATAATGATAACTCAGGATAACAACGAGCTGTACATTGATAGATAGTATGAAGTTATACAGTTAAACATTGAGCGGCTATGAAGCAACATTAGCCATAATCCTAAAATAGACTCTCCTTTTATATTTGTTAAGTTTATGTCTGAGGGACACTTTATATGCTCCACTATGTTTCCTCTAGCTAGTCGCTAACTTTGCTGAGGTAGTAAAGGAGAAAGAAAATGTATGGATGACAGTTGCAGAACGTAAAACAAAAACAAAGAGCTGAAAAACACTAAAACACTCGATAAAAAGGGGAGAGCAGAGTTGGAAAATGATTCTCTGTCATTCACATTAAAATCATTGATAAGTGCAGCTTTAAGTTTAATACTTGAGTATATGTTCTCACTTTCAGCCACTGATTCACACTGATGTTCAGGGCAAAGAGGGGATCGACAGTAGAGATCGACATGGTGCAAATAAACGCACATAAAGATAATTAGACACACACACACTGTACATACACCCCACACAGAGATTGGTTACTCACTCACCCCCTCTGTATGGCTTCCAGGTGTAAAATTTTCCCCGAAAAGGAACGCTGTCGAAATCAGAGCACTGAATCTCGCGGAAGTCCCGAGAGCCGGCAGGACACTCCTGTAACACACAAACACACACACACACACACACATATATATGTTAAATCAAATAATATTCATAGTTTTGATTAGTGTATGTTGACCAATAAATGATAACGGTGATGATGATGAAGAGCTGCAATACTCACATCAATATTGCAGGACCTGAAGCGCTTCCTCTCCCCCAGACAATACTTTCCACCAATGGTTGGCCTACAACCAAACACAAAGAGAATCGGGGCCAGTCAGTCACATCTGAGTACAATTTAACGAGATCTAACCTCCGTCACATCCCCGCACAACACTGGCTGCTGATCTCTGCTTTGTCTGCCTTCATCAGTGTGTTTTCAATCTCACTGTCTGTCTCTTTTATGGCTTATTGTCTATTGCCGACCATCACGACAACGCCTCTACATAAAAAAAAAAATGAAAGTAAAAAAACAAGCTGAGAAGAAAGCCAGAGTCAGTCACCTTCAAATGGCTGCCTCTGCTAAACTTTCAACAAATTTAAACAGAATGGAGCCAAAGCAAATATGCAAACGACGCTAAGAAATGATACAAAAGAACACACTGCTGGCCTCGGATTTTGGGTCAATTCATCCTCAGTTTAATCAATTCAAGATGAGAGATCTGGTGATTCGAAAAAGAAAGTCTGCTAGTCGTTTGGTGATGATTCAGACTATCTGAATCATTTCAAATACGATAAAAACGGTGGCACTGCAGCCTGTAAGGAAGAGAAAACCTCAGCCCTGGTGCTTTTTGCATGTTCTTTCTGTGTTTATGTAAAGAAGTAAGTTACTTGCTAAAGATATTGATGAGTAAAGTAAAATTGATTAGCAATTTTGTCAGGATGTAACCATATTACTTTATCTTTGCTGATACCAATTCCAACTACACAGTTTTTCTTAATTATAAAAGTAAAGACCATGTGTTGTTGACTATAAACAGTATTTAGTCACTTCTCGTCGATATTTAAACCATTCAGTATGGACATAGATAATGATCCCCTATATTGCATCAGTGCCTCACTATAATTTAATGTGTAAATACATTTTTCTATTAAGAAAAATAGAAGCTCTTTTTCCCGTTGTGGGCTTTTTAAACCTACATCACACACTAAGAGTTTGATTTTCTGACTGTAAAACAGTGATATTCACCTATCTAACAATGAAAGCATTGCAAGTTCACAAATAATTAACTCACTAAAGGTTTACCAAAAAACATAAAGGAACATGACAAATGTATGTTTGAAAGAGTTATGGGTTGCTAATTTGATTCTTCCTGAGGAAATATCTTGACTACACTGTAAAAAGTGTATTTTAAAACTGAAGTTAGTTTGTTAAAGGACCAGTGTGTCGGACTCAGTGACATCTAGCGTTGCAGATTTCAAGCATCTGAATACAGCTCAGCCTTCCAAGTGTGTAGGAGAAACTATGGCGGCCACAAAACCCACAGAAAACGCTGAAGGCCCAATGTAGAGGCAGAGTTTGGCTCGTCTGTTCTGGGCTACTGTAGAAACGTGGCGGTCCAACACGGCGGCCCCCCGTGGAAACAGTTCATTCAATTCTTATTTTCAGGTTATTACACACTAATGAAAACATGGTTATGCATATTATATTCCATTTCTAACAATACACGCTGGACCTTTAAGTGTCTTTTTTAGCACAAATTTCCCCTCTGTGTGTTTCCATGGAGGGTGTTTCCTTTCTAAGCCATGGTGGAAAGAAACCTCCTGTACATTGCATGTACAGTTGGGGAGCTGCTAGGACAAAATACTGGCAATAAATCGACACACGACTGCCAGGACAAAGATAATCATTCAATTTCTCTAACTCTGGCTGCCTCATACTAACTTCGGCTGAGCTTTAAAATACACTTTTGCAGAGAATGAGGACTGTGGATGTTAAAGTGTAGTCCCTCAGCCAGTATGGACAGGAGGAACAACTGATCCACCAGACTGGGTTTCCCGCCACGAGAGTGATGCCTTTGACCCGTACCTGGGGCTGTCACAGTGTCTGATAGACGAGGACACTCCTCCTCCACAGGTCCTGCTGCACTCCTCCCAGGGTGACCACAGACCCCAGCCCCCGTCCACGCCCTCCGGACGAGTCCCATAAGCCACGCACACCCTCTTGTAGCACCACTGTAGCACAAACACACAATGATTCATACACGTTTTCAGATACACAGAAGTCACCCTTAAACAATGACAGAAAAAAAAGGTAAGAAAAGTAAGACGGTAATGATTTATAAATACATAACAACACTGACCAGTATGGTAGGGAGGGATATCCTTCAACCTCGAGAACTTTTTTACTTACTGCTGGTCAGTTTTTTTGTTTTAAAATAGTTTATCCTATAAATATTTTTATTGGAAAACATGTCATAAAAAAAACAACAACCAAGATGAGTCAGCGTCAAGACATCTGCTGCTTTTTTTATTCTTGTAAGAAGCACGAGAACCACATGAACGACATCATCCTCAAACACCTCCCCCTATTATACCCTTACTTTAAGGTTAATTTCAGTATTTACCCCTTTCTCTATGGTGTTGGTCTGACAGATGGTTCCCTCTGCAGCGGGAATGCTGCTGGTGATGCAACGGTTGCTCTTGCTCATGCACCAGAGTTCACTGCAGACTTCCTGTATGTGAAAAGGATAATAAAAACATTGGAGAGAGACGGGGGAAGAAAAAGAGAGGAAGAAAGTGCAGAATGTGCATTATAAAGACACAAGAGCAGACACACTCTTGTTCACCTTTCCCTCTACAGCAATGCCTATAACACGTGGGGGTTATGTTTTATTGTGTACATATGCTCTGACCACGTAGTATCGATAATAATGAGTCTATAAAGCTGTATGCTGTTCCAGATGTCTATTCGCTCTGAACCTGGCCCCGTAAAAGCTGACCATGTAATAAAGAGGATGCTATTCAGCAAAGGTATTGCAAGATGTTTCCCGTTGTCAAAGGAGGCCGACTTGAAGGAGTTCGAGCCAGAGGAACGCAAATTAGGTGTGAGCAAATAATTTTGATTGAGATTGATCTCGTATAAAAAGATGATGTCAGCCTGGTTCTCTCAGAACAAACACTGAAAAAGGTTGAAGCTGATACAGACAACAAAATAATCATCTGACCCACTGAAATGTGAAAATGAAAAAGAGAAAGAGAAGAAAGGAAAACTGAGAGCTAATGATATATATGTATTCTTTATGTATGTATATATATATATATATACACACACAGCAAGAGCTCACTTACATATTACAACATATTCTGAGTGAGGAAGACTTAATTTAGAGTTATTTGGACACTATGATGTGTGCACATTTGTACATATATTCCATTTACATAATATTTACACATAATGGCTACAGAGGTGTTTTGTTGAGTGATATAAAACTGTAAAATTTCTGTTATAGCGAGCCCGTTTCCAGGCCAGTGATCTTTATCTGCCCCCGGATGGGAGGAAAGTGAAATATTGGGTTGAATGCCTGGTGACGTGTGCTATATTCAGACTTTCATTTAATATACTCAGGCTTTAATGTAATATATTCACTTTTATTTAATATATTCAGACTTTTATTCAATATATTTAGACTTTTATTAATATATTCAGGCTTTAATGTAATATATTCACTTTTATTCAATATTTCAAGTTTCTTCCCATATATTTATACTTTTATTTAATATATTTAGACTTTAATTTAATATATTCAGACTATATTCAATGTATATATATATATATATATATATATATATATATATATATATAGTGATATAAATTTATCAGTGTCGCTCATATCAGGGGAAGCACACACCTGAGAACAAACATGGATGAAAGTGTGTTCAGAGCACTCACCGCATATTTACACTGTCTGGATCTGACCCCGTACTGGAACCGACACTGTTCATCGGCATCGTACGCCTGGCCCGGTGCCGTAGTGGGGTACACAAACTCCTGCTTGGGGGGGACGTTGTTCAGACAGGAGCCCATACCTGAGCTGTAGCCCAGCAAACAGAAGAGGAAAAGAAGAGGCTTTAAATTACACAACGAGTGTTTTGGTTGTTGTTCTGAGAAAAGCCAAAGTAAAAGAAAACTGTGCCGTGTGGTTTAAAGTTTAGTTTATCTCGCTTTCCTCCTGTTTGTACTTTTCAAATATCCGCTTTATTTTACAGTTTCATGTTTCAGCTCTGTGGTGTTGAGTTACTGCTGATGAAAACTGCTTCTGGTTTGGCTGCTTCATAATAAAAGCGTTGAAGATAACAAAATAATCAGAGGCTTTTATTGTGAAGTTAAACTTTTATAGGAAGTTAAATGTGTTTTATTGAAACACCAAAACAGACAGATAATTAAATTTAACTGGATTTTTCCTCCTGTCAAGATCCATCTTTCTCTGACCATCAGAAATGTTGATTTCTTTCTCAAACCTCTAATTACCAAATTATTTGTGGTGTTGCAGATATCTGATAGGCTGACTCACTCCAGGAAGCTAGTGATGTAATCCCGGCTACAGGCGGACCAGATGAATGGGTTTGTCTTCATGGTGATGTGGTCAGCCATCAGCTTGGCGGTCTCTTGGCTGCGGGGCCCGCAGGCGTTCCCCATCCCGTCATGGTTCATCCCAAACCTAAAAGCCCATGATGACACAATGAGAACAGTTTGAGGCAGCGTGGAGCGGTAATAGTCTCCGCAGCAGGGACGGGGACAGAGGAAATAAAGATCTAAAGAACAGACATGTAGTGGTTTGATTGGGGTGCCAAATAAATTAAATTTACATCAAACCAAACAAAGTATAAATGACCTTAACTCTGAATCACAAACCGTAATAAAATACAGGACAATTGATCAGTGTTTGCAGCTGTAATAGACTTTTGTTTTGAAATAAGAAAAACTAAATTGAGGAATGAGACATTTTCTGGTTTTTGTTTTGAAAATAAAAAACAGAAAATAAGAAAAGTATCCTTTTTATTTTTTATTTTTTTTACAACTAACGGAAAACAGGTTGTTTTTTTAGTTTTCTGTTATTGAAAATAAAAACCAGAAAATTAACAGTTTGTTTCCTGACTCCTGACAAAAATCTGTACAGTACATCAACGACTATTATTTACATCAAAGTGGCCGATCGCCTCAGTGGGAAAGAGTCCAAAGCTGTAACAAATGTTCAAATGTTATGATCGAATCTTTTATTATTAATCTATATAATCTAATATTCTAATATTATTTATCATCATCATAGGACAGTGGGCTCATTAAACTACAGGCTCTGCTGGTATTGACCAACAAATCAGGGAGTTTGTTACACCTCGTGGTGGCTCTTTAAACTGTGCAACGTCTGGCACTCTGGGCCTCAGAGGTTAGAGCGGGTCGTCCATTAATTTTCATTTCATTTTCTTGACTTGTGGATTCATCGTTTTGTCTCCAAAATATCAGAAAATAGTGAGAAATTCCCATTCATAATTCCAAGAGCTCAATAGAACATCAAAATATTGTTTTCCTATATTTGACCCACAGTCTTAAGCCCAAAGAAATTAAATTCACTGTCACATACGACGAAGAAAAGCATCAAATTCTCCGACTGAGAATCAGGAACTGACTTAACCCCACAAACCCAAACACAGAAATACCAAACTATGAAACGTTTTGTCCAGAAGATAATTTAAAAATGGTCCATCTTCAACATGACATGGTAAAAGGATACATAAATTACATGATATCCAAAACTGTATTAAAGTTACACAGTGGTCCATTTGGTGTTTTCTTTTTCCCCGAGCACTCATTACAGACAGCAGTAACACTCACAGTAGCTGTGTTTGAGTCTGAAACATAAATGTTCTGAAAGCTTTTCATCCCTCAGCTGAGTCATTCCTCTTTAGGTCTGTCTTGTCTTTTCATGTGGGTGCCCTCCACCACAAACAGGCCTGTGTTTAATCTAACGCCGTACTGTGATGTCAAAACAATTTATATGACAATCAAAAACAAATGTTGATTGTGTTGAGACCCGAGGAAACGGGCTGTATATGTAGACGCGTGCTAATCGGCACGCTATGTCCAGTCATGTTGGCTAGGGGAGCCTTTGTGGTCTGAGTACTCGAAAGCTACCTGTGTTTATCATTAGTGCGGCAGGACCCCGAAGGATCCACCATCTGTCTTAGTACTTCTCGGGGGTTAGATGTGTGTGGACAAAACGCAATAGGACACTCAGTTACTTCCCCAAAAATATACCAACTACGATGAAAAAAGAGGGATAAAATCAGTGTCTTCTTTTGATTTACTGGATTCAGGACAGAAATAAAGCATACAGGCAGAGATGAGATTTACTTGTTACTAAGTGATTCAGATCGGCTCTACCAGGAAAGTGAGCAAAACACGGTTTTCCGAGTCATCCGGAGCATCCACATGTAAAAAACAGAAGGCAACTCCAGGTGCTGCACCAGCCACACATGTAACTAATTCCACATATAAATAGTGTGACGGAAAGAAAATATACAACTATTAACACATTCTCAACTGATGGAAATGACTCATGGTGTTAGAGAGATTACATAAACTCTCTCTGGAGATCTGCAGATGTAATCCGAGGAGGGAGGGATCATCTTGGACCAGACCACAAGAAAAGAAGACACATGAGACGCCTCAGGGATTTCTTTAGGGACATTTTGTGTTTTGAGCTTTAGCTAAAGAACAGCAATAATGGATCTGGTACAGTAGAGAGTCGGTTCAGACTTCAGCAGGACGGATGTTTGACAGCTTCTTTACAGCTTCATGTGCACGATCTCTGCATGAAAACCTTTCAAAGATTTATAACAGCTAGTCTACTGAAACTGTGCTCAACCTGTGTTTATATATCTCTCTTGTTTTGGGATAAACTCATTCAAGTGGCAATCTATTCAACACCTCTCAAGACAGATGACATGTAAATTATCTTTAGTCTTGCCTTTGGAAAATTGCTGCATTAAAGATAAACTTGTTTCTCTCTCTCTATGTGTGTGTGTGTGTGTGTGTGTGCGCGTGTTCAACTCACGTGTGTCCTATCTCATGAGCGATAGTGAAGGCTGTTCCCAGGCCAATGTCCTCATTGATGCTGCAGCTCCTCTCTGGCTCACACATCCCTCCTACAGGAGCAAGACCTGTCACACACAGGAGATAGGACACACGTGAGTTAAACACGCACACACACACACACACACACACACACACACACACACACACACACACACACACACACACACTATATAAATAAAGATACGACACCTCTGAATGTAAAACCATCAATAATAGGGCTGCACGATATCATAAAATAATAAATAAATCATACTGCGATAAGTTTGACGAATATTGCGATTGCAATATGATCCATGGTCAGTAGGAATTATCATTATTTGCTTCACAATTTTCATTTTCACTGAATAAACTATTAATATCATAATCATGAGACATTTGTTGGGCTCTGTACCAAACATCTTACATCTGGAGAACAACATTTGTAAGCCACAGCAGCTCTTCAGCACTACAGTTCTTCATTATAATGCTGGTTTAACACACATTTTACATAAAACAACCTGCAGCTTCTGCGATTTGGATGTTGCTCTTCACCAATTTTGATAACATTTCGATTAATTGTGCAGCCGTAATCAATACTATAGGAAACACATCTACAAAACCTTATTAATCTCATCTTTTGGGTGTCTGAGAGAATTAAGATGTTCAGACTGGAATATTCTGCTATTCTTAACTGACTGGATCTTTAATTTAAGGTTACACTAAGAATTGAGTTCAGGTTCAGTTTATTTTTTGGGTTAGTGTTAGATATTTAATCATGATGGTCATCAGTTTGGGGTCTCATTCATATGAAAGTACAAATCAGTGTCAAACGTGTGTTTGTGTGTGTTACCTAGGGTTTCACAGGGCTTGTTTTTTTGGATGCAAATGTCGTACCTGCAGATGGGAATGGGAAAAAAAATCAACCAGGTAGTTTAAAACTAATACTTACAAACTCAGACACAAACACAGGCAGCATCACGAAAGGTGAAACCCAGCATGTAATCACATCTGCATATCCAAACAGACAAGTGCAAACACACTTGATATGAACAGACACACTCACACAGACGTTATGGACAGACAGTGGACAGCAGTGATAGCAGACAGATATAGTTTTAAAAGAACAATAGCAGGAAATCATGGACGGTCACTGTGGTGTCATCTGTCTGGACAGTTTCCATCCTCAGCTTGATAAATCCTGTCGTAAAAAAAAAAAATCCCAAGTGTTCTCACAAAGCCACCACCGAAACCACATCTCAAAAACACACATCTATCTATCTGTACTTTACTTACGCCTCCTCTTACATAATTACATTCTATCAGAAAGAATAGAAAAAGAACTTGTGGCAGCTCATCGCATTCAGATGACTCTGACCAAAACCATGGTTGTGTTGTTTGCTGTTGCACATTCTTCAGTCAATAGCACCAGTGTTTTATCTGCTCAATATGCATCCACCACTGTTGTCTCTATAATCCTCCAGCAGTATCAGTAACAGAGAGCTCAGTGAGAGAAATGATGGGTAAATTTAAAGAACGCAGCGCTGTCAGATTTCAAGGCAGCTTTGCTCTCCTCTCTTTCTCATCCTCTCAGGGTGTCTCTCTCTCTCTCTCCATTTTCACTGGGCTGCTTTCTTCAAATAAATAAATCTGTCATTGTCTCCCGCTCCCTCCTCATATCTCTCTTTCACATTTTCTCTCCAGATGCTGAGCTGGGCAGAGCGGCCCCAGCTATCGTCACCCCAGACAGGACAAGATACAGCCCAACTCTCTTGGACTTGGCTTAATGAAAACCTATGAGGACAGGGACTGGGAATGTAAGAATTCAGCTCAGAGGAAACACCGTTTTAACCCTTATATGAATAGGGAAACATACGAAACATAATTATATTTACAAGCATTTGCAGTAGGACGATAAGAGTGTTATACATACTCATTCGTCAGTTACAGGTATCTTCCTTCTTCCAGAACACAGTTACAGTCTCTGCAGCTTACTCCTGAGAAAGGTTTGTCTGTGTGTATTTCTCACCTGGTGATAAGCACGGCGGTGTCATGGTGAGCGATCCCGTTGTCTGGTATGGCGTTACCGTAGCTGCTCCGGTGCTGGATGGTTTTCTGCCACTTACAGAAGCTGTCTAAAGACTTTCCTGCATGGTGGTTAATCTCTAGTGTCGGCTGGAAGAGAGACAAGAGAGGAGAAAGAGAGTCAAAAAACAAAATTGGGAAAACAAAAATTGAGGTTTCAACTCCAGAAATGTCCTACTTTTTCACAGACAGATAATTAATCGTAACAATAAGATTGTGTCAACAGTGTCGGCAAAGGGGAGATTTCAACAATCAGGCAATAGGCCCATCCATGCTATGATAAGCCAGCCCCAGTCTTCCTGTATTGCTGTGTTTCAGGCTTGTTTTCCCGCCGTAGTATGTTAGTCTTTTTGTCCTGTGAAAACCACATATCACCAAAATGTCAACTTTTCATAAGCTAAGAATTTTAACATTTTAGATAATCCTATAGGTTTTTTAAATGGTTTATTTACTCAAGAAGTAGGAGGATACTTAATACATACAGGAACGCTTAATTCTAGTTTTTCTAAAATTAAATTCAAAAATCACCAAATCTTGAGATACATGGTTTTCACTGGACAGCAACTTCACTAGACTGTAGCTAATGCAGAGGCAGGATTAGAGTAAAGGTGCTTTCTAGTATTATGAGAGTGAAGAGAGGAGAAGGGAGGGAGTGCTCTGCTGGCCACAGCTGGCGAGAACTCGTAACCCAGGAATGCATGTGGTGACATAACTAGTAATTGTCTCATCCCACAGTCCCTCATTTCTGGGCCCACTGCTGGCCTGATTTTATTTTCCAGGGGCAGCTTGCCGTTTTCAGACCTGGAAACCAGCAACAGAGCCACTAGCCGAGACTACTCTCAATCCTGTCCTGACCTCAACCTCAACAGTCCGTGGAGAAAGAATAACAACACTAATACTGCCCGCCGCTAATGATCCTAACATTTACTTCTTTACTCTGTCGGATGACAAACACATCCGAGCGGTAAATTATGGGGCTAATTCTGAGGCAGTATGAACAGTATGAATCATAAATGTTCCCTAATAAGACAGCGATGGCGGAAACCTCAAAGCCACACTGTAATGCCTCTTTAATTCAGTATGATTCATCTGTCAGATTGCTAGAAGGTCAACATTATGATGGAGCAGACCGCACCGTCTCACCACATGCTGTTAATGGCAGGCTAATAAGGTCAGTTACTAGGTAGTCAGATGGCCCAGTCATCTCCTGTGCTATGCTGGTAAGGTCGTGCACTTTTTATGAGCTGAACCCCCGCCTTGTGGTCAAGTGTGGATTCAAACCCTGCGCCCTTTCTAACCCCCTTTAACTCACTTATATCCTATAAGAAGAGTCAACAGCTCAGTGAGGCTGTGCAGTGCAATCCTTCGAGCTAAATGCTAACGTCAGCATGCAAATATACTTTAAATGGCTAAAACGCTAACATGCTGATGTTTAGTAGGTATGTTTATCATGTTCATTGTCAACAAACACAAGTTCTTCAAATTCATCCTGAGGGGGACGTGACTGTCTGTACCAAGTTTCATGGCAACCCATTCAATAAAAAGTCATGCTGGCGCCAGAGAAACAGTTATCGTCTTCAAACCACAAATTCTGTGCTAGTCCATAATGTTGATGTATTTCACTGAATATGTGAAACTCTTGACCTGCTGGTGGCGCTACAGGTGAAGTCAGAGGATAACCACTCATATCAGAATTCATTCTCTGAGCACCAGCGATACGTGTACCTAGATTAAGGCAAAAAAGTCAAACATTTCAACCTCGTCACAGAGAGTCTGTGAATGTCCGTGCAAACTTTTATCACAATCCATCCAATAGTTTAAGTGGACCAAGTCACCGACTGACATTTATAAGTCACGCTGCCACCAAAGCTAGAAAATATTGGTAAAATTACCTCAAGGAATTTGGTGAAACTGGAACCTGATGGTGTTTTCTTTTGCCTTAAACCCAAAACATCTGTGCATCTTCTCTGGTGAAGCAGATTCTGTTTTTTTTTTTTTTGTTTGTTTTGCATCCGCTTCTAAATCTAACTTTGAGCTTTTTCTACACTCTGGATGTGCGTCATATCAATGGTAAGAGAGGTCACTGTTCACCACAGTAACCAGCAGGACTGTCACAAAGCAGCTCTGTCAGGTACAACCCCCCCCATATCCTGACTGTCCCGCCTTTCCTCACCTCTTCCTTGCTTCCTTACATCCTCTCGTCCCTTTCATTACAGCCAAGACCCACTTACCCACTCAGAGTCTACCGAGATTGGTGGAGAAAAAGACACTTAAGCCAATAATTTGACATAAACAAGGAGCTCATAGATGCTGGTCAGGGAAGAGGTTTGTGCAGGTAACAAGGACAAGCACAGAAACACATACAGAGAGAGAAGGGAGGGTATGTACAACTTATTACAGTAGCTGACAAACTTTATTTACCTGGTCTTCCATGAGCAGGATGAGCCGTGTCACCACAATGTTGACTGCATTCCCCAGGCTAGAATCCTGGAACAGTTTGGCAACCTGACCTCCAGGGAAACAAGAAAAGGCCAGTCTTAAAAACAGCTGATACACTAGTGGAGCACATTACACTAGAGCTGAGACAACGCTAGAAATAGACAGAGGAGTGATCCATCACAAATTAAGATTTGTAACGGCAAGAGAAGTGCCAGAAAAGACTTAAGTCTTAAAAATGTGACAAAAAAAGCTGATTCGGCATGACTTTGCAAGGACTTTTGTGCCAACCCTTCAACTGTGACCCCTAGTACATCTGGATTAATGCGTGGATTGGGCTCAGTGGCAAACAACAAATTGAAGTGGGCTAAGAAGGCATCTGTCTTGTAGCCCAATCAAGACTGATTTTAAGCTATAACCAAACATTTTATCTACAAAGCGGATTAGTCTGAGAGTCTTAAAAGAGCTGTAAAGTCAGTGTACCAGAAGTGCCAATGATTATTAAAGAGTTAAAGCAACAGTTATAAAAAAAAAAAGACCAGAGTTAAAACCACTTCTAGCACTAAGGCTGCACTCAGACACTTGTCATTACGGGTGTCTGGTGTAATTTGGCCCACTTTGCTGCACAACACTAAACAGACGCTGTTGGTTTCTGTGATTCTGAAACACTCCGGATGAAACCTGGTTTGTAACAATAGCTGCTGACCAACCCCTCATTTAAACACATTCCTAACACGTGTGCGTATAGGTTTAAAGTGATTAACTGTGTGTCAAGAGATCCCACAGTGACAGAAAGTGCAGATGATGACATACAACCTAAGCTTGTCTGACTGGAACATGTGGCATCGCCTAGAAGAAAACCACAAAGTTTTACACATTTGTTTTTCCTTCTGCGTCTAAGAATGCTTCTAAATAAGCCTCAATCTGATTTATTTTAACTTAATTTCAACTGAAACCTATTTTTAAGTAACAAGTTTATGTCTGGCTAATCCTTGGCTTTAGAGAAGCACAGAAACATATTTCTCTCACTGTAGACATTTAAAAAAAAAAACCATGATTGGCTATTGGACTTCTGCTAAGAGCTTAAAAAACCTAAACAACAAAACATCACCATCACCACATCTTCTCAGTTTGTTTTAGTGTGAAACCCACTGACACTGGGAGAGTGACTTTTTGCTTTTTAGATGCATGTACATCTTTTGTGTTGTGAAACTTACAATATTCATGACAGCCAGGATGTACTGCTCGATGTCTCTGCGACCGTGGTAACCCACCATCATCTTGTCGGCTACCACCAGCGTCTCCACGTAGCGCTCTCGGCTAACTGAGCGCTTCAGAGGCAGCTGGCCGCGACCGACGTGATGGGGAGGCGTTTTCAGAGTTCGCTGCCACCATGACGCGCTTTTCATCGGCTTCTCATCTGAAGAAGATCACACACACACTTACGTTTTTAAGGAGAAAGCACGGCAGTGGTTCAGCCTAATTACATGTTAAAAATGGTTCACTTTGCATTTGCTGTAAGTGGACAAGAGATAAATGATCAGTTCAAACACCTAACCAAGCAACCAGAATGATGCCTGAATACACCATTAAAAACAGAGCAGGATACACATTACAGGACGTTTTTTTTTACTTTTATTCGTCAAAATATGGTTTTCCGAACATACTTTTGCTCTTTCAGCAACGCCCTGTAACACAGACTCAGTCACACCCAATCACAACTGGGAACTCAGACACAACCACAATCTTCTGCTGCTGGCTGTTACGCAAATCAGCCTGTGGCAGTTTACTCCTCCAGTCTGGAGCTCATTGCAGCTACTAAAAAGACCAGAATATCTGTGCTCTTACCAATGACTCCACAGGATTGGCCCTTGTACTGATGGCGGAGCGATGACCGCTTGTAAACCACATGGGGGCGCCCCTCTGCTCTCTCCCCCCTCTCCGTCCTGGTCTGATTATCTGGTGAGACAAGGGGTTCAATCAGGTACTCCTCTCCCCCTGCAACAATCACCCCCTGCTGCAGAGAGACAGACACGTAGAATGGGAAAGAACAGAATAAAAGAGAATACAATAACAGGAATCATTGCCTTCACTATACAAATATGGTCTGAATCTTTACCAAAACATGTTAATAAATAAAAAAAACACAGTATTTATACAGATCATACCAAATGCATCCATCAATGATAAGACTAAAAATCACTTATATTCCTGATACTGAAACTGAGCAACGAAGTAGGCAGGGTAAGTTAGGGTAAGGAAGAAGTGAATCAGAGGCCCTCTGAGGGATCCCGGTGCTAATGGGTCAGAAAACTGACAGCTGGAGAGGAAGAGACTTCATAACAATCTCTGAGCTTCCAATTCAGCAGATTTTGCACACAGTGTTTAGTGTTGTTGCTTTTTTTTTTATGTTCACTGTTTGTAGAAGGGTAAAGGTGTTTACAGCTCACATGCAAGGCGTCTACACCACAGTCAGACTCATGGAAAAAGCTTTTGATCCACAGGGTTAAGAGTCACAATACCAAACAAATCAAGATAATAAAGAACACAAGCACTTAGATAGAAATATACAATGAGACTGTAGTGGCTAACGTTTATAGAACAGACACAATATATGTACAGTGTTTAGGGCTCACTTATAACTTGTGAAGTGAATAGTCAACTTAGCATTGCAGACAGTTAAAAACAAGATGCTAACTGGAGAAGAAATTCCAATTTTAAAACCAAACCACAGTTATAAAAACATTACAAAGGAAGCAGGCAATCGTCTTGCAAACTAATACAACCCAGGTTTGTAGCAGAGTTAACATGGTGACTCAAAGCACCAGTGTGTAGCATCTAGTAGTCAGTAGTGCAGATTGCACTTCACCCTAACTTTCTAAGCGCAACTACAGTGTTTTGGTTTGTCTGTTCTATTCTTCTATTCAATTCCTACCAACAGATCCCCCTAAATCTTACACACTGGACCTTTAAAAGCTTTAAATTCCTTTTTCATGTAGTGTTTTCTGTCTCATCGCTTTTCCTTTTGTCCCCTTTTTTGTGTGAATCTTAAATAGTCTAATGATTTAATGCTGTGACATGCGATCATTAGTATCTAAAAATATATATGTATGTATAAGAACATGTAATAAACAATAACTGTAATAACAAAAAAAGGCAATAAATTTTACTGGCCCGAGTAAAGTATTACACTATATATATATCTATATCTGTTATAACGCAAAAATCTAACACAGGAGAGGCCAAGGCTAAATTCAACTCTTTGGCATTAACATGGACATAAATAAACAATAATATCAGATATACTTTAATAATCCCGTGGGGAAATTACTTAATATGACACTAATGCTATAATTAGAGGCAGTTTTATATTAGATTCAAGCCTCGTCATATCACTCGGTGTTCACACTGTCCCCCTCACAGGGTCCTCTGTTGGCGAAGAGGATCAGGACCCCACAGAACAAACACACACACACATACAGACAAACACACGTGAGAGCATGAAAGAGTGAATGAGAGCGAGAAAAATGAGCGAGCGAGACAGAGAGCGATACACTAACACTTCCTTTGATTCTGCTCAGATGTGTTGGCCCCGGTCAGAGCGAGTGTCTCCCCTCGACTCACTGCGGCAGCTTTCAAAGTGCCTTTAATCTCATAATAAAGTTAGTGATGCTCCCCTGGACACAGCCCGCTCACTGGTGAATGTGCTCACGCTGGTCTGACCCACAGTAATTACGTGTGTGGTTTATTAACGCTTTGTGAACACGTCTAATCCTCAGCTGTGTATACAACTGTTATTTGTGGAGCCTGCTGTTTGTAGTAAGCGGATACACAGATACACGGTGCTGTGAATGCGGGAAAAGACGAGGATAACTTTGATCTCTCCGTTTGGGGCTTTAACAAGCAACTTACTTTCATGAGAATGGGAAATATATTAAAAGGAATTGCTTTCCTAAGTGGTAAACAAGACCACTTTAGGAAGCTGTTTCCATTTCTAGAAGATTAAAGGTCCCCCCTGTTCAGATTTTTTCTCAAAGCACTGCTTCCCATAACCTGCCTGTTTGACCACAGCTTCAGTTAATAATCTCCTACATTTCCACGTCAGCCTTTTAACAGCCCCAAGAAAAAGCATGGCAGAACTTGATGCATTTTGGGTTATAGGTAAAGGATAAGGGGCTCAAACTTCAAACAAAGTGGCTGTTGGATTGTCTAATAGCAACCCTGACACACTTCCCACGCTGGAACAGACGGTTTTGTATCTTTCTGATCACCTAGCAGAGCTGAGGGAGGCTTTGCACCTCCCTCTCTCACACTTTTGTGCAGCTGAGTACAACATGAATACCTTTGTGACACTCGGAAATAAATATAAATATATTAATTTATGAAATTCCTTGAGTCACCTTCAAATGTGGCCTTTTGGAACAGGTATAAAAACTTTACGACCTACTTCGTTTGCAAAACTGATATTTATATCATATTGGAGTTATGGTTATTACCAGTTTCCAGTTTTTAAATAATAATTAAAAGGTGTATTAAAGACAGAGAAACTTGGCTCAGGCTTGGTAGTGAATACTACCGAACTGCCTGAAACCCAAACAAGCAAGGATGCCTCAAAGTTTGTAGAAGATAGAAGAAGATAATTAAACCCACATTTTATTTTATTATATTGTCAGTTAACAGTATTTAAACCTTGATGATTACTCGCATTTCTTGAATGTGAAAATGTTTCCCACCGCTACCATTCATCCCAAATGACGAGGCATTACTTTCAGCTGCGGTGGATTCTATTAAATCGAGGCTGCTGTTGGTGGAAAACATTAGCATCCCAGTTTATTTTACAACGTTATCCCTGATTGTTACAGTATATGTTGGTGCACATTTGAAAGTTGCACTGGTTCATTATCTGTAGGGTTAAAAATAATAATTATAATAATAAGAAGAAGAATCCTTCCTTCCTATGAGATATGGTTTAAAAGCAGATGGAATTTCATTTCAGGTCATTTCACTTTCTTAGGTAGGACCACACCGGTTGGTTTGGGCAAAGATTAAAGCTGGCTTGAGTGCTCATGGTTTGTTAAAATTTCATGCTTTGATGTCCAAACCAAGCATTACTGATCCCTTATTTGCTGAGCCAGCGCTGCTGCTGCTGCTGCTGACCTCACTCAGTGTATTAGATGTGGATTAGACCTGAAGGTTTTCGGTCTTACCAGGCCGTTACAGTTGCTCAGGGCCACTTTGCTGGAGTGCGGCTGGTCTTGAAGGTGTCCTACATAGTGGCAGTGGGGAGAGTAAGGATGACTCCAGGCTAATCGACCCCTCTTCCAGTACTCCACCCTGAACTGCCGAGACAGCAGGCCTCCCTGCAGCGTCAGGTTCAGCAGGAAGTTGTTACGTGACGTGGACAGCTGGTAGAAGAGCTACGAGACAGAAAAAGAGAGAGTTCAGTTGCTTAAGTGCTCTTGGATTATAGAGAGTAATTTAAAGATGTGTAAGACAAACAAAAAGGGAAATAAAAAGTATAATACAGAGTCAGGCAGCCTGTCTTCAGTGCTGCGTCTTCTTCTACGGTGGTGTTGAGGCGTTTCTGCGTCCAGCGTCTCACCGTTAGGTCCTACACGTACCGGGATGGCAATCTCATAATGTCCTAGGCTGGACAGGAAAGCAGCTAGAGGGAGGAATATAAAGAAGGCATACAACCAAAATCGGAGTTTAACTTCATAAAAAAAATCTAAATTCAGCACAATTGACTCTAATTAAAAACAGTTGAGGATTTAGGAGTTGCTTATTTTGAATAAAGCTATGGGGGCTTTTTATTGAGAGAGTAACCCAGTTGGCAAAAAGAAACTTGCAGTCTTTTTTGGCCCATTTACTGACAAGGTCCTTCCACTCCAAGAACCCCCCACCTCCTGTATGAGGGCCAAATGGATGTTGCCGTGGTTACGCTGAAACTGTATACTTCCTGTCTGTCCCGGTCTGTGCCGGGGCCTGGTGGAGATTTATTGTCCAAACACACACAGGCTCCAAAACAGCCAACATCATCGCACTAACAGAAGGGGGGGGGGGCGTCACCAGCAAAATGAGCCCAGTTTTCATCAAACCTTTGGCCTCAGTTAGAGGAGAAGCAGCCCCCTTCCCACACAGAGTAAATACCCAGAGATCAGAGTTCCCTGGTACAGACTTGGAGAGCTCTGTACCGGGAAAAACCACCTCTGTAAGCAGCGGATAGGTCTGGCTTGAATAAACAGCAAGCACAATTACAAACGCTGCCTTTACATGGAACTCCTGAGGTTTTTTTTTTACTGTATTTTTCGACATGGGAAGTTTAATGCAAAATATGCTCGGCCGTTGAAGTGGTTTCAGTCGTGAGAGCAAAACTGGATGGTGCCTTGTTCGTTTTTTTTCTTTGCATTATAATTTCACGTTCAGTTTTCTTCCCTCACTACGTAGGTGCACAGAGTGAAACACACTTCCCGTAAGGGTTCAAGAAGGTGGGATGGCCTGTACACAGACAATACAATGATAGTAAGAGTGTCATAAAAACAACAACATTTTTATGGCTGATATGATTTTTTTTGCTGTTTTGTAAATATTGTGTTATGTGTATGTTGTTTATGACAAAATAAAAACAATCACAGCTACAATTTTGCAAAAACTGGAATTAGTTTTAGTTTTCTTTGTCGCTGCACCTTCAGTTAGGGTAACAGCCAGAGATGATATATAGATAGATAGATAAATAACTACATTATATGTAGAAGATACTGTTTCAGTCACGTACACAAAACACACTCCAACACAGTATTTTTGTGGTTATTACGGACGACATATTTACTTTTTTTGGCCACTTGTTCACAACAGACCAAGCTGAAAACATGACATTTATATATCATGACCTAAAATATGGTGAACTTGTTAGCAAAGAGTTGCCAATTTACACATCAGGCAGACACAAAGCAACATCAGCTTTTGATGGGTGTTGTCTTTCTGTCAACTGGATGAGTGTAAGTTCAATATTCACACTCTTTTAGATCTGTTTTTGGTCTCCGAAACACACTTCCTGTAAGGGTTCAAGAAGGTGGGATGGCCTGTACACAGACACAGACAATACAATGATAGTGGTTACAGATTAGAAAAAGATGCAATATAATTCTCAGATTTAGTCCTTTATTCTATCTTTAACTCCCATCATTTCAGAACCTGACATTCCCTCTTTGTCCAGCAGTGTTTTCCTTCTTTTCCTCATTACCTGACCTCCACAACCACCTGCACACCTGCTCCCAATTCCCTCTTTTTTTCTGATCGTCTACCTGTTGTAAGAGCCTATTCTTATCTACCTTGTTCTTTACCTGTTCGGTCTGCGAGTGGTGCATTTTTTTAGTTCAGTAGGTTAGCACTACCCTGATCACAGAAACATTCATTTAACATATAAAATTACACAGTGAATAAAAAGCTACAATAAAAACAGCACCTACAGATAATGCTCCGGTCTAGTTGTATAAATCAACTCCCTTGCTTCATCCTCCCTTTCCAAGCGCAAAGAAAAGCTACGGCGCCTACAAAATGCAGAAAAAACACGAACGGCTGTTTCTATTGCCAGCGTTTAGCTTGTTTGTTCTCTGTAGAAACATGGCAACCGCCATGGAAGGTGACCCGCGGCATCTGTAGATATAAAAGGCTCATTCTTGGGCAACAAAAACAACAATTCTTATTTTCAGGTGATTATACACTAATGAAAACATACTTACGAATATTTTATTTCCATTTCTGCCAATAGACCCTGCTAAATATTACACACTGGACCTTTAAAATATGTTTTTAGGTTACAACACATCTAAAGCTCTCCAATGACTCGAAGGCACGGAAACCACATCAGCACTATTCCACAAGCTTGTTCAAAACCATTACCTTCCCAAGAGCTCTGAGCTGTTTCCCACAACACACCCATCCTGCCCTCACAGACCATAGCAAGTGATCAGGCAGGTGGTATTCCCATTAACCTTTGAAGCACGGGAAAAGCTCCTGGAGAGAAAATGATGGGAGGGTGTTAATGAAGTAGAAATAACTAACCTCCAAGGAAGAAATTAAAGAGACCTCACACAGAATAAACTGTACACTAATGAAAACCAAAACTAAAGGTTTGAGCGGAAGTGCTTTTTAAAAACCCACTTAAGCTTTCAAACGATGCCACAGGGGACAAAAGACACATGTAGTCTTGAATTTTTATATTTTTAACTAAAAAACAAAAAGCATAAACACTGACTCAACTACTAGAAGGGGATAAAATCACGTCCCCGTTTCTTGGATAGTTTTCCCTACTAACAGATACACACCAGATGTTAGAAGAGTTCACAGCAGCAGTGTTATTGTTGTTTAAAGTGTGTCATTCACATCTGGAAGTTTTATTGGAAGACAAGACACTTATATGTATTGTTAAGTGCAGTTATTACAGCCTCTCTTGTTATTTTTAGCCTAAATATAAAACTTAATCTCGTCTTATCATCAGAGCAGACGATGGTTTTGCAGCCATCTAGTTTAACGACTGTTAATAAGATGGATGAGGTCTTTAGAGTTTTTACAACTGCTTCCTATCAAACTACCAGTTTCTCCCACTTACGTATTTCTGTTCAATCTGTTACTCTCTGTTCGTGCCTGGAGCCACCGGATAAACCTGGTGGACTCCCGCTTTATGGAAAACAAACAACATATGACAACACATGTACTGCTTCACATCACATCCTGCCCCACTTCTTCTTCTTCTTCTTCTTATCCTCTCTCTCGCTCTCTAAACACCCAATTATTCCCACCCTATCTTCTCCAGTCAACACTGAGAGTATTTACAACCACACATATTTGATGTTTTATCTCTTAGCAAGAAGCAAATTGAGCCCCTAGCGACCTTAAAGTAGCCGATGAAAATGTAAAAGTAGATGTCGAAGAGAAAAGAGAGTGGAAACACGCTCGCTAAATTTAACAGGAGACACTCCCTGACTGAAAGAGTTTCATACAGAAGCTTCTGTGCTGATAAATACACCCATCCACCCAGGAGCAGGGCATCACCCTGGTTTCTGTTATCACTAAATGAAAATAGTGGAAGGAAATACTCTGGATGGAAAACTGTCCCTCCCTCCATCCCAGACACACCTTCGTGGCACCTCAGGCCAAAAACGTTGCTCTGCCTCGTCTGAAACAAGAACCTGAATGTGTTATTCAGTTTAAACTATGAGAGGGAGAAACGGTGGAAGGAGTTGCTCATCTTGTTAGAAGCCATCAGACTTATGAAGCTGTTAGAAGAATAAAACACTGCTGCCTCACTCACACAGGGAAGGGATGAATGCACGTTCGCTATATGGCCAAAAGTATGTAGACACCTTTATCCGGATACTTTTATCTCCTTTTGGTTTGGTGCTAAGAACGTCCAGGTGACGACGTAGCTGCCCCCCTTTCTTTAAATTAGCTATTCTTACACCTCCAAAAAACAGAAGCATGTTCCTGATTTAAAAACTGTGTAACAAAAGGAAAGCTGGACTCTAATGCTGAAGTTGCTAATGCAACTAGCCTTTCTATGGAAGAGGCGAGCAGCTACCAAGATGGAGACTGAAGAGTTAATGCTATAGTATGCAATAATATTAGTGTATTTCTAACTTTGTGGAAGCTTTTTGGGGAAGACCAGAGAATAATGTCCCTGTGCACAAAGCCAGGTTCATAAATAAATGGTTCATTTTGGTGTGGGAGAAATTAAGTGCCCGGCACAGTGCTGACCTCAACCCAACCCAACACTTTTGGAATGAACTGGAATGCCGACTGTGAGCCAGATCTTATCGCCCAACATCAGTGCCCAATCTACTAATACTCTTGTGGCTGAATGAGAGCAAATCCCTGCAGCCAGGCTCCAAAAAACCTTGAGTCTTCACTCCTCCCAGCAGACTGAAGACTGTTGTTACGGCAGCGGATTAATGGTTTCCAATGGGATGTTCAACATATGGGTGAGAAGTTCACATTCTTTTAGTGGATACGGATATAGGAGCACTGAAGGAGCGACAGCAGGTCACCAATAGACGTGGTTGCTTACTTCATTCAAGGGTTCTATGCAAACACATCAACAAAGAGAGAAAAAATACAAATAAAAATGCCAAAAAAAGCTAAAAAGTTCAACTGCTGCATATTTGTCCTCTCACACTTTTAAACAAACACACAAAAAAACAGCATATTCTGTACACAGCTGGACACCAAGTGAACCAGAAAACACAAGAGACATCTTTATGTTTCTAGTAATTTCCCATTATTTCATTTGCTGTTGTAAGAGTTTTTATTCAGAAATGACTCAATGGGGTTATCATCTGTGTTAAGATATCAGCCAAGGCCTGGACAAGAGTCAAGTTCAAAGGGGAGAGAAAGAGAGAGGCACAGAGGGAGCGCAAAAGAGTGTCATAAAAACAACAACATTTTTATGGCTGATATGATTTTTTTTGCTGTTTTGTAAATATTGTGTTATGTGTATGTTGTTTATGAAAAAATAAAAACAATCACAGCTACAATTTTGCAAAAACTGGAATTAGTTTTAGTTTTCTTTGTCGCTGCACCTTCAGTTAGGGTAACAGCTAGAGATGATATATAGATAGATAGATAAATAACTACATTATATGTAGAAGATACTGTTTCAGTCGCGTACACAAAACACACTCCAACACAGTATTTTTGTGGTTGTTACGGACGACATATTTACTTTTTTTGGCCACTTGTTCACAACAGATCAAGCTGAAAACATGACATTTATATATCATGACCTAAAATATGGTGAACTTGTTAGCAAAGAGTTGCCAATTTACACATCAGGCAGACACAAAGCAACATCAGCTTTTGATGGGTGTTGTCTTTCTGTCAACTGGATGAGTGTAAGTTCAATATTCACCCTCTTTTAGATCTGTTTTTGGTCTCCGCCAAGTGTGAACCTATCATGAAGGCATTCATTGGTTAGCGGAGTACCGTTTTAAAGCCTTGAGTTTGGCATTTTGGCCGTTGCCTTGACAGTTAGACGGAGGCAACAATGGCAGCTCGTACACTAAAATCTGTTTCTGAAACAATTTTAGGTGAGAAATAGTCAGCGCAGTAAAAGAATCTTGCATCGTATTAGATCAGCGCTGCCTAGTTTGACAGTATGATCTGAGTTTCCCACGGTGCGTTGGACAGACTCATTGAGAGTGACTTGTCAATCACATGTTAGCATCGTCTATTTTATTCTAAATTGGACCATAATTTACATTATAAAGTACGGAAGAAGACATGAAACTAGCGATTGAGATCATAAACTCCTCTTCAGCTGCTCAATGCTCCACTATATTCACCAGTTAGTGGCTGACTTTGTCTGCAGGCTGTTTGGTGCTGAGCAGGGAGTTGTCTATTAGAGCATTTTTGTTAAAAACCGACTGACGGATGTGTTGTGATGATGATGAGGTGATGGAAACAAGGTTGATGGGAGCAGAGTTGCTAAATCAAAACGAGCTAAAAAATTATAAAATCCTCCGTAGAGTTGAGAGGAACTTCAGAGTTGGATGATAGTTCTCTGTGGGTTCATCACATTCGATCAATTGTAAATGTAAAAATATTAATTAGTGCAGCTTTAAAGACTGTTTCTACCTGTGGAAAGTCTGTGAGGGAATGAGCCATGTCAGCGTTTGAGGGGAGGGTTACTTAAAGGGAGCAGAGTGGCAGACTATTGGAGACAGATGGCTGCGAGGGGTCAGAGGTTAAGTTTAGGAAATACACAATCACAGCCTTGTTCTGGGTGACGAGACACGGACACTCAGGGATTTTATGTCTTTGCCTTCGGGGAATTTCAGTCGCTCCAGCTTCGGCGTGTATGTGAGAGACACGGGGGGAGACTGTGTGGTGAGAGGTAAGAGGGGGGGAGGCGGGCACGTGGCTCCGCTAGCAACATGATTTGTGGAAGCAGAGTTCAAGTTCAGCAGCCCAGACCTGTAGGCCTGGAGTGTGCCTCAGACAGACCTGAAACGCTTTCTACGGCTCATTTGACCAAACTTCTTCTCATCTGGGCACTGTGCATGTGAACTTTAAATAAAAACAATTACAGTAACTATGGAACACATGTTGATCCTTAAATTACAATTAAACTATAATCAGATACGCAGATTAAATACATATTAAAAAAAAGCGGTTTTATTTTGAATTTCTAAGCATGGGTAGCACTGAGAGGGTTTTTTCTTTTACTGAAATGAAAAACAGATTTCACTCTGGGCGCCTCAACCATAAAATACATTAAAGTACTCTTGTTCTCAAAGACTGAAAATAATTAAAGCAACCTGCAGTATAAAGCCAGGATCACAGACAATAAACCAATGATGTTTTCCCACTATTTATAAAGACCTCAAAGAATAAAGTCTGTGCTGTTAATAGTGTGTTTAATTCCAACTCGGGTCTCTGAAACTCTTTTCACAAAAAAACTTTGCAGTTTTGCTTGGTTTGAAAAGGTCAACATGTGTTATGTAACCTGGCGTTAGACCTGCTCCAGACCAGGGTGGGACACCAGTCTGACACTGCTCAGTCTTTTGGTGGGAAAAAGGGTGAATACACATTTGTCTAGTAACTACCAGCCCTCTTACCATGAGCTTTCAGCAACTTGAACATGACTGAGTCAAAGTTGTAGCATGAGCTCTTATCTTATCTCTTATCTAAAATCTTATAGGACCAGTGTGTAGGATTCAGTTGCATCTAGCGGTAAAGTTGCATTGATGATCACTGATGTCACTGATGTCAATGCCCATTCTAAATGGTTTTAAACCAATACCCATTTGACCATTGATAAAGCGTGAAGGAAGTTACTTCAGTACATATATTGCTAGATTCAGTCGAGACCATGGCCAAGTCAGAGAAAAGTCCAAGTGCAAATACGAAGATTTCAAGACAAGTCCGAGACAATAGTCCGAGACCGACTCGAGTACTGCAGCACAGCTAGGGGGTGCTCACCTACCACATATAGTTATTGTTCTAAGGTAACAAAAACACAACAATTTCTTTATTCAGGTGATTATTATACACTAATGAAAACATATCTATTAATATTATATTCAATTTCTGCCAATACATCCTCCTAAATGTCACACACTGTTCATTTAATAAACCAAGTGTTGACAGCTCTGTTTAACAAACATATGTCTGGTTAGGTATACCTCCAAAAGGTTGTTGTAGGCAGGGCTGGGTATCACGTCTCAGTACTCTATCGGTACCAACCGAAATGTTTCTGTTGCGCTGAGTACCAAAAACTGGCATTGAATGTCTGTACTAATTTATTTAGGCAAAATTCCTGAATGGCTGCAAGCGTTAAATCTTCTGGTGTTAAATAATAAAAGAGTTTTGTAGTAAACATGTTACAGGAGTGTAAAAAGGTACCTTTCTGCCTGTGTTAATGTTCTGGTTTACAATTACCACCTCCTCTCACCTTGTGACTGAGCGAACTCATCTCTGTGACCTCCTTCGACCTCGGTGGCAACCATGACGACAATGACAGTGCAGACCAGACCAGTCCTCCATAGCGTTTCCATGGTTACTACAGTAGTTGCTATAGTAACAGAATTCAGTGCAGTGGTCCCCGGGCCTCTGTCCCAACATGTCTTCTGCCCTCTCGGATGCCCCGTTGCTTAGCAGTGGGACAGCTCAGCGCTCTGTTTGGCCATGGCTGCAGGAAGACGTGTGAGTTCAGACAGACATAGCAGCCCTCTACAGTGTGTTGATCAGCGAGCGGTGACGGATCCTGGACAAGTCCGCACACAGAAGTAGAAAAGGCCTGGACGGATCTCCCAAGGGGCTCAGCAGCAGTGGTGGGTTTCGACTCCTTTCTGCAGCCCTGCAAAAGAGAAATTGCTCAGTGAGAAAGAGGAAGGCCAGGAAAGGGAGTGAAAAGGGAGGTGAGAGACAGATTTAGGCTCAAAACGGTGGGAGGAACAAGGGAGACATAGTGAAACACAGACTGAGAGAGAGCGAGAGCATGAGATCCCATTGACCCATGCAGTTCCCAGTCTAACAAGACAAATCTACCCAGTTTATATTCAGCATCCAGTGAAGGGCCGCCCAGTCCTGCATTGTTCCTTCAGCTAATCAATCTTGGCTTTGGTGAAGGGCAAACACTCTGTCTTTCACTCTGATGACCAGAGACAACAGCAGGTCCCAACCTGGGGCCCCTGAGGCCCCGTTCTTTAAGCTGCCTGCCCACCGGAAAGAGTTCAAACACAAAGGAAGCCATTGATCTTGTAAAAAGCTGCACTTAATGCCCAAACAGGGCTTGAAGTGGGTATTGTGTCAGAGGCTCTGGGGGTAAAATGAGCCAATTTGAGAGGAGCAGCAGGTTGCCATCACTGCTACGCTGGCTGACTGTGGTGGTTGGTTGTATGGCTGAGTGACTTGCTGGCTGGTTGCCTGCCTGACTGTACAGCTTACTAATTGGCTGGTATCCTGGCTAGCAGACGGATGGTATGAGTGCCTATATGAAGATTGTTTACATCTGAGACAAAAGGTTGAGTGCTGTAGTAATAATAGCCAAATCAACACTTGGTGTTTTAACTGATAGTGATATCAATATTTGTTTGTTTCAGTTTTTAAAATCTGATAACCTGAGCTGACAGTAACTTTTTAAAACCATAATAAACACATACAATAAACAACAATCTTAATATGAATATATTAGATCTGTTAGGGATTTTTTTTTATATGACCAAGATACATACCGAGTGGGACATTTTACAATTGTTGAACAGTGTTCTCTGATGGACAAACAACTTCAACTAGTTTGGCTTAATCTCAGCTCTAAATTTCAGGCTTTTATACATAACTTTTGTTTGTGAGGTTTGTTATTACAGTATAATTTAACCTGTCGTGTGGGTATAACTGGTGGTCTGACTCACAGATATAAGCAGAGCCTGACCACACAAGGCTTCTAAAACAAGCAGTAAAATATTATAATCTGTCCTAAAACTGACAGGGAACCAAGAAAGGGCAGCAAAGATTGGTGTGATCTGGTGACAGCGTTTTGAAGTGTTTGGATGTTTTGCCTCCTGAGAACAGAATAAAGTAAGTTACAATAATCAAGTCTGGAGGCGATAAAACATGGACCACCTGTTTCAGATCATCGGGCGAGAGCAAGGACCTAATCTTGGTCAAATGTCTCAGTTTAGTGAAAAAGGACTGCACCTAACTACAGGGCTCTTGTTATGAAGCAAACTAGATGTGAGAATGGTAATAATGTAAGTGTAGTGACTAGGAGGGGTGATTATAATTATCTCTGATAGGTCATTCAATTGCACAACACTTTTGGACATCCAGTTTTTAGGCGAGGCAAGACATAATACAGGACACATCAGTGGGAGCTGGCTTTGTCCCAACATACAGGTGCATATCATCTGCATAGAACTTCACAATGTGAGTGAAATTTAAGGTTTATCTCCATCAGCAGACATGTATTACTGTGTCCCATCACCAGAAATAACAGGGAACAGATTGTTCCTTACTTTTTTAACTACCGAATAGAAAGTGACGTTTGTATGACAGCATCCGATGATCACTTGGAGGTAAGAGTTCAGTCAGCCAGACATCATTTTCCACACTACTAATTTAACTGTCCTGTGCTATACATAAACCCCAACTTCCCTTTTAATTGAGCACTATTCCGTTTGTTTTTTACTCATAGACCAACATAGAGCGAGTCTGCTTTATAATAACAATGAAAAATGACTTCCTCAGACCCACAGTACCCATTACAAAAAAAGACCAGAGCCAGGATCAGGAGTCACATTTTCATGGGTGCCCTTCTCTTTGACTTGAGTTTCCTGGCTGTGGATTGCAGTGTCAGCTAAAACCCAACCCTTGCTAGTCTCCAGTAAAGTTTGCCCACCCAGTTCACTCTTGTCCCAGCCTCCCATGCCTCCCTCCCCTCCATCCCTCCCTCAGTGCCGTCTGGGGAGAGAAGAGCGAGTGGAGACGCCACACTGGCCCAGATGGCTGGCGGCTAACCAACTGCAGCCAAAGGTAATCGGAAGCAGATGGGAAACCTTTTGGTGACGAGAGCAAGGGGAACAAGTTGCCTCCTGAAAAGAGAAGGAAAAAAATGAGTGCAAAGCCCGGGGGGAATGAAAGAGAGACAGCAGAGTGTAAGCTGTTCGAGCCAGCTGGGTGAGCTATTCTTGAGTGTTAATACTCTGAACTGAGTGTGGAGGAATGAGTTGAAAAGAGCCCTAATGTGCCTCTCGTTTCATTTCAAACAGCAATGAGACGGTACAGTAAAAGGAGAGCTAAACACTAAGGGGTCTTTGTACTGTTGCAGCTTCCCTCATACGTGGAACAACTGAAAGTCTTTCTCTCTTCCCCTCCCTCAGGCCTTCTCCCAGTCATTTCCTGCACAAGCCAAACTCCCTTCCATTTTCATTACTTATTCTGCTCCCGCTCTCGATTTATTGTGGGGTTATTAAACTTGCAGCTTGATATCAAGTGCTTTTCATTACTCCTAACTCTCCTCTTGTTTATTTAAACAAGAAAAAGAGGGAGAGACCGGACCCCCCAATGCTGTCCCTTGGTGCTTTTTAAGAAAAGCTGCTTAAAAAGATTTGTAGACAACCACCAAAAGATCCTCACAGCAACATGTATGCACTGCCTTCTTGCTAAATTATTACTCCATTATAAACCGCACAGAAATGCAGCTAATTTAGGAGTAAGCTGTCTCGCAGAGGTGATGGTGTCGTACATCTTCCGTGGTCTGTTGTGCAAAACTTTCCCTCTGGGCTGTATCACTTCTGGCAAAATAAAAAACGTATGTTTGTCAGCAGGCCAAGCAAGCACATACGCTGACTCTCTGCTCGGTGTTTTGCTTGGATTAGCTACGAATATCGAGCATATAGCGACAATCCCAGCCAAGAGAGAAAGTGGTCCGAGCTGCAGACAGGCCGCAATATTTCCAACGCAATCACAATTTGCAAAAGAGAAAAGAAGGAGGGGAGAAGAAAGGGGTCGTTGTTAACAAGAGAGAGAAAAGTTGGACCGCTTGGGATAATTAGGTGGGAATTTAAGGGTGGGCCAAATTTGCGATGTAATCAAGCCAGTGGACCCAGAAGCGTTTTGACACGTCATTTTTTCATCATGTCATCTACTAGTGAGCAGTGACTGGTGCTTTTCATGTGGTGTAAGGGATGTACAGTGCTAACTATGCTGTCCTTGTCTTTAACTGTTGCCAGGGAGAGTGGAGCTATCCGAAAACTAGCACACTAATCAAAGCCATATGACCGGCTCAAAGTAAAGTCTGTGTGGAGCGAACAGATGCAAAGTGTCCCTCAGCTTAGCTTCAAGTCTAGCACTCCCCCCACTCTCTACCTCTCTCTCTCTTTTTCACACACTCATGCACACTGTTCCACTTTGATCAGGGAGTAGCTCATGAATCAGCTTTAGGTTCAGTTTATTATTTCATTAAACTTCTTTTTCTAATACCATGAGGCTGTGGGATCAAATAACCTGTAAGACGAATGTCACAAGTCAGATGCAGCATTTCAGACAATTACTCCCTCCCTAGAAGTCTAAATTCACACAGATCTCCACATGAAACCCTGAACAGGTGATAGAAATAATACAAAGAACTGGGGGATATTTCTCAGACCAAACTCTAATTCTTTCTGTCTGCTACAAAGACAGAAAGAGAAAGAGGCAGGCATTCCTTTCTCAATTTCCCCAAATAAACAGCGTGCAGATGAAAAGTGGGAACATAAACAGGCTGGAGAACCTCGGATGTGCTCCCCTCGCTCTGAAAATGTGCCTCTCGAGTCTGAAACAATATTTAGTGAGAGAGAGAGCTGACTCGACATGAAGTGAGTCAGCCAGCAGCACTGGGAACAGAGCACAGCTGGTAGTGGAAGGTTTTTCTCTTTCTGTCTTTTATCATATTCATTTCTGTGCAATTCTTATCTTCCTGTAGGACTGCCAACAGTCCAAAACACCAAAAATATACTTGGTTTACTGTCACGTAAGATGAAGAAAAGCAGCAAAGATGGAGCTGTGAAAAATGTCAAAATACCTGCCAATTCATTTTCTTTCAATTGACTAAGTTCCACACAGAGGTTTGCAGATGTTGGTACTCATTATCGGCGGATAGGCTGAGGTGAGGTATCGGGAGAGAAAAAGTGGGATCATGCAAATCCAAAAACCTCAGAAACTAAACTTATAATATTCCTCCCACCAGCCAATGCAAACTAATACAACACACACACTATAGTATCCGGTATAGAGGATATGTTCATTCTTCTCATATCTCCATACAGTAAAAAGAAATGATGCATTTATATGGACTAAAAGAATGATGCTGCACAAAGGATGCAACAGACATGCAACACAGACATAAACCTGCAGAAGTCTGCAAAGTCAGCTGATCAAATAACTCATTTAAAGACTTGTATTCAGGTGCATACAAGTCCTACAGCTAATTACATCACCTGTGTTACATATAAAACTGAGCTCCTATTTAATAACTATATATCTTCTGTAACTTGTTGCAGAATTCCTGCAGTTCTTTTCCATCAATGAGAAGCTGCAGGTTGCTCCCCCAGCCGGTGAACGACACTAGGCCACTTATGTACCTGATGTCTGCTGTGCGGCCACATCATCCCTTCACTGGCCTGCACACACACACACACACACACACACACACACGGATGCACACACACTGACTGCCTTGTCATCAGCCAATGAGGAGATCCCAGCCAATAACCAAGAGCTCTTGAGGAGAAGAGCCAACCCAAAGATAGATTTTAGGAGGAATACTACACAAACACCATAAGACAACATTAAGTCCACAGAGGTGCATATAATGACCCTGTGACATCATAATGAAACAAAAGCAACCTTAAAGAGTAAAAATAAGAGCGACAGTCAAAGTCTGCAGACACATTTCTGGAGAAAATTGGCGTTTTAGAGTTGAGAACAGCCTCCTGCCAGCATCATGTCCTGACCGCTTTTCCTCCAGAGTTGTGCATGAAAAAGCCGAGAGTGTGGCCGGGCTCGCTGACCTACCTTCCCGTGTCCCCTTGCAGAAGTTTCCGCTGTGAGTCTGTCCTCTGTCCTCCGCAGCGGAGCGGAGAGGAGGCGGCGCCGGTGGGTGACTGAGGAGACTCAACTTCTTCCACTTCCAGAACCAGAGAGCCACAGTTTCATGTCAACTCACCCACACTTAAAATATTACACTTCCGGTTAAATCTGGCAAAAATAAAAGTCGTATCTGCAAGGGTTTGGGGGTAAAATAAAGAGCTGAATTGAGGACTCTGCTTACTAATGTGCATAATCTTTGCACTTTTTGTATTAGGCTACAACTATGACATTTATTGACTTGATTTATTTTTCTCTTTGCAGCTTAAAAACATCCACATGTGTATCAATGATGCACAAAAACACGTCCTTCCATATGTGTAAAACAGCCTCATGTCTTTATCAATTATCCATATTATCAATTAACAAACTCCAGTTTTTTGTTTATGTACTTATTTCAGTGCCTGCAAACAACACCCAGTTTGGTTTGGATCATTTTTATTGAACCCTCAGACAGTGGATCCAACAACAGTCAGTGAGGATGCAGAATATAATGAAGCGTGTTTAAGGTTTTCCTGTATCTGCACTACTGTCCAGTATAGTGACTGATTGCAACACTCAGATGTTTTCAAAATGTTTTTAATAAAGAAGTAATAAATCTTGCAGATTCTAACAGTTTTTGGGGCATTAACGCCTTTAATAAAGTTTCACATTATTATGTTATTATGTCAAACAAAACCCCAAAAAATGCAAAATTAATCATCATAAACATTAAACGATATTATTTCAACCTTTCTGAGAGAAGAGAAGCAAATAGAGCTATAAATCCACTTCATACGGACTCAAAAATAACCCAAATTAAACCCCAAGACATGTATCAAACAAATCAATGATTAAATTAAGGTAAAACAGTTGGGAGCTCGTTATGGTTGCCAAACTTTTGACCACATAACCATCTTCTCATAATGCTCTGCTGTGATGATTCAAAGTTAAAGGAAAACGGGAGGAACCAAAATCAAAGTGCAAACCTCTAATTCTAACAAATCTTATTGTACATGTGATCCAGTCAAGAGCCTTTGAAAGAAAAGCCCACCACATAAATTTAAGTTACTATACCTGCTTTTTATTTTGAAGGCACACATCTTCTTTTCCGGTTTTGTTTTGTCTGGTTTTGTCTGACTTGATTCAATGGGCTCCTGCTGATTGGCTGCAAGATCTGCGACTCCAAGGACGCAGCTGCAGCCGGTGAGGTGGGGGTTTTGTGTGTGTGTGTGTGTGTGTGTGTGTGTGTGTGTGTGTGTGTGTGTGTGTGTGTGTGTGTGTGTGTGTGTGTGTGGGGTGTCATTGGTACTGTGGGTATTGCACAGGTGTTGTGAGTCGGTGTGTGTACGTGTCATAATGATTAGTAGCCTATGACAGACCACATATAAAAGAGGGCAGACGTTATTATAATGTGAAGATAATTTGTGTATCACAAGCCCACCACAAGTTTACAGGAAATACAATGGGTGTTAGTTTAGTAGCTTATCCTGACTCTGTCCAAAGGTAAATTAAAATCTACCAACACGTCTAAGAAATAGTTCAGGACCTCCTTGTGAAACTTGTCTTGTTTTAAACTGCTTTATGGATGTTTTTGGATTAAACAAACAGGATAAAGTGTGTGAATTTTCTCAGGTCAGGGATAGTAGATGCACATTTAGACCACGGACCCTCAGTTTGAGAAGATTTTGTCTGCATTTGAGTATTTTTAAAATGTAAGATTATAAAGTCTTTATAGTCAACCTAGGATCACTATAAATTACAATCCATAAAAACAGGCCGAGCCTATTTCTTACCAAAAAAATGTGATAAAATTTAAAATATTCTATTTGTCCTTTTGCTTTGGAGCCCCTACAACCCACTGAAGTTTAAAAGTGCTGGTAGAGTAGTAGACCTCAGGTGGTCATCCTCAGCACTGCCCACCCTCCTACTTTGGGTAGATAGATAGATGTGCACGTTAACGGGGACTTAAACTGGACTATACACATATTGACACAGTGACAGCGCCTGTATCACCTCAGACAGCTGAGGAAATTCAAGGTTTCACAGTAAGTCCTGCTACCCTCCTGCTCTGCTGCAGTGCATCCAGTCGAGGAGCGTAACCGCCTCGTATGACAGCAGCTCCGACCAGAACGAATCACACATCACCCACTGAGAGACCGAGGAAGAGTTTATTCCCACAGCCCATCAGAGCCTTGAACAATGAACAATAAACTCTGCAAGGACAATGTACCCAAGGACATTCACCTGTTTATATTGTAATATACCTGCTCTATTGCCATTTAAATACTATATATGATGCTTTATTGCAACTACTACTATTTTGTATATTTTGCATTTATTCATGCATTAATTTATTTTTATCTGGTATTTTGGTTGTTTGTAGCTTTTATAATGTTTTCTATTCACATTGTGCACTGCCTGAGAATACTTTAATGTATTTGTGACAAATAAAATCTCTTTAATCTTGAAGAGTGGAATCGATACTGATAGCAAGAAAGCTAATAAACATATTTCCTAAAATGTTGAACTATTCCTTTAAATATGAAGCTGCTTTGTGATTGTGTGTGTGTGTGTGTGTGTGTGTGTGTGTGTGTGTGTGTGTGTGTGTGTGTGTCATTGTCTCTAACCCCCACCTTCTAACAGCACCTTACAGACGTCAGATCATCAGATATATGTTTGTCTCTGAGGCAACAACGTCTCTCTATTTCGCAGTGAAGCAACGTAAGTAGGCTTTGTTGTTATATCTGATTGAACAGCAGACATTTTTTTTTTATCATGATCCAGCCTGTTAATTTTGTATTTTTTCTCTCTTTAATGCCACATACACATGGTTAACTATCTACCTACACATTTAAAGTGTGTTTTAACATTTTATTTCAGCCTCAAGAGCAAAACTAGAACTCCACTAGAGCTTTGAAGTGACTTTTTAAGGCGACTTTCTAAATTAAACCCACAATAATTTATGGTATTTATATTCTTAATGATCTTTTAAGTTTAAAGAAAATCTCTCCAGTTAAACTGTGTTCCTTTGTTTCTGCAGCTGTGTCTGAGCTGTAAAAAAAGAATAAAAGTGTGTACCACAGTCGGGTTGAGGCATTGTTGCTTTGGCTTACAAAAGTAGAGATTACATGTGCAAAATATAAATAGCTGCTTTTATTGTGCCTCGGAATAGGAAACCAAAAATGGGTGGGTTGTGTGTGTCTTTTATCGCTTGTAACTTTTCTTGAAATTACTGGATATATTTTTGGTCCTGGACCGACGCGTATCTGCAAAATGTTCCAGCCACAGTCAATACGACAATATTATCCAACAAGACACCAGAAAGAGGATCTCATGAACAAAATGTGCTTTTTAATTCACAACAGAAATGCTGAGAGTGTTTACAGACAATTTAAACGTTACATTTAGTTTAATATTAAGGCCCAATTGACACAAAAAGGCCTCATTAAAAGTAGGTTACACCTGCAACAAACTGTGCTGTGTGTTGTTTTTGGTCTGTAAGAGACATTACAGAGCTAATGAAAAAAAGGCACTTAACTTAATTTTTTGTTCCAGTGTAGATTTAAATCTCAACAGCCTCATTTTGGTTTGGAATAACACAATATGATTCACGACAAAGGAACAAAAGCAAACTGTTTTATTTGAAGGTCAACTGTTTCCATTGATGTAGGAAATTATGCTTCAGTTTGGGGCATTTCGGCCCCTGATCGGATACGCAGATCAGCCTCTTTATCCAAGCCCGCCTACGGCTTTAGTTGTTTTTAAATCATCGCTAAAACAAAGAGCACTTTGGGAGGAAAAAATAATTTCATGTACGAGGGTCAAAGGACACATTATCTGTTGGTGGATGCCGACTCAAATGTTGATGTATGTACGGAGGAATGCTTCGAGTTACATAACCCCCCAGAGCTGACTTCCTCATAGCGCAACCAAAATAATCATGACCTAAAATAACTTTAATAACCGAATAGTTATCAGAGGAATGTTCTTGATTTAATGTGAGTCACGTAATCTACAGAAAACACAGCTTTTATTAGTTAAAGAAGCAAATTGAATCACTGACCTCATAGAGGTATTTACATGTATGGTTCAGAAGAGTAAAAGAGGACGAATGAGTTGCTGAGTCTCCGTTCTGTTGAGGGTTTTTGTGCTTTTCAAACAGACATTTATGTGACCCCCCCCCACAAAAAGTAAAATATTCTCTGTTATATGTCTACTTTGGTGGGGTTAATGAGTCCTGTTTTTCACTGCAGCCATTTTGACGTGTAGGGTAAACACAGGTGTTACCAGTGACACTAATGAAGTTTCTGTTTCATTTAATGCAGAATGGAACAAACCTTTATTAGCATCATTGGTAACGCCTGTGTTTACGGCTGTTTTACACATTTTTTGTTACGCTTGCGGCTAAAGCAAGATAGCGCCAATGTTGCTCTGTGACTATTTGATGGATCGCCGTGAAATTTTTTTAGCTGATGTTGACTTTTAAGATCACTAAATTCAGCAGTAGGTCAGAGGTTACAGTTATTCAGTGAAATGTCTCTACATCTACAGGATAGAGTAGCACAAAGTTTGGCATATGCACAGTACGTTGCCCCATAGGATGAACAACCTTTTTTCTCAATTTCCTCTATAGCACCATCAGGTTATAGTGCTATTTAGCAAATATTAGCATGCTAACACTTAAACTGCTGTAAGATGGAAAATTTTACCTGATAAAAATCTGCAGTTCGCATTATTTTGTGCACATTAGCATGTCGACATGAATCATTTAGCTCGAAACGCTGCTGTACCTACGTCTTATCTCCGAGCTGCTATGACTGTTACCTCTTGGTCTTGTATAAAGCTACTTCAAGGACATTTAGTTGCTGATTATTATGTTTGTTCATATTTTTTTTTTACTTGAATAAGCTACAATATTAAATGCTGGTCTTTTACTTGCAAGGCGGGACTTTTATAGTGTTTTATTGGTAGTTTTACTTGAGTAAATGATCTGAAAACATCTTCCATGACTAGATAATAGATAATAGATCCTCCATACACCCCAGTTCAACCTGATGTTGTATGCCTGAGCTTTTTATGGTCACTTGCAGAGAGTTCTTCTTTATTAGGGGCAATCTGGAACATTATATTACCTCTTGTGTTTGGTTTCACTCAGTTCTTCATGCTTGATAAAACTTTCCCATCACTGACTTCCAGACTGATCGGAAGAAGTCACTTCTGACCAAAGCTGAAAAGTCTGACCAGATCACGATCGGGTCTTTGCTTTGTATTTCATTACATTTACTTTACTAGAGGACCTTAATCATTCACCCTCTCTCCTCTGTGGAAAACAAACAACTCGGGCCTGTAGGTTTTGGCGTGTGTCACTTTTAACCTCCTCCGTTTGTTGAAAGCACAGTGACTCACAGGGCTTTTTCCACTGCTCCCCCTTTGGTCACTATCTGCTTACTCTGCAACACCTCATTTGAAAAAGTAAGATTTTATGCGCAGCTCAAGGTTAAACATCGCACTCAGCTAGTTTCTGTCTTTTAAAGTATCTTTTGATGAAAGCAGCCCCAGGCTCGAAGCGAAAAGACACCACGCAACGTTGTGGGTTCAAAGCTATCTCAGGAACTGTGTCATGTGTCACCTCATCTAACTCCACTCTTTGCTGCTGTGGTCCATAATATACAACTAAAGCAGAAAATACAGTTATATTTTGAAAGGAGCATGAGCTGAGCGAAGACTTGGCAGCTGTCATTGCTGTTTTATTTTTAATGTCTCGTTGGAAAACGGTCAATATTTTGGTTAGTTTGGTCGTGTCATAAATTACAGCAGTGTGTCTAATATGCTTGTCATGGTGTGTTATGAGGGTTCGTTGGCTTGTAATTAAATTCGCTTTCTCTTTCAGTTTAAGTCCTGTTCAAGTCACATCACAGAAGTTGCTGATGAATTCTGATTTCATGGAAAATTCCATCACTGTGTGTTGCTCATCGTTATATTATCTTAAGAAACAGAAACAGAAAATCCAGTGTGTAACATTTAGGAGGATCAGTTGGAACATAATAATTCATAGGTATGATTTCATTAGTGTATGATGACCTGAATATAGGAATTGTGGTGTTTTCGTTACCTTAGAATGAGTCGTTTTTTTTATCTACAGACGCCTTCCAAGTCCACCATGTTGGACCACCATGTTACTACAGTCACTCTCCCCTCCTTTATAGTGTGTTATTGTCTGTTTTACTTGAGTAAATTATTGGAATACATCATCCGTGACGAAGAGTATTCCTCCATACAGCCCAATTTTAGCTGAGCTTTATCTCACAACACAAAAAAACCCCAAAACAAAGCACATTTAGTCTCATCTTAACTGAGCTATAGCCTAAATTAACACCACACAAATAGGTTTAAGTGCACTCGCACATTGTTGTGATATATTGTCATATATATCACAGCTTGTCTTTAGGTGTGTGGGGTATCCGTTTGTCCACATAGTAAGGTCTGGGGGTCTTTGTTGTGGTGAGAGCGGGGTTGGAGTTTCATGTCTTGTGGTAACTGTGTTTGTGCTCAGTTGTCCACTGTGGATGTGGGCAGCAACTCAGGTATGAAGCCAGGAAGCTGAGGTTTTCACACTTTTTTCTGTGATATGATTAGTTTAAATCCCAGACCATCATATATTTGACTCTTACATAAAAATGTATGTCTGTTCAGATTCATTGTGAATGCATTTTTCTGAAGAGTGTAATCTTTTCCATTCATACTAAAACCGGAAACTGTTTTAAGATCTAACAGGAAGACAAAAGTCAAGACTGATAAGTTTCCAACACACTGCAAAAACCAGCTGTAGCATTGTAGTTTGATGTGATTATTATAGAAATCTGCATCCTTACTACGAGTTCTTCTGCATATTCTGATCACCTCTCTCCCGCTGGGTTGCTGTTTTATCATTTGTGTCTGTTTTTGAACTCTAACAGGCATTTTCCGCCTGCTGTCACGTAACCGTTCTACACTGCAAAACCTGCTTGATTTTAATCTTATCTTTTTGATTCAGTTCAGCTCAGACACCTCTGCAAAACGCCTTGTATTGGATTCTTAACAGACACATCACATTGTGCTTACAGTCGTTGTTTTAACAATGAATTCAATTCTACTCCCCTCAAAAAAAACCTAAAGTTTTCCTCCTCTAAAGAAAAAACGTACAAACTCGAGTTTCTAAAGCAGAGGGAATGATCTAGAACCAAAAAGCACCTGTTCAACGGAAGAGCAAGATGCTGGAGAAAGGAGGCTGTGAGGGCGGACTGCAACTTCCTGTTGTGGTTTTTGTCACCAGTGTCGATCTGCAACTTTCATGCAGGCAGTCTCAAAGTGTGGGTGCTTCTTGTTAAATATCTCATCCAGACATATGATGCCTCACAGCTCATCCGTGTAGAGCCGACAGTCCTGAAAAAACACTGTAAACTACAGAAATTCTCAAGGTGTAACGTAAAGGGAGGAAGAAAAAGAAGAGGTGAGGTTCTTCGGATGATGATTTTGCTTTTGGGAAAATCTTGAATGAATGAGTAAATGAATGAATGAATGTCCTTTTTTAAACTGTATTTTTGTACATATTGTAATATGTGATTGAACAGACAGTGGGGGAGAGTTGAGGCCTAAAAGGCTGAAAGGTCAGAGGTCACAGCCTGGATTTAAATAGTGTACTGGTCACACGCGGGACTACTGAATTATTCCTAAAGACTTTAGCTTTACTTTAACTGCTTAAACACCTTCCCTTTCTGCCTCTATAGTCTCCCAGTTCCCACCATGTCCATCGAGCCGGCGACCGAGCTGCCTTTTTTCTACGGCAGCATCAGCCGCTCAGAAGCCGAGCAGCACCTGAAGCTGGCCGGGATGTCCGACGGGCTCTTCTTGTTGCGACAGTGTCTCCGCAGCCTGGGAGGCTACGTCCTGTCTGTCGTGTGGAACCTGGAGTTTCACCATTACTCCATAGAAAAGCAGCTTAATGGGACTTACTGCATCATAGGAGGGAAGCCTCACTGTGGGCCTGCAGAACTCTGTGAGTTTTACAGCAAAGACCCTGATGGGCTTGTGTGCCCCCTGAAGAAACCCTGTCTGCGGCCCCCGGATACGCCGATACGAGCCGGCGTGTTCGACAGCCTGAGAGAAAACATGCTGAGGGAATACGTAAGGCAGACCTGGACCCTGGAGGTGAGGCTCTGCTGAGACTGTTGGGTGCAAGGGAACAGTTACCTTCAACTTTCCTACTCATCAACATTAAAATAAGTTTAATCATTAAAGGGTCAGTTCCAGGAGTGGGATGTAGATAATTAAATTTACTCAAGAATTGTACTTCAAATTTGAGGTACTTTTCTTGAGTGAATCTATTTTATGCTTTTTACTCCACTTCATTCAATTTACAGTCGTAACTACTATAAAGATTTTACATAAAAACACATATGAGCATATAAAATACAACACATTGATTAAGATTAAACAGTTGTTCTAACACAAAAAGCTGAATTTGGGGACGTCTATAAGTTCCACTAAAGACACTTTTACCCTCTAAACTTCTCTCATTGTTCTATTTAAACGACAGTTTGAGGCCCAAATGTCCAATATTTCACATAACAATTAATCAGCTCATGACTCATTAGGTTTATCTTGTCAGCCTTTGGAGGGGCTCGACCCTTATGTTGGGAACCATTATAAAGTAGCTTTCCCTCAACCAGCTCTGGCAGATATATACTGCTCGAACATTAAAGTATTAACACTGATAATGTCATATATGAGGATGTATCAGTCACATTTTACTGCAGAATGATACTTTTATTTAAGAAGGATTTTAAATTCAGGACTTTTACTCGTAATGGCGTATTTTTACATTGTGGTCTTGGTACTTTTATTTAAGTAGAGGGTCTGTGTGCGTCTTCCACCACTGGTCCGTTCACCCATATTTTGTCACTTACCTCCAGCAGTATGTTGGCATTCAGATCATTTGATTTATCCACCATCTCTGTAATTTCTACCTCCAGATACAATGGAAGTAGAAACGATATTAGAAAACTAATACTTAGCAAATATGAAATATGTCATTGTAAATAAAACTGATCCTTTAGGTGAACAAAACACAGACAGTTTCACACATTTAAAGATAAAAGACACAAGTTTAACTAGAACCTGAACATAACGTGCCATCAGCAAAGACTCTCATACTCATTGAAATATCCCAAAGATACACAAACAGAAAATAAACAGGATCTAAGGGTAATTTTGGAAATTGCACCTTTTTATTTGTTTAGTGTCTTCATAGATAAACCTTTTTACTCAGTTTGAGGTCTGGCCCTGTCTGCACACACACTGAGACCAGTAACCTTTTATCACTGGTGGGGCTTCATCTAACCAGCCAAAGTATCTCCAGGTGTTTGTGGACCCCAGCAGGGATCAAAAGGAGCCGGAACAATCAGCTCTGTAGTAGCAGAGTACAGCAGTAAATCTACTGACGTACTGTACTTGTAATATTACTATTTCAATTTTGTTTTACTTCACTACATCCGAGAAGGAAATATTATACTTATTTACTCCACTACATTCAGCTGACGGATTTAAGTACTTTCCAGGTTATTTTTTTGACATAAAAACATATGAAAAGCTAAATACAACGTGCTGCTAAAGAATAAACCAATGGTTTCCAACGCTTTTTTCTGTGTGGCCTTCAAGAAAAGCAATGTGTAGTTGTGGCCACTTATCATATCTATGATTAACTGTTTAACAAGAGGTTAAAATATCCAATATTTCACAAAGAAAAATGCTCTTTGAAACAAAAAAACACAATTACAAATTAGTGTTTTTCGTCTTTCCTACCTTATTAATCATCTCATGACCCCTCAGATTTAGTTTGTGATCGACTAGGTTGGACAATAAACGGCATAGAGTTAAAACTACATCTTGACCATGGCTTATACAACAAGAAAAACCTACGTATGCATCCACATAAGTGATCTAATAATGTAATTTATCATATTATATCAATCATAGGGGCTGTAACAGTTTGCTGTTAATACTTTAATTAACTTTTACCTACAAAATCTCAAAGTGTTTTACAGAAATTGCTGAATAAATGTATATATATCGGGGGAATTAGACTGAATGTTTGCATTAAATGAATGTTTCTGCATCCGTCTTGGCTGTTTTCCTGCTCAGGGAGAAGCCATGGAGCAGGCCATCATCAGTCAAGCTCCTCAGCTGGAGAAACTGATCGCCACGACGGCCCATGAGAAGATGCCTTGGTATCACGGTAAAATCTCCCGCCAGGAAAGCGAGAGGCGGCTTTATTCTGGAGTACAACCAGATGGCAAGTTTCTGTAAGTTGCTTGAGGTGATGAACCAACCTCTGAAGATCTAGTGTGAAAGATTTGGTGTGGTTTTTTTAAGCAACACCTTTTTGTTGTTGTTTGTTTCTCAGAGTGAGAGACAGAGATGAGTCAGGCACGTTTGCTCTTTCAATGATTTATGGGAAAACAGTGTACCACTATCAGATCCTCCAAGACAAGTCAGGGAAGTTCTCCATGCCGGAGGGAACAAAGTTTGACACAATCTGGCAGGTTGGATGCTCCATCGTGCTTTTCTCTACTCTCTCATTTTCTAGTAATTATGTTGCAGCTGAATTAAAACTGAATGTTCTCTTAATTGTCTCTCCAGCTGGTTGAATACCTGAAGATGAAACCTGATGGCCTGGTGACTGTTCTCGGGGAGGCGTGTGTCAACGGCAAAGCTGCTGGAAGTACTGAACATCCTACTTCCTTGTCTCATTCATATCAACATTATGTAACTGCTGCAAACAATGTCCAGTTTCCAGTTCATGTTTGTGGTTTTAACATTCAACCTTGTTAATTATTACACCTATATTATAACTTTAATCTGTTTTCTGATCTTCCAGAGACACCCAGTCTGCCTGCAACGGTGAGTATTGACTAAATCCAGCACTGTTTAAGTCAGCATGTTTTACCTTTTTCATTCATTCTTCATGTAACTCTCTTTCAGAGGCGACCTGGTGCAAATCGATACACACCGCCACCTGGAGGTCAGTAACCTTAAGTACAACCCGCTACCACTTAATTATGTTATGTTGCAGTAAAATAAGTTGGATTTGTTGATTTAATGTTTATTTATTGTTATATATATATATTTATTTACATGTATGAACCAGAGCCACAAAATGTATAGCCTGAGCTAGTTTGCAGAACATGTTCCTAGATGGGACTATAAAATACACAAAACTGAAGTGAAGAAAGTGCAAACAAAACAGTGGAAAACACAATTATTGTGATTGAAAAAGAGTTCAGATCTTTTAATCAAGTAAAAGAAGAAAGAAGTGTAAAAATACTCCAAGACAAGTAAAAGCACACAAGTATTAGCAGTAAAATGTACTTGAAGTATCAAAAGTAATAGTACTCATTATGCAGAAAAAATACTTTTCATTATTATTAAATATCATAATATTATCACTGAAATCCCTGAGCAGTTGCATTAATGTATGTATGTAACTTGTGCCATCACATAAAGATTAATTTGATAATTTATTTGAGTATTTTTTTAAAGAAAAAATGTCTAACTTCTCTGATTTCCTTCTGTCTTTAATCCTCTATGGCAATAAACTGAACGTCTTTGGGATGTTGACAAAGGATAGGTAGGTAGGTAGGTAGGTAGGTAGGTAGATAGATAGATAGATAGATAGATAGATAGATAGATAGATAGATAGATAGATAGATAGATAGATAGATAGATAGATAGATAGATAGATAGATACTTTATTTAATTAATATAAATAAATTCAAAATTCAAATTCAAGTATCCAGTAGCATACGAAACATACATACATTAAACATACATAAAACATACTATTGAGCTCCCAAGTCAGTGCGTTTAATGACTGAGACACTGACCAAGAGCTCCCCCTACAGGCTGTGTAACAGAAGTGACATCACTGAATAACTTTATCTCTCTGTTTTCATCAAAATAAAACAATAAAACTGTTAACAACACAAACACCTATTATATTGCACACAAGAGTGCATTATACTCTTTTACTTTATACTTACTACATTACTGCATTACCTTTCCCACCACACTCATAAGATTACTTTATACTTTATACCCTCTACGCACATAATACACGATTAAACAATGCATTACTCTATTCTTTGTATAGCAACCGCTGTACCTGAAGATCGTGACGTGCTGCCAATGGACTGCAAGGAATTCAACCCGTACCACAACCCGAATGAAGTGAGGAGGTTTAACATTAAGAGGACTCAGCTGCTGATTGATGAGGTGGAGCTCGGCTCTGGGAACTTTGGCTGCGTCAAGAAAGGAGTCCTCAAGAGTGAAACGTGAGGAAACATTAGAAAACAAACACTGCATCAGAGCTCTGTGTGTGTGTGTATTTAGTGTATGTGCATTATTATGTGTTTTTTTTACCTGGGGGTCTGTACCATCTTTAAAAGGTCAGATGTTTTGTTTGTTTTCTCTCAGGGGCCAGAAAGACGTGGCCATCAAAGTGCTGAAGAGTGAAAATGAGAAGCTGGTGAAGGAGGAGATGATGAGGGAGGCAGAGATCATGCACCAGCTGGATAACCCCTTCATCGTTCGCATGTTGGGTCTGTGCAACGCTGAAAACCTGATGCTGGTCATGGAGATGGCCTCTGCAGGGCCTCTCAACAAATTCCTCTCCAGCAATAAGTGAGTTCAGACAGAAGATGTGTGTGAATCAAATATGGGTTAATGGTAATGTGATAGGGTGTCATGGAGCCTCATTTTGTTCTTTTACATAATGAACTAATTTCTATATACATGCATTTTTATCATTCACATCATGCACTTTCCTTGATTTCAAAGCCTAATTGAATCTTTAAAACCACCAGACAAACTAAACACAAACTTAAACAGTCATTTAAGCAGCATTGCATATAGGCAGACACTATACTATAATATTATTATAACCTTTATTTAATCAGGTAATCTCACTAAAATCAAGATTCCTTTTGTAAGAGCACAGCAGAAGAAATAAAACAGTAATACGACAACACACAAAACAGAACACCCGAGTCACACACAAGCACATACAAACAAATATACAGAGACAATTACAGCCATATTTAAAAAGGTCCAGATTCATACAATTGGATGAGACTTTCCTTCAGAGAAAAATCAAGAGTTTGTTGGTCCTGGGATCTGATCAGGGGTTGTTTGAGGGGCCAAAGGACACTAGCACACAGAAAGTTGTGATGCATTTATGGTGAAACAGCTCAGTATGGGTCAGGATAAGCATCTTAAAGGGAACTTTATCACATTTTCTCCACTGGAAAGGCACCCAAGAGGGAACTTTTGTGGCACATCACGGGGCACAAGTGGGAGCATTTTTGCGTCTTTTTGTATATTTTATTATCTTATAATCACTGACTCCTCAGATTTATGTAGGGCCCCAGTATTGGGAGCCAGTGACATACAGCTCCCTCTATCCTCAGACACTTTATTTAAATAGAAAACTACACTTCTAAAAGAAAGAAAAAACATCTATTTTTGTCCCTACAGGGATACTGTAACTGTGGAGAACATTGTCAACCTGATGCACCAGGTGTCGATGGGAATGAAGTATCTGGAGGAGAAGAACTTTGTGCACAGAGACTTAGCAGCTCGTAATGTCCTGCTGGTCAATCAACAGTTCGCCAAAATCAGTGACTTCGGGCTCTCCAAGGCTCTGGGAGCAGACGACAACTATTACAAGGTATAAACACATCACCAGATTGCGCTTGCAAGACAAAGTGACACAGATGTAGAACCACTAAAGGGTGGGGGCGTAGGGATTATCAGTGTTGCAGCTAACACAAATAGATAGAGTATCTTAAGTTGATTGCTTTTCTGGGAATTATTGACCTCCCACTATGCAACTACTAACCAAAAGGTGTCACCTGCTCTGTGCAAACTAAAGCAAACACTGATTGAAACACATTGATTTCCTTTTCACTGGTTTAATGACCTACATCTGGAGGGAATGTAGGGATCAGAAAGTCCAAGGAATTTCTGACTCTGAGAGAGACAATATACAACCGGACCGTACTGTATAATTCAACAGGACTTTTATTGTTCGCCCTACACAACACGCCACCCAGTGTCCACCCCTGTCAATCATACACTTGCACATGTGACATAGATGAACGTCAGCATTAAGTGAAATAATATAGGCCCGAGTCGACAGTTTTAAGCGCTCTTGCTGTTCAGATTTACAGATGAATATTAAGCTTATTCATATAACTACAATAAAATTAGGTTTATCAATAAGTTGATATTTTTCTTAATTTATTTCAAAAGTAGAATTTGCTTTTATATAGTGGTTTATGTGTTTATTGCTTGTTTTTTTCTGTTTTGATATGACCTACTACATAGACTATTTGTTGTTGACAGTGTAACAATATAGCCATTAATTACTCTTATTGCTGACACACCATGTGCTGACTTGCAGCGGGATGGTCAACCTGTTTCAAAAGTCCCAGAGACAAATAACTTAACTTAATTAAACTTACTAATTAAAAATACAGGCAACAACATCATAGAAACCCAACACCCCCAAAACTCTCCAGGCAGATTTAATTTTTTTTTTGTGAGATGAGTGAAATAAAGCCATTTTTATTACATTTTAGACAGTTTACACAGTTTTTAGATTTTAGAATTTAACTTGGCCCATCCTTAACACCACCCACTTTGGAAACCACCGCTGTGTGTATGTTCGGCTCTAATTATCAATAAAATGTAGGCTGCCTTTGGTGAATCGCTGACAGGCTGCCTGTTGTTATTTTGTGTTGTCCAGGCTCGTACTGCAGGTAAATGGCCACTGAAGTGGTACGCTCCAGAATGTATAAACTTCCACAAATTCTCCAGTAAAAGTGACGTGTGGAGTTTTGGTATCACCATGTGGGAGGCCTTTTCCTACGGAGGGAAACCTTACAAGGTACCAATATATCTATAATCTAGTTGTTCATGGATCACATAAATCTCACCACTATGACGATTGATCCTGAACATCAAATTTCTCTTTTTGTTTCCCCAATTTTGTCCAGAAAATGAAAGGACCAGAGGTGATGCGCTTCATTGATGCTGGGAACCGCATGGAGTGTCCGGCAGTATGTCCAGAGCGAATGTATGCGGTGATGAAAGAATGCTGGACGTACAAGTAAGAAACTGATTCTCCATTTAGGGTTCAGAGCAGAGCAGGAACATCAAAGCTCTGTGCTCTTGTGAAATACAATGAATTGTGACGTTTTAGAGTTTAGAATAAGTATTAAATAAATAAAAGCAGACTGTAACCTGGAGGAGGCCCAGTTTGTATAGAGTAAATAGCAGTGGGACAAATATTGATCCTTGTGGGACACCTTTTATCAATCAGGGGACTGAACCAGAGAGTTGATGATAAGCAGAATAATCCAAACCACTGGAAAGCAGTTAATTGACCAAAATATTATGATCAACAGTATCAAAAGCCAAAGAGTGCAGCACAATGTTGGTTTTTATGAAGCCAGTTAACGATGTTATCCTCAACAGCAGTTATTGCTCAATAGGCCATGTCTAAAGCCTGATTGCTGTGGCATCTCACAGTGGGGCTACCAACGTTCAATTACTACAAGAAAGTACCATATTCTGTTAAATATTTACATTACTAACATCATACTTAACAAAAAAAAGTGCAGTTTTAACACATTTTTATATCATCTTTGTAGTTTGCAGCCAAATAACAAATAAAGGCCCTGAAACTCTCTTCTTATCAACCTTTTTAATGTGTTTGCAGGCACCTTTGACCTTTGCCAAACAAAATACATTTATTTAAATAGAACTATGATTTTATTCTAATCGTATACTTGGTAGGTTTGAAGAGCCAGCAGTTTGAGATCCCTGATATATTATGTTGTGTTTGAGATTCTGTGAGCTTTAGACGGCGCTCTGGTCTCTTCAGGTCTTGTGACAACCCTTCAAACGGCCGTTTCTCTCTCCTCTCTCACCAGGCATGAGGACCGTCCTGACTTCAAGAAGGTTGAGGAGTCCATGAGGTCTTACCATTACTCCATATCGACCAAGGCCAAGCCTGAGGGAGCTGAAGCCGCTGCTGAGCCTGTCAAGTAGACAGAAACAAGGCACATTCTGTCCCAGTGTTGCACAAAGCATCCTTTCAACTGGCCATTAAACAACCAAAACAAAGAGCTTTTTATGAACAGTGCGCACTGACCAGCTTCGACTACAGTACCAATACAGCCAAACAGGCCTCAGTGACAATAAATGTGCATTTGTAAATTGGACTTCAGTGTGTCAGCCATGTAAGGAGGACCTCTGTCTGTCTGTCATTCATGTTTGAATGTTAAGTGTTGACGTCGTTACATTGATGGACAAACTAATTTTATATTCCGGTATTTAGTACATGTGTAAGTTGTTGTTTTTTACTGTATCTCTACTCTACCCACGAGTAGTTTATTGTTTTTTTTTAATGATCAAATAAACTATAAGTAGAGTGAATGATAGAGCTGCACACTTTAATTCTCTCAACATCCTTGTAAAGTCAGTGGTTAAAGGTTTAGTTTCTACACAAAGATGAAATCATTCCTATTAACGGATCACACGTTTGGTGATACGAAGCTTTATGAAAATAACATGCAGGTTATGAGTGGAGTTCATAATAGTTATAACTACGGTTTTTATGGTATCTATGATACTACATAGATTATTGGTTGTTGTTTTTTTAGATGCCACCGAGTAAAAACTATAGACTGTATATAACAGTAACAATATAACCATTAATTACTCTTGTTGCTGACCCATGTGCTGACTTGCAGAGGGATGATCATCCTGTTTCAAAAGTCCCAAAGACAAATAAATGAAACCAGAACAACATAAAAAATCTAACTTAATTAAACATGTAAAAATAAAAATACAAAGAATAACATTCTAGAAACCAAAAGCCAAAATAAAATACTTTAGTTAAATCATTTGCAGAGTTTTTTCCTACATTTTAGAGAGAAATTAAGCCACTTTTATGATGTGTTCAAATACATATTATGTGAAAGGGCTGTGAATATATTTTAGGGTTTCCTGTCAGTAACTCAAACATGATGTACTGTGGTCTATTATGACTGTTATAAAATAAATGAGGTTAGTCAGACTGCCCCCTGCCATTCACTGACATACTGCATCAAAGCAAATACTTCTGAGCTGCCAGGCAACACTGAACAACACCCGACACCGGAAGTGGAGGGATTAGCCTTCAGAATAATAATAGTTTTCACTAACTAAGAGGCCTACACAGGGTATGTTGCAGTTCTGGGCAGTGGTGTGATGAGGTCTCTGATCCTTTGATTAGCACAATTATAAATGTAAGAGTTAAAAGTACTCTAGTGTTGAGTTAAATACCGAAAATTTAATATTTTACTTTTATTAGCAGTTAAATGTAATGTGACAGTGAGTAAAAACATACAGATAAAGTTTTAAATCATAATGTAAATCCCTAATATTTAACAAAAAGTAAATAATAAAAAGGACTTAAAATCCAAATTCTCTCTGTCTTAAAAACACAAGTGGTAGTTTCCTGCTTTTCGAATCAGTTGAAAGACATTTTGAGGAAATAATATAAAAATCTTTAGATGTCTAAAATGCATTGTGTGTCCTGTAAAGATTTTATAAGCTTATCTCAGGCTGAGTGAAATCAAATGATTGTTGTGTTGTAAAAAGTAGAATATTTGCCCCTGGAGGCAAAGTAGAAAGTATCCTAAATTGAGTAGCAATGCAGTGTTGGACTAGTTATTAAAAAAATTTATTAGTCATTACTCATTACTTACTGTACTGCTACTCCCCAAAATTCAGACTTACAACGATTAAAATCCAGTTTTGTTTGTTAAAATCACAGTAATGTGAATATTTCCAGCTACTGAGCTAGTTTCCTCCACGATTACAAAACTGAAGGATGTGATTGGATTGTTGGATTTCAGTTCAGTAGAGAGTGACAACAAAAGTAAAAGATGGGAAATACTAACTAAATTGTGTAGCCTATTTAAACAATAATTTGATCATTTGAACATTCATATTTGTGTAGAAGATCTAAGCAGCTTAGAACTCACTTAAGCTGGCGACTTGGAGGTATTTTATTTGTTATTTATGCTAATTAAAAAAAACCAAAATAAAAATTGATTAATTTATTTATAAATAATACAATTTAAAAAAAACTACAAAACTGTATGATGAATTACTGAGGAAGGATTTACCAGCTTCCATATTGTGTGAAATTATTTTGGAGGAAATAACATTCGCTGAAGGGGTACATTATTTTGAAGTCCGCGACCGGAAGTCGCTGTGATGCTCGCAGCTTGCCGTCGGTGTACTTTTCGTTTCGCAGGGAGGAGTCAGACGTTAGTTTCTCTATTAAAGTGACATGTTTATTTGAATTAACAGAAAGTATACAACATGTATCCATAATGTAGTCGGAGCATGTTGTCGGCGTGAAGCTATCGATCAGAAAACAAGGTGATTTTTCGATTAAATTAAAAAAAAAAAAAAAAAAAAGATCGAAGGAAACTGACGGAACAGGAAGGCGGAACAAGTAAGTTCGGGAAAGTCGCTTTCAACTGTACGATTTCGTCACCTTTTGATCCTCTGTGGGGTTTAATTAATGTCTTCTTTTAACACGGTTGTATTTAAATAATGTGATTTAAGTTTCAGTAACGCAGGTTTGTCTCGTTTTGTTTGGGTTTGTTGTTTTGTTTTGTTTTTTTGTTTAGCTTAAAGCAACAAGTCCGACCGAGTTATCGAGTCACGTCCCGAATAAACTTGGTACAGTCGTCATGTGCTTTGCTGTTTAATCTTTTATCCTCTTTTTAAAGTCCGCTTTGTGAAGAAGATGGAGGGTGTAACATGTCGTGTTTGAGAGCAGACTTTTATTGTCATTCCGCAGATTCTCGGTTTCACGGCGGAATTAGTGCCTGAAAGAGGAAATGACTCACTTTAAGATGGTGTTTCATCTTTTTTTTAAAATCCTTTTTTTTTTTTTTTTTGCTGCTGCTGCTGCCATTGTTGAGACTTGTCGTTTACCTGAGCTGCTGAGGCACACCAAAAAAAGGTGCTTACTTTTCTCACCATGTAGTGGTGGATTAAATGATAGAAGTATGTATATTTAGGTTTGTACTGTACCTTTTGTTTATTTTGCAGCGTACATTTTACGGCTTTACCCTGATATGACCTCCATCTTTTTTTTTAATGCCACTATATTTGCCTAAGAAGGTTTGGTGAGGGGTTTAAACTTTAATACTTCTCTGCATGCAACTTCAGTCCCAAGACAATGCACAAGACCTGGGACACTGATGCTATTGTTGTGTAACTTAAACTCAACTCTCATGTAATACATGTTTAATAAGCATGAGGGATTGTAATAGAGCTGAAATTATTACCCGATTAACAGATTAGTAGATCAAAGCATTAAAACATTAAAACATTACCACGTTCAGGCTCCTTTATTGGGAGGATTTGCTGCTTTTGTGATAGTGAACTGGATCTATTTAAGTATTGGACGATTGACATTTGTCTCTATTCTCTGACATATGATGGATCAAATGATTCAATCAATAAAAATAAACAGAGGAGTAATTGATATTGATTGTTAGTTGCAGCCATAGACTGTAATATATTTTAATGTATAAAAATGCATTACAGTGAAAATGTACATCTACTAATGAAACTGTCCCTTTCTCTCCTCTCCTTTAATCATATGCAGGATCAGAAAGCAAAAGAAGGTCCAAAACAAAAACTCTGCACTGGTTGTTGACACAACCTGCCTCCAATTCAACAGTAAATAATTCACCAGAAGCATTCAAACAAATCGGCCGCCGCCACCACATGCAACAATGTCCATGGCCCTGAAACAGGTCTTCAACAAAGACAGGACATTCCGGCCCAAGCGCAAGTTTGAGCCCGGGACGCAGCGCTTCGAGCTGCACAAGAAGGCCCAGGCGTCTCTGAACGCCGGGCTGGACCTGAAGCAGGCCGTGCAGCTGCCCCATGGCGAGGACCTCAACGACTGGGTTGCCGTCCACGTGGTCGACTTCTTCAACCGCATTAACCTCATCTACGGCACCATCAGCGACTCCTGCACCGACCAGACCTGCCCCGTCATGTCCGGCGGGCCCAAGTACGAATACCGCTGGCAGGACGAGCTCAAATACAAGAGGCCGACGGCACTGTCCGCCCCAAAGTACATGAGCCTGCTGATGGATTGGATTGAGGTACAAATCAACAATGAGAACATCTTCCCCACCAATGTCGGTAAGTGATATGGTCCTTTAAACTCCAGTTTAAAGGAACAGTGCAAAGACAGTGCAAAGACACTTTGGTTTTGTGTGTCTTCTGAAAGAGCGTAATTTCATTTTAGCATGTCAACATTTAAGAAATCTACTACTGTAAAGGATCTCAGAGGGTTGGTTCAGATCCCTGAGTCAGGTAGTGAACTCCTCCCATTCACAGACAATGTCCACACACTCCTAACGTCACAAGTTATTGTCAATGAATCTATTTTAATTCATTATCTGATCCATAAAACGTCACAAAATAATGATCAGTGCCCATCCCAAATCACAAAAGCCCAAAGTGATGTCTTATAATAGTATACAACAGTTAAAACCCAGTGGTGTTCAATTAATAAAAAAGCAGAAAGAAGCAGCACTTTCTCATGTTTGAGATGCCGTATCGGGACAGTGTGCTGAAAGATACATATTTATATTACACACAGCTATGCTTATTTCTGAAGTTTCTCTCTCTAATGTTTTGCTTTTCGTCTTCTAAAATACTGAATTATTTTGGTTTTGGAGGATTTCTGTAACAAAAGGGAAAAAAATATGCTTTAGTTCAACTGGACACAATGAGTAGACAAAGGGTTGCAAGTTTTTGTTTTAAGGGGTCACGAGCCAAAAAGTTTGGAACCACTGCTGTGAAGTATTTGCTATGGTTACTTATTAAATTACTGATTTATATTACGTTTAATGGAATAATCATTTCACTAGTTACACCAAAGACCAACAAAAGCCACTTTAATGATTAACATTTAATGAATACAAACAAAAATTTTAAACGAGATAAAATTCTGCACAGTGAAGGCATTTAAAAATGTGCAAGGACGCATTTATTAGATTATGTACAGTGTTGCACATAGCAGACACTATCAGTTAATCTCTTGCTGCTCTGGTATTCTCAGTTTTCTATTATCTCAGTCTGTAGCTCTGTGCATGCCCTGTGCTTGGCATCTGACTAACTACAGAAACATCTAAGCAATGGATTTAAAAATGGGTCACACAATGCACAGTTGGCTATTAATAGAAACGACCTCTGACGCAGTTGTCTTCTGGAACAGATTCCTGAAATATTATTGAATTAGTCAAAGCAAAAACGACATACTGAATTAATCACTTGGTTAGAGCGGAGGCTTATCCCCCCCGGACTGCGTCGGTTCGTTTTCCATTCATGTACGAAGTGATGCGGGCCGGGCCCTTAAAGCATGCTGGTATCCAACACAAGGGGCTCCAGAGGACAAAAAAAGATTAAGAAACACATTGAAAAGTTAGTTTAAATAGTTTATAACTGTTTCATTAAATGCATCAATATTTCTAATGTGTTTCCTTTCTGTGAAGCAAACGGCAAAAGGTCATCTTGGATTGACTGTGGCGTGCTCTGTTTGACTCCCAGGTACTCCCTTCCCTAAGACCTTCATGCAGGTGGCTAAGAAGATTTTGTCTCGTCTGTTCCGGGTGTTTGTCCACGTCTACATTCACCACTTTGACCGCGTGAGCCAGATGGGGGCCGAGGCTCACGTCAATACCTGCTACAAGCATTTCTATTACTTTGTCACTGAGTTTAACCTCACGGATCACAAAGAGCTGGAGCCTCTGGTGAGTCAAAGAAGGGATGGGAGCTAATATGGAGCTAAAATATAATAATAAATGTGATTATATTTAAGAAATGTGAATAAAATATGCTTTGATGTGTTATATGTTAAATAATCGGATTTCAAACATTCAATCCTAAACTACTTAAAGCGGTGTTTTCATCTTTTTCTGAACAAAGCAGCGTCAGGCAAAGTCATAACACAATAAACATAAATAATAGCTACCAGTATGTGCAAAGTCACATGAAATTTACTAAACACAAAGAGTACAGAAAAGTAGAGCATGACCAGCGAGACTGGATCTTCAAGGCCGATGTCCATATTTGACACATAGTAACAACAATACCAAAAACCTTTTGATAAGAATCGCTTGTATTTGTTTTTTTAAGAATTGAGCCCAAGATAGTTGGTTATAGTTGAAAAAATAAAATTGTCAGCGCCTCCTGGTGGACAAACGTTGTAATGGAGATACTGTTAAACACGTTTGGGCATCTTCATTTGGAAATATGTTACTTATTGGCAGACATATATGTCACTGATATACTATTGATATATTCACAATAAGCTTATACAGATGGTAAATAGTAAAGTAGTGGCTAACCTGTGTCCCATAATTAGTGATTGCTTGTAAACAGTAATCTTGTGCAGCGCCCTGGTGACCGTTTAAAGGACCAGTGTGTAGGATTTTGTGGCATCTAGCAGTGAAGTTGAAGGTTGCAACCAACTGAAACTGCTCGCCTTCAACAAGCATGAAGGAGAAACTATGGAAAAAAAACAAGGCCCAATCCACAGCCAGTGTTCGGTTTGTTCGTTCTACTGTAGAAACTTTAGAGGACACGCACCCTCTGTAGATAAAACGGCTCATTCTAAGGTAACAAAAACAGAACAATTCTTATTGTCAGGTGATTATAAACTAATAAAAAACATATCTATGAATACTATATTTAATTTCTGCCAATAAATCCTCCTAAATGTTACACACTGGACCTTTTTAAGGCGCTGACCTTGAACTTTAACAAAATTTGCAACATGCAAGCTGAGATTTGCAACAGGAGATCATTTCCTCTTTTGATAATTTTAAGATGTTTAACTAAAAAAACACCAGACCACAAACCACTTATGTGAAACGGGACCCCAGCTGGCCACCTTTTTGTTGTTCATTTTCCCAAACTGCCTTTTCTCATTCATTTATATTATGAAATAGTTATTCATTATTTCACAATGATAAGAGGCTCTTCAAAGACATCGATCAGTCGTGCTGAATGACCGCACAGCACCAATTGATGTAATGCTGTGATTGATTGTGTGCTGATTGTTCAATAAGTGTGTTTGGGAGACCTCATTCTGTAACAAACATTTAAGACAAAAAACTGGATGTTTGCGATGGAGATTAGTGTTTATTGTTAGTCTTTAACCTTCTACTCAACTCAACACTTAAGGTTTACTTGCAAAGCTGTATTTTTTCCCCCCAATATTATCTTTTCTGCACACACAAATATATTTTATAGGACCTGCTTACTGCATACTAAAGAGTGGTAATGTTTTAAAGCTTACAGGTATTTTCTTCACTGCTCTGACTCTCTGTGTTGTGTGTGTGTGTGTGTGTGTGTGTGTGTGTGTTTGCAGAAAGAGATGACCTCTCGGATGTGTCACTGAGGGAGCACACCAGTCGACACGAGCGGGGCGAACGCATCCGTCCATCTAGAAGCTTGCAGCAGAGAACTTAAAAAAAAGAACAAACAAATTCAAAAAAGAGTCTATTTTTATATTTAAGTACTGTAATCTATTGTAGTTTAGTTTCAACCAAGAACCTGGTCTTATGAGGTGTTCCCTTCCTTTTTAAAAAGTTTTCAAACGTTTCATCAGAGCACAGTATTAAGAGGTGTATGTTTGTGTTGATGTTTTTTCTATTTTATTTGAATCAATCATTCCAGGATGCTTCTGTCTTTCTGTCTGTGTTAAAACGATATAAAATTAGTACGATTTCTTACTGTACGTCTTTAAAATCACTATGTTGTTACATTAAAATTATTCTCTTCTCTGTTATAATTTGAATTTGGTAATCAGTATTTAAATGAAAACTGACTGGTTATCTTTTCTGAAGCTGAAAGTACTGGGCTACAGCCTGAGCTAATCATTTCTTTTTTTTCCCTCCAGGCTGTCAACAGTTCAGTTTTACCACTCATGTCTGAACATTCAATGCAGTAATGTATTTTTTTTAGGCAGAGAAAGTATTATGTAATGTTACAGTGAGAAAAATACATTTTTTGTTTCTGTTGAGAGTTTTATTAATCTTTATTTAATCATGCAGCCTCATTTAGATCAAGATCTCTTCTCCATTTCAGGCATTCAAATATATTTTAGGCCCAGTGCCATTTTAAATATATACATATTTGGAAATGAACTAAATACAGTTATTGCCTGCTGGTGACTCAGGCATTATTAAGTCTGTGTCATTGCACACTTTGGGCCTCGGGCCACCAGCCGGGTTCTCAGATGTCAAACCTGCAGGTGTTTGTTGCAGATACTCTTGGCAGCTGAAGGTCACACGAGACCCGAACCTCACACGACTGGTGGCACATGTTGAAAAGACTGTATGTAAAACTGTCCACTGGGTGGCATCAGACACCAAAACCCGTCTGTGGTGAAAGACTGAAATTCTACAGTTTATGTTGTAGCCCTTATGCAATCGGCCCAATGTCCCAGTTATAGTCATGAATAGGGGAAGCAGAGCCCTTTTCTAGACCTGATTCGGGTTAATGATTCGACTAAGATGGTTATGTAAGAAACAGGCCAGACTGTACCGGGGTGAACACAGAGAGAGGTTTTGTTTTGAATCAGCCTGGCTTTGCATGGTTGGGTCAACAGCAGTCATGAATAGGTTTGAGAACAACATTGTTGGTCTGATTTAGAGGCGGTTATCAGTCATAATAATGTGGATTATGTAAATAATGAGAGCAATCTTGCACATATAAAACACTCCTATGTAAACAAAATTACAAGATAACTTGTAAGAGCCTGCAACTTGTGACAATCATAAAACATTAAGTAGTACATTGTGTAAAGGGACCTTTTCCTTTATAACCTCTGCAGGAGGACATTGTCTGCAGTGGCGTAAGAAGTATTCAGATCCAAATAATTGCAATAGGACATTACAAGAAAGATCCTGCATTCAAAATTTAGTCCAGTAACTTAAAGTACTGAAGCCCCTTTAAAGCGTATTGTAATAATACATTTATGAATCATGTGTTTTTCATTGCATTGACTTGAATTTGATTATTTAATACGTAATTTTTGAAGTGAAGCTAACTATGTATATTGTTCTGTGATTTTCTCTAACATATTTTTTAGAAGGTATTTTCATTTTGTTTTATGAGTAAAATGTCCATCTGAGAAGTAACTACAGCTGTCAGATAAGTGTAGTGGCGTACAATATTTACCTCTGTAATGTATTGAAGCAGAGGTATAAAGTAGCATAAAATAGAAGTACTCAAATAAGGTACAAGTTACAATCTACCACTGATTATTAATCAGTCATATCAGCTGGATGTTTATGCCACTGCATCAGCGTTTTCACAACCAGAATATTTCGTATCCAGGTTCCCTCCGTCATTCAAGCTGGAACAAGATTATAATTTGACATATTGATAATAAATCCTAATAAACCAACATGATGTAAGTATCTGCCCCAATAACATCAACCACTGAAATGACCTCATTGCCTACTGCAACCTGATCCTCTTACAAGGATTGCCCCTCCTCTCTGCCTCCTCTCAGCGGAGTCACTTCCTCCAAACCACTCCACTGTACTCTGGCAGCATGCGTTACGTGTGAGATGAGCTGCGTCCGCCTCTCGCTCATCCCTCCCTCTGGTGTGTTTTTCTCTCTTGGAATGTACCAGGCAGCCCCGAACGGCTCTGCAGTTGCAGGACATAAAGGAAAGTACTGGGAAAGAGGCCAAGAACAAGGGCAAGAGCTTCAAGCTGCAACCAATCAGACCGAAGCTTGTCCAACTCTGTCAGGGTTTACACAGCAGTGCGTGCCCTGCTGTTTTGATGCCACAGTGTCATTATTTACAAGTGGAGAAAAGGGTTGGGGAGATAATGTGACTCAGCAAATGTTGGAACGAGCACACACCCTTAACGGTTTTGTGGTTTTATGAGTCAAGTCGCCTCACGCTGTTCTGTAGCTGGTAGGGATGAAAAGTAATCATGATTTCATGAGCCTGCAGCTGAAGAAGACCCACAATAGTTCCAGTAACATAATGAAGAATTTTAAGGGGAATACCAAAGCAGGAATCTATTGGGGTTTTTTTTTGCCAGCTTCTCTTTTCTTAGTCTTGTATGATGCTAATTTGAAAACCTGTGGGTTATGGACTGGACAAAACAAGCTATTTTGTTTTGTTTAGAGGCCAAATAGTAAATTGAGAAAACAAGCAGCAGATTAATAAACAATATAAACAATCTTTAGTTGCAGCTGATTGTCACAATATCCACTATAACACAATGTAGTGAGTTTTATAATATCTCTTGTGAAAACTACATAATAAAATGCAATATCTATGTCAACTGAGTAACAGTAAGCCATTTCCCTTTTTTGTTACGGACATGCAAACGTTCCTCTGTGAACTGTAATTTCCCCTGATGTTTGCACAATAGCACGACAAAGACTGATTATTAGTCATCAAAAGAAACATGCGTGTCTGTTATCATGTCTTAAACCTTCTCACTTCCCATTGGTTTATAAAGAAAGTAGTGCAACAGGGATGATTTATTTCATGTAAACACTAAAACTTTACAACTAGTTATTCATAAATTAAACAGGCAAACAAACACTACAGCGCAGCCCGAGCAGCTCATTTCATCTGTGTGCTGGTAACTAGTTACACACTACAGTTGGTGTATTACCCAATATCAAAAGAGATTTGAGGAATTTAAACATGATTCATTTCTGAATGCTTTGTTATAATGGTTATGTAATAAGAGCAAAGTGCAAAAAAGAAAAAAAGCATACAAAAGGTTTTTCCAGAACACAACTGGAACAAAGTTGGAACAAAACAAAGGCTGTTGCAAAATCTTTAGTAACTCTTTCTGTGTTAAAGGAGTTTGGCTGAATACTGGATTAATTTCAGTCTTTCTACTGTAATACCTAAAGCATGTTTTTGCGAGAGGGTGTGTTTAAGATTTTTTATAACTGGAGACTACGTCCTTCCAGGAAGTTTGCTTTGGGAACATTTCTTAGAAAAGGTACAACCTGCACCCTGGGGCACTGTGACCCTCAAACCTAAGAAAAGTATGCAGATGTAATAGTGTAAGAAGCTGCTTCTAGCACACTTTGTGGTGTTTGACAGTTTTATTTTGACGTGCGAGACGTGTGCATTTCAAAAATACATTTGCAGGTGACTATATACTTACTCGTATGCACAGATGCATACTGTTTGTGATAGATAGTGTGAGAATGTTATGGCAACAAATCTCACTGGTGTCGTCCTTTCAACACATCAATCAAAATGACTTCTACTGGCCTTTAGTAAAGCATTTTTACTGTTCCATGGTCATTTAGATATAGGAATGTACTATTTATATGAGGATAGCAGAGTTTAGAAAGGGTTGTAATAACTCTAAACATAAAGTTTTCCTTTTTTCTACTTGGAAAAATCATTGTCATCCCATGTACATTCTGTATCATCTTGTTGCATCCCTCCATTAAAGCTATAATGATCACACTGAGTGAGATAAGACTCCATATTTGTTTATGGCTGCACAATGGAAATAATGTAGTTGTCTGGTGCAGGATTTTATACACATTTCCTCTAAATAATAACATAATGGACGTGATGCAGATGCACACATCCTCTGAGACAGATGGCAACGACACAACTGGTTGAACAAATATCTGCTCTCTACAGCTTTATCTCCATACTGCATCAGGATATCGTAGGAGACTAGCTTTGAACTGCATTTTGTTCACAACAACAACAACAACGACAACAAGAGACACACCTCTGTCCTATCATATTTCATACTGTAATATCCTCGACCTATAAAGAGAACCCCCCCACCTAGGTTTGTCCTGATTGAGTGCCATTCACTTCAGAAACGGGGTTGTTGCCACCTGAAGTTATTTACGATGGCCTATCCCTCTTCCTTTTGACCTGTAGTGACACAGACCCACCCCCCTGCACTGCGACGTGTGATCTTGTTTTCCTACTAAACCTTCAACTACACCATGTGCTCCCGGCTGGGGATAGGCAGCCAACAGCTTGCGTAATGTTTGCTACCATCGAGGCTTATGTTTGAGGGGCAGGAGGTGAAAGGAGGAGGAGAGGCATAAAGCCTCCAGTCACAAGACGGTCGAGTCCTGAAAACAAACCGTACATGGTTTTAATTCGAACGCCCTTGATAAACAATAAATTAATGCGAATAAACAGCAGGTCTGTGGACTATGGATTAAACGCGGTGATCAATAACAGTTGTGATGACACAGCACATGGTACAATAAAGGATTGCTTGGTATATAATGCAACATGTGACAAGAGGCTGTGAACACTTATTGTCTGTTATTAGTATCTGGAATTAATTAAAGAGATGCATGAACAAAGAAGAATATTAACATGTATAAAGTATTATATGTCATCCTTCAACTGTACCTTGGGTGTCAAAATACCGCTGCCTTTAATCTCTGCTAAATACTGTAGGATGAACTCGTCAGGTCTGTGGCAATATTGCTTTGGCATTTCCCAATTAGCATCTCACTACATCCGAATTCTTGGATTTCTCTCATTATCACTACCATGAGACAGAGTCTCTCCGCCCTGATGAGAACAGTCTCCTCAGCAGGCCATAAAACGTGCCGTGGTTGCATTGTCACACATCACAAAACGTGGGGGCTGCAAGCTAGCCACCAGGCTCACGTTCCCAGTCCATTACTATTCCTAAAATACAAATAATTCCTGTGCATTGTAGTCATTTTGTGTGTTTTGAGTGCAGAAATAATCCAGAAATATATTGTAGTTCTCTTAAAAATACTTACTTTCACCCAACAGTTTAAATCGATTAAAGTTAGTCTGATAAAACTTCTAATATTGTTATTTTTCTAAGTTGTATCCAGTGTGGGGAAGTAACTAAGTGCATTTACTCAAATACTGTACTTGCTGCTTTATAGTTGCACCACATTTTAGAGGGAAATATTGTACTTTTTACTCTGCTACATTTATTTAACAGCTGTAGTTACCAGTTACTGTCAAGATCCAGGTTTTAAATATATAGATAATCATCTTATAAAATATGATTGTTATAGATTAAACTAACAGTATATGAAATATAACAAAAATGCTACAAACATAATCACCAATCCAGTATTATAAGACTATGAGTACTTTCACTGCTGATATTGTAAGTGGGCTACATTTTAATACTCATACTTCTCAAGTAAAACCTTTGAGTGCAGGTCTTTTTTTACTTGCAGAGAAGTGTTTACATAGTGCAAACATCTGAGCTGTCTTCTAGGTTGCCTGTGAGTTAGTGTGTGTTGCACTGATACTGAAATGTTGCAGCAGCCACTGACACACAAAGTGACTCAGACCGGGGGATTTCTTTGAAACAGCCATCTGGTCACGGCCATCAATCACTGCATGTGACAATACAAGTTTTAAAGTAGTTATATATATATTTTTAAAGACACACAATAAAGGGATTGGTCTGCTTGCACTCCTTGTTTATATATTTACCAAAGCACAAAGCTGACTTCCTATTCATAATGGAGGCCCTGACGTCCAGTGACAGCAGCAGAAACAGTTATTATGATTTCAGCTCCGTCATAGGGTAAATAAACTGGTGGATCTGGTTTGTCTACATGTCCCGTCCCTCTACACCTCCATCGAGATCCTCGCATCTCTTTGAACCGGACAGCAGTGAGTGAGGAGCTGATTGTGCCGATGTGCACGTACTCGCCGTTTCGCTCCGCCATACATCTCCACCGTGTGGCCTCTAACACAACACACCGGCCGAGTACCATTTCGTGTGTTCCCCCGATTTTGTCACCCTTTCCTTTTCGTCCTGAAATGTGTTTTTATGTCATTTAAAGCTATTTAAATTTTTTTAAATTTTTTATTTTTTAAATTGTGTTTATCTTACACACCACTTCGAGCACGTATGCGTGTTTTGTGCGTCTTACCTCGAGAAGTGGCTAAGTGAAACGAAGTGGTACGCAGCCACCATTTCCTTTTCTAGAAAACTCATGATCCGTCCTGTCTGTTGATGCAGTCCTGAGGAGGGAGGAGACAAGGAGGAGTCAGGAGGAGACAAGGAGGAGACAAGGAGGAGTCAGGAGGGAGGTTATAAAACCACCTACGCTGTTACTTGCTAGCCACCTACCACACACTTCCTATCAGGCGAACCCCCCCCACGACCGTCCTCTGCGGCTTTTGAAGCAGTGGGTCAAACAACGACGCTAACACTGGAGCTGTAAAATTAACAACGGGGTGAGTACTAAACAAATAAATAGACAGCGCTGAACTTGCACTGTATTTGTGTGTGTTTATATTTATTTATGTGATATTTCGAAAGGGACAATTTCGCCCGTTAGTCTCGCAACCGGTACAGGGACGTTACTTAACGTTATCAACGGTAAGCTAACCGTTGTTGCCTGACGTCAGCGTTAAATCTGTCACAACGGTCAACCCGCGAGCGACAGTGGCGACCAGCGCTCGCGGGTTGACCGTTACACTGTTAGCTCGACGAACGTTAGCCTCCCCGCGGCTGCTGCAACGGCCGCTAACGGCTGCTAACGGCCGCTAACGGCTAATCTGGAAAGAGAAAAAGAGTCTTTCCGACATATTCTCTTATCTTACCCAACCTGTAGTATTGATTTGACTTTCTCTACACGCTGTCCGCTTTATCTGAGCTCTCATTTGAATGGCAGTTGAAGCAACGTGGGTGGCGTTTATATTTAGCTGTTGATTGTTTTTGTCCGCTAACCCCGCGAGCACGTGACCAATACTGGTTTAAACTTTCATGTTCTTTGTTTTTTCTTTTTTTTTTTGGTTAATCTTTGAAAATAACTAATAATTCTGGTGCTAGGTTGGTTGGTCACGGCTCAGTGACCCAGCCTCTTGTGAGTTTGTGTTGTGACGCTGCGCTGTGTGTTTTCTGTATTGTTTCACAGGGCTCCCGTTTAAAGCGCCGCAGCAAGCTCACCAGCCAGCGCAGTGTGATCACTTGCGACTCTCTCTGAAACGACTTTCTGTTTCGGAGAAGTGCAAATTGATATCCCCCCAAAAAAACAACCACCACTGCCGCAGCCGCCGCCGCACACCAAAAACAAAATCACCCCAAAAAATAGAAGCAAAATGGTGCAAAATAAGATCACCGAAATCACTGGATTTCACCGCTCCTTCAAGGTGAGTTTGATATGTGTTAATGGGATAGGAGGCGAGATTGCAAGGCCTTTTGGAAAGTCTCTATAATCAGAGCACGTTTGTCAGCATGTATGAAACAACCCCACCTCGCTATATAAATATAAATAAACACATCTGTTGCTCTCCCACGTCTTATGGCTGACAGCATATATGAAAGTAGGACTGCTTTATGTGACTGAGCTAAGAGTTGGACAACTGTGGCAGAATATTTTAGCTATATTAATGTTTTGTATTGTATGAAGAGTGATCTGGGGTGGGGTTACTTGCTGTATGTTGGTTGTTAATGGTGGTTTTAAGAGTTAGTGCCCATCAGCAGTTTCACTGTTTATGATTGCAGGGTGGGAGATAACAAATGCTCTTATCGTTTATGACCAACAATTAATGCTCTCAGCCAAATTGTTCATTGATACCTTTTTTATCATTACTCCCTAGGGCCAAAATCCCTTTGAGTCGGATGACTTCACTAAAAATGGATCCCTTATTGATTCGTCATTCAATTTTGATTCCTCCCCAAGACATGGTGAGTAGTTTAACTTCAGTGTTTTTGAAGACTAACTTTATAAGTTCTGTCAAAACATTGTCTCTTACAGTTAGTTTTCCCTTTTGTAGTGTTTTTATTTCCTACCTAGCACACAATGAAGACACTCCTCTTTTTACAGACATACCTTCCAGCCAGCCTATCGACATCCCCGATGCCAAGAAGAGAAACAAGAAGAAAAAGCGTTGCCGGGCAACTGACAGTTTTTCTGGCCGATTCGAGGGTAAAAGCTTTTATTTCCAGTATCATTATGTTGTTGTTGTTATAAAAAAAAAAACCCTTTATATAAAACATTATCTGACATCTTTTGAAACCAGTGAGATTATTTTCCTAACTTTTCCAACTCTGTGCCACAGATGTCTACAGGCTGCAAGAAGAGGTACTAGGAGAGGGCGCTTATGCCCGAGTGCAAACATGCATCAACCTCATCACCAACAAGGAATACGCTGTCAAGGTAAACAAGCAGACACACTTGACGGATAACTGTAATATATATTTGAAAACGTTAGCATAATCATTGAAGTCTCGCTTCTTGCAAGTCGGTGCTCCTCTCTCATGAGTCTGTGAATGTCGTCGTCGCCACATAGCACTTGCCTGCTGCCCGTGTGTGGTACCGTGGCTAGTGATCAATATAGAGATGTTACATTTTTTTGTACTGTGCTCGGTTGCCTCGACATCAACTTTCTTACATACTGTTGAAGAGCTAAGTGGAAGAAAACTAGGCTACGGGTTGTGCATCATTGTGTCCGTGCTTCCTTTTCACTCGTCGTTCTTTAGAAATGTTGTTGAGGAAAGTTATGATCCTGGGGCAGGATACTGTTTTTTTCTTTCCCCCCTTAGTTCAGCTCAGTATAGCGGATGTCTGCAGGCCCTCATCTGTGTTGTGCTACTGCTGCACTCTTTTCTATTTTTTTTTTTTTTCTCCTGAGTGTGCAACACTAGCTGCTGTTAGCAGGCCCCTCCCCTCACTGTTTTTATACTTTGTCAGCCTATGAGAGCTGGGACGGATATACCCACCCCCTTTTCTTTACTCGCCTACAGAGGACGCTAGTAGTGAGAACATTGTGTACTGGTAACTACGCCAAAACAAAAACCCACATAGAGAGGAAGGAGGGGTGCTGGGTGAGAGTTATGACCCAGGGTGTTTACACTGCTTTGTTCCCCTTCTCGCTCAGTACAGTTGTACTTTTTTTTTTTCCTTTTCCTCTCCAAATGGGGTGTGGACTGGTGAATATATGACTTGACTCCTGGGGACTTCCATTTTTGGCTTTTTTTTTTAAATATAAGTCTTATTTCCTCATTTTAGGAGCAAAACATTGTGAAATATTTGTGCAGAAGAGGACAACTGGGACTTGTTTTTCTTTTAATAAGTTCTTGGCCCCTAACCTACTAATCCCACTGAGACACTGGACGTAAACACTAAGCTATTTTTTAACTTGTAATTAAATCCTATTTGCAGTTTAATTCTGTTAAAGTTTGAAACAAAGTGGCAGATAAAGGCTGGTTCCCATACATCAAGTGTCCATATCATACCATTAATATTTCAGAGGAACTGGAGCACTGATTCTGTAATGTGACCATGATCTGTTAGTGTTGTTTACCCTGGGATGGTTTGGTAGATCCCTTGGGACTTTGCAGTTCTGGGGGAGGAGGCATGGGGGCAGGCAGTTATTGGAGGTCATTTAGGAGTCGGTGGGGGCTCAGACTGCTCCTGCCAGATGTCCAGTCTCTCCTCACCCCTCCCCCTCCCAGACTCTGGTGAGTTGTGTGGGCTCCTTGTGTTGCAATTGCAACAAAAGCCTCAGAGCGACAAGGACGGGCAGAGGGCTGTGCAGTGCATGCCTATCTGAAGCTCTTCTCCCCCCAACAAATCCTTCTCCTTGAAGGTATTCTTTCACAACCCCAGGTTGATGTTTGAACCTGCACTGTGATTTGGTGGGGCCTTGTTTTCCAGCAGGCTGTTGTGATTCTGATCTGCGATTTGGATAAACAACCATAAATCCAGTACCTCCCAAACGACTGCCGACCCACTTATGTTGATAACCCAGCTATTTTTTGCAGTTTTGTTTATCTGCACGTGTCATTATCAGGGTGGGAGTTTTGTGTAGTGATCAGGAGAAAGTGAGCTGATTGGGGGGCTGTTTGTGCTGCTGACTCAGACTGGAACAGTGCAGAGGCTTTGGACTGCTCATAGGCCTCTTGTCTGTGCATTAATCCTAGACACACACTGCAACTCTGGCCCCGCTGGGCTTCAATAGCAGCTGTAATCCAACTACCAGGAAGAGAAACATGCACAGCCTCCCAAGCAGACAATAACTAACCAGGGCTGGAAAATTCAGGCTTTTTGCTTTGGTGTCAGCAGTCTGTCTTTCTGTCTCTCTTGGCAGGGCATCGTGCAGCTGGTGGCCCCTCGGTGGTTTAGTTCCAGGCAGCACAAAGTTATATTTAGAGTTTGTTTTTTTTCTTTTTTTTTTGTTTTGTTATCGTAAACAGCTTTGGATTAGCTCATAGGACGTTTCAAAGGAATGCTTATGACTCCTTAAGAGCACTTAAGATTTAAATATGGGTCACATATGAAGGCCAAATATAGAGTTTCTGTGACATGTCTCATTCTCATTTTGTTCCGTCTCTGCTTTGGCATGCTGCACTGAAAGTAGGTTACCAGTCACAGGGCTCAGCATATGGAATATAAACTGTTCTATACTGCCTGGCCTACAGTAAACACAGCCACGGGTGGGGTTTTGTCGTGCAGTGTGAGGGGACGGCCTTCACCCAGATATTAACTCTCACAGACGGGGCCCTGTTTTTCCTGAGCCATCAGATCACTGAATCAGAATTGCCCTCCATCCTGCTGCTGTGGAAAACATGAAAGTCAGACTAATTTGTTTGCCACTATTTTTAGACAATGTGACTGAACCGTAATGTTCTGTTCCAGATCATCGAGAAAAGACCAGGTCACAGCCGCAGCCGTGTCTTCCGTGAGGTTGAGATGCTCTATCAGTGCCAGGGCCACAGGTAATGTTCTTCTGCCACGACCAACTAAAGTAATGCCACCTGATGAATGTATGGAGACAGTACTGCAAACTGACTGATCCAATTTGTGCTGAATCTTGTTTTATTTATCTTAGTCCTCTTACTCCACAGTGCAGAAATCACATACGTTTTTCAGGCAGTGGTTTAGTATTCTGTTACCATTGGCTCATGTTGCTTTTTTTCCTCCTTTTCTAAAGTAACATCCTGGAGCTGGTTGAGTTCTTTGAAGAGGAAGACAAGTTCTACCTGGTGTTTGAAAAGCTTAGAGGAGGTAAGTGAATTATAGCTGCTGCAGGATGCCTGCGTCAGATCCCTTTGTTTATTTTTAAACATTCCTGTAATGCATATGCACAGTCTCTAGTGTGTAGCCAGTAGTTTGTGTCTGTGTGTGGGAAGGGCATTCACTCTATGATTTGTGCTTGTAAACAGAGATGATATACTCTTTATTTTCCCCACCTATTAGGGTCAATCTTGGCTCACATCCACAAGAGACGCCACTTCAGTGAGCAGGAAGCCAGCGTTGTCGTGCAGGACATCGCCAGCGCTTTGGATTTCCTGCATAACAAGGGTAAGATGAACAAAATGACAAGCAGTTATTACCCCTCATGATCAGCAAACAGGCAGAACAGCCCCTATATATTATATATAGTCTTAGTATGGTAGTACACAACACTTTACAGGAGCTAAAATTTAACATATTTGCATTATTTCTTGTTCAAATTGACCATGGGACAAAACACCCCTATTTTAAATACATTTTCCTTGATGGATTCTTTTATAGGAATGGCACATAGAGACCTGAAACCTGAAAACATCCTCTGTAAGAGTGCAGACAAGGTGAGTTTATTGCAAACACGTTTGAGCCCAATTGGTTCAAAGGTTCAACTAATGTGGTGATAAAGTGTGATAAGTTGCTCTAAGATTATGATGATTAGCAGTGATAAATGACAGTGGAAATCTCTGGTCCCAGAAATAGATATTCCACACAAATGAATGAATGAATTAAATAAAAAAAAGTAGGTGAATTTGAATGATTCTGAACTTGAACCTCTTTGTCAGATTTCCCCGGTCAAGATCTGCGACTTTGACTTGGGCAGTGGGATCAAGCTGAACAGCGACAGCTCACCCATCTCCACCCCTGAGCTCCTCACTCCTGTAAGTCCGCCTGCATAGTGCGCTTGTCTTGTTTGCTAAACAGTTTACCACTTTTATAAATGGGAACGGGACAGTGTTGGAGGAAGGGTGACGGGAAATACATGTTAGCACTGTGTGGGTGTGTAGAGCGAGGAAGAGATTATTCTTTCTTATGGTCTTGGTCACATTTTTCCTCTACAGTGGTTTGTGTCCTTGTTGTGGATAAGTAGGGTGTTTCAGGCTGTAAAACGACGTCTTTATCAAGTCCCACTGGCTGGTTGCCTGTTGGGCAAGCCTCAGTGGTGTTAGCTGCAGGACAGCCCGCTGATTGGGAGAGAGAATATGTTGTGTTTAGAGGTTAAGATAGTTCAGCTTCTCTGAAATGACAAGGATTGTTTCCTGAATGTCCTATCTGGCAGCTTTTGCCTTCCCTTATCGGAAAGGTATCAGCAACACTTGGATAGATATCACTCAGTTTAACGTCCTGCTGCTTATCAGTCGCAAATATTGAGGCCCGAGAGTTTGGAGGGAGGGGAGGGGGGGGGTTTATGATTGTTTAACCTCCCTGCTGTCGTCACAGCACATATCTTCAGAGTATCCCAGAAAAGTGGGACCCCTACAACCTCAGAGAGGAATTGTAAAGTTGAACTGGCAAGCTTTCTAATTGTGTCAACACATACTCTGTCCGATGGTTGTCTGGAGGGGGGGGGGGGGTGAGAGATGGACCAGAGCAGGTGAAGGATAGAAGTTCAGTGTACAGGAATGTATGGGTGGGTGGGGGATTTTCTACACTGGTAACTTCATCTTCCTTTAGCAGAACTAATGGATAGGGAGCTTGCCCCTATTTGAAGGGGTGATAGTTGTGGGACCATGAGGCGCCTCGTATTTAGTCTGCACTGACTTCTGTGTGTGTGTGTGTGTGTTGCGTGTGTGTTGCATTGGTGTAAACCTAGTTTGTCTGGTCTTGTTTTGTGTTTTTTTTTTTTTGTTTTAAAGATTTGATATGCCTGCTATTTTATAAGTTCTGTCGTGCCAGTGATTTTTGTGTATGACCACAAGACTTGATGTAATGCAGGGAGAGTTCAGTGAAAGAAAAGTACATGCCTGAGAACAAGGCTGCAGGGTACACATTGTGACTTTTTACAAGGCCGTCTCAGTGGTATTATGAAGAGGTTACAGTAAACCAAAACACACCAACTCTCTCATTTCCCTTTTTCTCTCTGCGGCATGAGAGAAAAACATCCACCCTCTTTCTGCTTAGTCTCCACCCAGTGGCCCCAACCACGCTTGTGCTGGTCTGCGCTTTCTTTATGTTCTTTATACAAAGGCTGTGCATAAGGCTTGTTCTAGAAATTTTAGTCTTTGCCCATACACCTAGCAACTGAGATGTGATTGGCTAGACCAGTGGGAGGGGGAGGGTAGGTGGGAGGGACAAACACCCAGAGTCTGCTCATGCGCTCTGGCTTGTTTTCCTTGCCTTGATCACAGGAACAATGTTATCTGATTTTTTTTCCTCTCACTATTGGCACTCTCATCCTGCCCCCACTTCACCCACATTCCTACAGTTGCTGTTTCACAATATAATGTGAATTTGCATGTACTGTTTATGTTCCTCATCCAACTGAATGTGTTTTTAATTAGCTTAATCTAATGCGTGTTTGGGAATGTATAAGTTTACTGTGCGTGTGTGATCTCCAATACAAACTGGAACGGCAGGAACACGGGGGATAAGGAGAGGGGACCTTTCTATGAAAGGGCTAAATTTAGTTTACTAAGAAACCCGTACATGTGGATGCCTGTCTGCTCGACATGAAATAAATCTGACTGATCGAATGTCGGTGCTCGTGTGCAGCAACTGGTATCTGGGAGGAACTGCAACATGAAAACAACACACGAGCAGCACACAGTTTAAAAAAATAAAATAAAAAACAAGGAATTGTCTGTCTGAGATGTAGGTGCAGCTGCATGACAACAGAACAGGTCTTCTTACTGTAAGCCTCTTCAAGTAATCCTGTAGTTTACAAACAGCAGAGGGGTGTGTGTTTGTGTGTGTGTGTGTGTGTGTGTCACCAGGGGTGTCAATATGGTCTGACTAGTCACATGATTTCAGGAAAGCCCCGGGTTGCGATACCAACGAAGCCTGCGGTAACTGCAGCTGATTACCAACTATCTGCAGCTTACAGGAGGGTTTTAGGAAGAGGTGACTGGTGCAAGTTTAGAAGGTGGTTTCAACAGCAGCACAGGAAGAACAAATCTTATCACAGAGCTGGCAGTTGCAGGCGGTCCTGAACTTATCTTTTCTTGTGACTTGTCTTTTGATTGGCACTTTATTTTGGTGGCTTTTAAAACAAGATTAGCCTCGATAGCGGTTTTCAATAGCACAGCTATCACTTTGCCTTTTCAGTGTAAAGGCACCTTGGTAGGCGAAAGTATCCTTTTGTGTCTTTTATATTCTCTGGCAGCTGCATTTAGCCAGAATCCTGGGGGCTTGTCTGTGGAGGCAGTCGCCCCAGACATGATGTTGTTGGTGGAAATGTGGGGGTTGGGATTTTCTCTCCGACAGAAGCAGCTTTGTCTGAGACGAGATTCCTGTGCAGCAAATTTTCATTACATAAGGGGTGCAGCAGAGTGGAGGAGGAGTTAAGAGACAGCTGGGGTATGGTACTGGGACACAATAGATGCCTGCTCAATATAAACATGCCCACTCACAGATGGAGGAATATAGGCCAGAGGGGGTTCGCTAGGATGCAGGTTTCAGAGGGGACAAATACTTACTTACTTACTAGTAACTGATAACGTTTGTTGCTGTAGGCTAACTGATTGGGCAAAGAACAGATTAACATGTACTCTCAGAGCAAGTTCTCATAAATTATATCAGTAGTTACTATATTAAGGGTAAATCTCAAAGAATACAAACTCTTGACATGAAATAAGTTCTTGATTACATTGATAGAATGAGACAATGAAATATTTTCCACAAATATCTACGTGTCCCGCTGAACTACCGACCTGCTCCTTTTTTTCCCCCTTCCTGTTCCTAAAGTATTAAAACAGCATTTGGTGTTTGTGTTTCCAAGTTATGTAACTGACGCGGGCTCAGCCCAGTCTCTGGCTCTGCAGGACAACCAATCCTCTTTTCCCTGCTCAGTGTTTGGCCTAATTTCTCTCTTAGCTACATAACAAGGCACTGTCAGAGCTGAGCCTGTCATTGGCCTCAGCCCATTTTGCTTGGTTTGTGTACAGCTGGGTGGTCAAAGCAGTGACTCACTGCTGCTGCCTACCCACACTAACCTGCTTCATTATAGCTTAGCCTTCCCTCCCTCTATCCTTGATATGTAATTGTACATGATGTTCCTACTTTAAAAAAAAAAAAAAAAAATCTGTAGAGGACATTTTAAACAAACCCATCACTGCAGATAAGCATGTGACTGTCACATAGCCCCCCACCCCCGAGTCTGAGCCCTGAGCTTTAACTCTTGCATCCACGAGGAATCAGCTGAGTGAAGGAATGTGTGGCTGCAGCCAAGAGACTTGTTTTTTTTCTCTGCTATAGTTAATGACTTTCTGTGACTCCTGGGGTTAACAAACCGGTCTTTTTGTTTCCACCTTGTCTCACAGTGTGGCTCAGCAGAGTATATGGCACCTGAGGTGGTTGAGGCCTTCAGTGAGGAGGCCACAATTTACGACAAGCGCTGTGACCTGTGGAGCCTTGGAGTCATCCTCTACATCATGCTGAGCGGCTACCCGCCCTTTGTAGGCCGCTGTGGTGGTGACTGCGGCTGGGAGTTAGGGGAACCCTGCCACACCTGCCAGGTAGGAATTTGAATCGAGCCCTTCTGAGCTTTCCTAAATCTTGTATGGAACAATGCATCTTCTCCATCCAGGTCAAGGCAACTGATGGTAAATGTTTGTCCATTTCTAGAACACTTTGTTTGAGAGTATCCAGGAAGGAAAATACGAGTTTCCAGAGAAAGACTGGGCTCACATCTCCTCAAGTGCCAAAGACCTAATTTCCAAACTTCTTGTTCGGGATGCCAAAAACCGCCTGAGTGCCAGCCAGGTGCTGCAGCACCCATGGGTGCAGGGGGTAAGTCTAAAATCAAGACTTCTGCAGGTCTTTAACAGTCGTCATTTGGGTAAATGCTGAGATTTATAACTAACTTGTGTTTGTTTTATTCAGGGTGCATATGATACTTTACCGACATCCTTCTTGCATCAAAGGTGAGCAAATGTTACAGCTACAGACTGTATTCCTTCAGATATTTAAAAATGTTTGCAGCTCTTATTTAATTTAACTGACTATTTTTTTGTGTCTCTAGAACCAGCAATGCCAGGGATCTGACATTCTTTGCTGACAAGGCCATGGCTGTGAACCGACAGCTGGCTGAACAGGATGGCATGGAAGACCAGCAGCACCAGGAAGTCCCATTTGTTGTTACCGCTACTGGTTCTTCTATGCGCCTCTCTCCTCCTTCCAACTCCAAGCTGGCCAGGCGCAGGCAGCGAGGCAGCCAGCCCAAGGGAGGGCCCGTCTCTGCTGCAGAGCTTCGTCAACTCTTGGCCCCTCTTGTTATTGTGGGAGACTGTGCCTGAACTCTTGTCAACCCTGACCTCCGACCTTCCGTTAAGATTCAAGTCCAGATCTAAGACTGCCCTGAGACTCTCCCTCTCCAATTCTGGCCCCTCTCCCTGACTCTAGCTGGCCTTGGTTCCTCTGCCATTCAGGCTTTCTTGCCTCGCTGTTAAAGGGAGATGCTACTTGCAGCCCTTTCTCGAAATGCCTTCTGCCCTCCTGCAGCACTTCTGAAGCACATCAGCCCAGGGCCTGCATATAGCAAATACACACATGTGCATGTCAGGGTTTGGGAGGAGGGCCAGTTAATGATTTGGGAGAGAGAGAAAGAAAGAAGTATTTTCTAAGTTATGTTCTTTTTTTCATAAAACTCAGTTCAGAAGAAATCCGAACACTTATCTACAAAACTAAGCTCAGACACCAAAGGACAACCTGTTGTGCTGCTCCCACGTTACAACTGGATCCACTGTGAATTAAGTTATCTGGAATGTTCTCTTTGCCTGTATGTATGTGCATGAATGGCCCAATCTGCAGATACGTACAAGCTTATGCAATATGCCAAGATGAAGGCTGTTCCTGTCTCGAAGGGATTCAGTATGAGGGGTTGGAAGGGCTGTAAGCCAATGCTGTCCGTGCCTGGTGCGGTCCATTATGTGGCTGGGGACTTCAAAGATTTTTGTTTATTTTTATTTTTTTTTGTGTCTCCATTTAAAGATAAATTCCTCAACACTGTAAATGTCTGAGATAAAAACATGCACTCATCTAGCTTGGTGGCCATGCACTTAATGCTCCTAGAGCCAAGAATGTTTGTCTGTACCCAGCCATGACTTACTGTCGCACCGATCTCATAGTTTATTATACGAACATGTATGCTAAATTATCAGTGGCCACACCTTTTCAGTGTTTATATGAAGCCATCAGGCAAAGTCTAATAGTATTGAATTAAACTATTTAACTTGGGTTATGATGCAGGGCCACCCCCCCCACCCCCAAATAAGTAAGACTTCTGAGCTAGCTCAGGAGTATGTGGTATGTTGGTACAAGCAAATTATGTTAAATGGCTAGGCAAGTGAAACTGGGTCAGTACTTTCATTGTAAAGATTTCATGACATGTTCCGTTGCCACAACCAGACTTTGTATTTTTATTTTTTTGTTTTTTTTTTTCCAACAGATCAATTTATGCATTAGATTGAACCTTGTTGAATACTTTGGCAGTAAAGGTTCGAACTCCTATCAGGAGTCTGAAAAGCACATTTTGGCCATTGTGACCCCCAAGTGTCATTTATTGATTGAATACATTTATTTGGACCTTTTCTTCAAGGGTTCACCGTTGTCTTGTTTTTGACGAGACACACCCTCCACCCCCCTTCAAAATAATGACATTACAAATTTATAACAAAATAAAAGGCAGATGAGATTTTTCAAAAAAGAAACATTAAAAAAAAGGAAAAACATTCCACAAAAATGAAAAACAACAAAAAAAAAGTCTTCCACGGACGTGTAGCTGTATTAAGTTTACTTTATTTTTCATGTTTGAAAACTCCATGGTAATGTGCCACACGGATTTATTTTATTTTTTTCCCCCTATTTTTTTTTCTTATGGCTGTTAATAAGCTTTTATTTTCTATGATTTTCATGCAGGTGCTGTTCAGTTCAGGTGAAACACCGGATGTTTTCCTTTAAGGTTTTTTTTTTTTTAATGTTTTGTGTTTTTAAAAGTTCAGAGTATGTGGTGTATGAGGTGTATGAGGGTGAGCTGGAAGAGTTTAGTTGATCTGGAGCGTTCATGCCCAGTGAAGGCAAAGTTTTTAAGTTTTATTTTTTTATGTGTAAGAGTTGGCAATAATCTTTTTTTTCTCGTTCAGTTTTAAGTTCATTAAGCTCATTCTGAAACTGACAGGTAATGGACTGGTGATGAGGTCTGACAACACTGTAGCCATTTCACCAAAGAGGGTTCAAGTCGTGATACTGAACACGTTGATCCATCACCTAATGCAGTGAGAAGTTGGGACTTCTGATTGTCCATGTCCTGTAGCCAGCACTGCAGCGACGGTACTCTGGAAATGGCTCCCTTGGTGTCAAGGACCCATTATGCTGATAATAGGACACTGTATTAGTTCTAAAATACCCTTTCTACACATGCATAGTTATGGGGTTTTATGTCTTATAATAAGACTTACTTGAATTTGTGTATGCAGCTGTTTCTTCTCCATTTGGGAAACTACTTTATCAGAAATCTCAAAGCATTAAGCTGATGATGATTTTTAAAAAAAAGGCAATCTTGGGGGTTTTGAAATTACCAATACAGTTCAGTATTCTGCCTTTTTCCTCCTTTTTTGAGCATCAAACAAGTTAGTCCCTACTTTTTTGATAGGGTTGGATACTCAAACGCACAGACTTTGGCCACACTCTGTAATATCCTCAACGGTAAGAGTTTTCCTGGTCACGACCATTTCTACTTTTTTCCTTTTTGTCAAAAACGGCAGTAGCTTTTTTTTTTTCCCTTCGACTGCCTTTTATTGGGGGGGATGAGGGGACAAAATGATATCCTTTAAAGCCTCGCAATTTTTATATTGTAAGTCATTTTGAAGTAAGGAAGTGTTAAAAACTCAGTCATTCATTCAAATGGACAGTCCCATCATCGACCTCCCCACAAATCTGAATGTAGCCCACCAGGCAAAAGCATTTACAATCCAGCAACAATGATCAAATGTTTTATAAATGGTTCATTTCATGGACGTGGTGTGGGGTTATTCTGTCTATGTTGATACAGTCCTCAATATATTATATTTTTCTTGAGTTGACACCTGATTTTAACACTGAATCGCCCCCAAAACCCATTTTTGTTCATGGGAAGAAATTTGAAATAAGTACAAAAAAAAATATTTTGATTTAAAATAAGCACTTTACTGTACCATGTGAATGATTGCAGTTCACTCAAGGCAACATTTATGACTAGTTGCTACAGAATTTTGTATTGTTTTTCTAAAAAAAAAAATAAAAAAAAATTGCAATAAAATGCTTTGAACTACACTTTCTGTCTGGTTTACTGTAACGTCTGTGAGGGAGGGGGGGAAACAACTGCGCCCTCGCTTGGATCTCTAGTTTCATATTAACCAGCTGTGTGTTATCTGTTTCTGGCCAAGGTTGTTTCATCTGATTCAAGTGCTGTAAATCTTTTTATCAGCAACACTCCCTGATACCTGAGCTGACTATGTCACATATGTCCTTGGCTGTTGGTAAATATGAGCTCAGTTGTCTGAAATGTGATGGTGGTTTCACCTCTGCGTTAGGTGTGTGTGCGTGCGCGTGTGCGTGTGTGTGTGCTGCACTCTACAGTACAGACGGGCCCAATCTGACGAGGGACTGATGCAACCTGCTGCAAGAGCTGCAGCTCTCATATGCCACCTCATGAGCTCCCGGGAATTACAGAATGACTTCAGCTGAACGCCAGTGCATCATTTCCACACCGCTACATGTCAGGATTTGTCATGTAGATACATAAATTGGGTTTGGTTAAAAGGTTGAAAAGAGGAATGGAAAATCCCTTAAGCAATAATAACTGATGAGCAATTAACTGCAGCTTTTTAGGATTCTCATTATTGGTTATGATTTCTTTATTTGATTAATCAATTCATTGATTAAGTCTATGAAATACCAGAAAGAGATAGTAAAAACACACCTATCACAAGTTCTGAGAGCCCAAAAATGTAAAAATATAAAATTTAAAGCAAAAACAAAGAGGCAGCAAACGCTCTCATTGTGACACTGGGACTAAAACATATTTAGTATCTGATGATTAATTATTTCAGCTCTATTCATTTATCACATTATGATTTATCACATTATGATGATTCCTCCATTCTTCACCATTTAAAATCTGCTGCACTTTACACAGAAATAAATACGTTTTTTAAAAAGCAATAAAAACATGTCAATTGCATAACTTTCTTTTTTCAGTATCACGTCATAAAGGCAGGAAATTAAATGATGCAACAGCAGAGAGTTTCTGTACAATGATCGATGAGTCACTTCACAGGTGTCTGTCTCCCCCTAGTGGACAGTTCTCACACCTGCATGCAGACTGGAGTGTAACTAAGTACATTTACTTGAAGTATTTCCAGTCTATGCAACTTTATGCTTCTACTCTTTTACATTTCAGAGACAAATATTGTACTTTAACTGTTTCGTGACCTTCCTGTCCAGTTAAAAACCCATTTATCTCCAAAATTGGTGATTTTTAATTGTTTCTTTATGGGTTCAGAAAATTATTCTGCTTCTTAAAATTAATAATATTAAAAAACCCTTTTGGATTAACAGGAAACGCATCGTCACAAAGCTTAAAACAAACTGACTTGATGCTACAAACATGATCAAAAAAGCATTACAGTTGATTAAACTACTAAACAGTTTATAAAATAGCTAAAATTAGCTCAGCTTGAAACATCTACAGCAGTAAAATACAACATACACATTATTATAATAATATTAATCCCAGAACAACATTATAGCCGATAAAACTTACATACTTTTACTTAAATAAGGTTCTGAATGCAGGACTTTACGTTACAACGTGGCATCAGTACTTTAGTATGATTTTATGAGGATGGAGTAGATTATATCCTCAACCAATAGATTAGATTGTTTTATTTATTTATTTATTTACTTACAAACATTAGATATAAAAAAAAAGGGAGGAGGGAACAAATCCACCCTGTGTGAAACACAGATCATAAGATTTCAAGTCATGAGTTTTAATTCTCAGATCTGAAGAGGGTCGATTTTATTTCTGCTCATGAAGATTTATAAAGTAAGAGTCTTGTGATTTGGCATTTGTTGTGTTTTATGATCTCAGTTTGATTTTAAACTCCTGTTAAAAAGTATTTTGTGACTTCATTAAGAAAAGTGTTAACAATTAAAGTTTATCATCATATCAGGATGAAATATAAAAATATTAATATCATCCTGATAGTGAAGAAACAAAAGGAAGCATTATTACGTTTATTGGAGCAAGTTCTATTAAAAAAAAAAAAAAATATATATATATATATATATATATATAAAATAAATAAATCAATATTTCTACATCATATGACCTGATGTAGAAATACCAGATTAAAGAAGACACACGATACAGATTATTATATACACAGACTAAAATACAGACTTATTTTTCCAAGTCTCCACATACACAGCAACATACATGTAAACGCTTCCTTTGAATCAATAATATAACATTAACTATTATTAGCCCTGACGATCATTGTAAAGAAACATCTGGATCGTAAAAATAAAAAAGGAAAAAATACAGATTTTGTTCACAATATTTATCCTAAAAAACATTTTCAAAATAAAAGAGCTACTTCACTTTTTCACTTTGTCATTGTGAACATTTAATTAGTTTCCTAATGAGCCCTCGTGGTTTGAAATGATTATTATTATTATTATTATTAATAATAAAATCTCAAATTCAATTTAAAATATATAAACATAGAAATCTAATTGGCTGTGATCATCTTCTAAATGACTCACCAGTCAAACCATCATTCATCATTTAAACAAACAGTCAGTTGACCTGATAACAGTCTGCTTCTCCTTTAATACTGTTAGTGGCTGTTTAAAGACATTGTGACCGTAAACTAATGCTAATCCCTGCTGTAAAGTATGTTTATAATCATTTTTAGATACTGTTTGGTAGAGGTATTTCTTCATGAGAGGTCATATGATTTAGATATATTGAGTTTTAATGTGCCTCTCCATGGATCTCCCCTCAGCTTCACTGGCACCAGACAGCATTAGGACGTTGACTATGATCCATTGACCCTTCCTTCCTTCCTTTTTAGTTTCCTTGCTCAGTAGCAGGAAACATTAATTAACACAACAAAGTCAACACATTTAAATTGTAAGATTGAATCTGAGGAACCTCCTGGTGGTTTAACTTTCTTTGGACTTGTGTTTTATACTCACTCGTCTGCATCTCAGTTCATAGAGAAAGGACAGAAACAGTCTGAAGTAGTGAAGCAACGCAGTTACCTGTTGATCCATTTCATCTCAGCCTTTTCACAAGCTCAACATTACAACAGTCCCACAAAGTATTAATGTTTATAAGGTGTTAAGCTGCCTGCGACAGGGCCTTTCTCACAGCAGACATTTTAACTTAACAGGAAAAGCTCAGGTGTTGTTGATAACGTTAACGATGTCTCTGTTCTTTAACACAACCTGAAACTGAAATCATTCTCTTTATTATTCCCACCTGTGCTTCTCCTACTGCGGGACGTAAACTACAACATTCAATGGAAGGTTTTTAACAAAATGGCCCCTAATGTTTTAATTAATGGATTTCCAGTGTTTCCTGTTACATTTTGTAAAGCTTTCAGTCTTTAATCTCAAACTCTTTATATACTATTATACTAAACTATTTTAATTGTCATACTAAACTACTGCCTACCTATGAAACTGTGATGTCATTTTAAGACAATAAAATGACAGAAATATATATATAGATATAGATATATCTATATAGATATATGGCTGCTGAGTTGCAGTAATAATACAGTAAAAATGTTAAATCAAGAGTAATTACTGTGATTAGGTTACAGCACCATTCTGTAATTTAGCAATAAAATAGTGTTTGTACAGTAATATTGTGCTGTTACTGTAGAAACACAATACATTACTGTAATATTGCTATGAATGATTGTGAATTTACAGTAACTATGATGATTATTAGAATAACATATTGTAATTTCACATTAAATTACTGGATTTTTACAGTAATATTGTGACCGGTTACTGTAGAAACACAATACATTACTGTGATTTTCATGTATATTACTGTTAAAATAATTACTGTATGCTATTGTGAATATACAGTAATATATTTTACAGTAATATATATATCCAAACTACATTTACCTGCTGAAAAAATACAGATATTCTGTTGAAGAAAAGAAACAAATGTACAAGGCAGCGTGAAATTCAGCTTTATAAAACACAAGAAATAATAGGAATGTAAAATAAAGTTATAGAAAATAAACCAAAGGATCAAATAAAACATATACATGAGAGAAGTTAAGACATTTAACATCTAATTAATATTATAATATTTAATTTCTCCATTAAAACGTTTCACTTTAGATCCAAGTGACTCTTTCAAAATAAAACATCTCTGCAGCTAAAGGAGTGTAAGCTATCACATCGCTGATTACCTTTATTGATTACCTGTGCAGCACACCTGAGTGTGATTAGGACTCAGGTCACATGTTTAGTGTGGAGAGCACAAAGAGCCCGAGCATGTGCAGCGTGTGCAGTGTGTATGAGCGTGGAGCAGCAGGTAGGTATCACGATACTGTTTAGTTTAAATGTTTGTTTTTGTCTGCATTAGAAATGAGTTAAGTTGCTGGTTGGTATAATAAAGTTTAATATTTTGCTATATTTAATGTTTATTTGTATAGATGCTAAGGTTAAGACCTCTTTTTATACTTAAAATACATAAAAGAAAGTTTTAGGATTTGCTCTTTTAAAAGTTAGATCATATAAAAATACTTGTTTTCTGGATGCACACAATATGTTAAGTTGTCAGTCTTGTGCTCAGACAAATGTAATCTCTCTAATTAATCCATCTACTGACATTTAAAGGAGCAGTTTGACATTTTGATAAACTTATTCGCAGCTATCTTTATTTCCATTAAAGAAGCATGAACATGTGATAATGGTTGAAGCCTCTCAGTGCAAACAAATGTTCATCTACTACTTTTAAATTGTCAGCAAATTGGATGTTTATTTCTACACCTTACCCACTAACTCCTGCTGTAAACTGATGATATCTGTAAACTGATATATAATCTGTATATAGTATAATAAGTATAACTAGAAAATTCCTAAAGAAATTGAGTGTGCCTGGCTCTGGCCCGTATACTAATACAGTGTGTGTTCACAGGAAGGCTTTGGTTGTCGCGGCAACCAGGGGAGGCCACAGCAGCTGCGCGCTTTCTCTCGGTCTCTCACTCCTGAGAGAGCCAGAAAATCCCCTC